TAAATAAAGTCCTCAATACTCAGACAGTAACGGTATTATAGAAACAAAAGGTTTTTACATCTTAATGGCAAACGACTATCCATTAGATGCACCTGCATAAAAGAAAACAAATATCCTTTCACCATAAATGTTAGCGCCTACCGAACCTAGCTCTCCCCTTTACCAGTAAATGTGCATATCATACTAAAAACAAGGTATCATCTCCAAGTGTATCGTTCACAGTCTCCCTTAGATCCGCGCCTTTATTTTCCATCTTAACGTGATCACTAACGTGATAAGAAGGTTTGAATTGCTGCTTGTTTAACACAAATGTTTCCAAACTTTTAGGTTGTATCCCATATCATTCCAAAACTTAACAATTAAGCTGATGCCAAATTTATATCAGTTGGTCTTAATGTACTTGTTTTCACACAACTCTTGTTTTACCCGGAGCTTTCAAAACGAGAGAAACTAAAAATGTTTGCTTAACAGTTTTGGTTTGGGTAAAAAAAAATTTCATGTGTACAGATACATCCTATGGGGTTACATGATCTTTTTTTTTGTATACATCTATTTTAGATTATACTGCATAAGCTTGTTCTTAACGTGGAATTATCCGAATACTCATTTGTTATGAGGTAAATCGAATAAACCTTTTGTCGAGTGATCAACGTAACACTGAACAGTTGATATACAATGTGTATTTCTCATTTCAACATCGTTTCTCTTTTTCTCTCTGGCTTTATACAAGAAGTGCAATATTTATTTTCTAAAATTCAATAAAAATTGTTAAAATCAAAGAGAATCATTTGTACTTCATTCATCAGTTTGGTAAAGTTTTTCATCCCATTAGTATCTCATTTAAAACAAAGTGATGCAAAAATCCATGACATTGTTAACGATTTTCCAATAATATTCGTACAAACTGAATCCCTTTTTTGTACAAATATCTCGGCTCTGCTTTAATACCCTGTGTCACTGCAGACTAGGTCACGTTACCCGTAAAGGTCGTGCAAACACGCGCGAACCTAACAGTAGCCAGACGGATATATGGTTTGACCGGAATTGATTTTCATTAGCCAGAATGAATGGGATGCCAAATCAAACCTCGATTTCACCTTGTCAAAATATTTTTTTCGTAATACAGGTGTATTCCATCCTGATCTTTTTTGTCCCCGTCTGCATAGAAAATAAAATACGTACACAGTAATTAATACACTAAATAGTAAATACCGGGTACATAAACTAGTATATAGTTTGGGCCCGTTAATGTACGTAGAAAAGCATATGCTCTATTTTGAAGTGTCGTATTTATCTCTAAAAAGTGCAATATATGTTGTTATACAAAATCAACGTTTTTGTTGATGCGGGAAATAATCAATGGAATTCAAATAATTATTCACGCACAAATCAGAAATGATTTATAAAAGGCTTAATTTTTATCTCCATTATTACGCAACTATATCCTCTCTGAATCAGACATATCTGTATAGATATCAAGTTCAAGTTAAGGTGACGGTCTGTATAATAATGTATAGTAATGTTTATATGCTGTTATAGCACAAATTCATTAACTGAATTCTTCGCCTTACCATAATACTTTTTCACCTGTATACTAGAAAAATCATTCTGGTTTCCATGGAAATCATATACGTTTCCATAGATAAATACTAGGTTTGCATATTTCTGCAAATGATGCATGTACTCATATGCTGCGATTTTTGCAATCAATACAAAAGGTAGATAATATCTTTATGAGAATTTCGATTTCCTGTATAAAAAAAATACCCATACATATTTTTGACTTTTTCTATTTCCTCTAGATCCCGCGGGAATCATTTCCACGGAAATTTATCTTTCTTTCTAATCTAATCTGTCAAATAAAATTCTGTTAAATATTCAGGACATTTTTAGGGGTATCACATATAACCGTCAGAAGTGAATTAAAATATTAATATACCTTGATGTAACAAAAATGATTTCAGACTGTCGGAAGGTCTGTTTTAAACCCATGCCTACATTGGAAGGTCACGGAAATGCAGGAAATGTTGTATAAGAGGGGCTTTGCTATGATTTAACTATAGTATGACACTAATCTGCTATTTTCTTTTTTATTATTTTGACGTGGTAATTTTGATTTACTGTAAAAGTGTAAAAACAAGTTGCCATGCTTCAAGAAATGGTCCTAATGAAGGTACACTGTACTAATGTAGTCATGTAGTACGAATGCCGAAAAAATCGATCAGAAATAAAAAGTGAACAGTAAGTTTTAACGTTCTATGAATTTTCTAGGTATTTTTTTATGTATTGTGTGTGTGTAACCAACTCATAAAAAGATACATTTACATACATACGTATTACATGTATTGATTTATAAAACTGCACGTAGAGTAATAATGCATCGTCATGCTAGTTTTAAGAATGCAATAAAAAAATGTTTGTCAAACAATCAAAAAAGGTACTTAAGGTCAGACGACACGTTCCTCAAATATATGTTTTGTATCTCTTGGTATTATACAATTTTTTTTCATATTTGTCATTCTCTTCTGATTTCTACATTGTTTTCAAAATATTTTTTAAATTTAAGTACAGCAAAAATTGTGTTATAGGCCATTTAGAAGATTACACATAAGGGTTATATAAGAAATATGACCCTATGGTATCTTGGCCAAATGCCTGGTAAGGTACCCTAATTTTTGTGAGGAAACTTGTTTAAGTACCTTTACTTCAATGACAAATTTTCAGGAAAAATTATATATTTTTGAGGAACGTGTCGTCTGACCTTAAGGTCATTTCAAATTTTTTATAATTCACAAACCTAGAGAGGGGATTACGGAAATAAAGACTGGCTTTTCAATGGGATTAACAACTTTACAAAACAAGTTAAATATTGGAACCTTTCATCTATTTTCAAGCAATTTGACTATCGGATTTAGGATAACTAGATTATATTGATTGTTAGAATTGAATTCGTGTTATGTAGTACAGAATTGAAGTTATTCTCATAATGCTTTGTCCTTCTGGGGGGAAACAGAGCTGGTTAAATTTACCACGATCAAACGAAAAGGTAAAAGTGCTTATCCAAGACTCCTGGCTCGAGAAAATAGAAAAACATAACACCGTTAATATTTTACTTATCTTCAGGAGATTATGTCTATATATACCAATAGAAAGGGGTTACGGAAATAATGATATTCAATTCTGATTAATTTGACTCACTAAAACATAAGAACGAACATTATAATCAATGTCATGTATGAATGAATGAAGCAAAAATCCACTTTAAATTAGGGTGTTTGTTTGTTGTTCAACGTCCCTCTCGAAATTTTTGACACCACAGCTGGTCGATGAAGGTATTTGTATACTCGGCTTTTAGAGCTATTGAGCTGTTGGGGATCTTTTTCCTGCCAGCACCTACTGAGACACGGGACCTCGGTTTATAATGTCTCATCCGAAGGACTGGTCTTAAAGTCCCACAGTGCATGGGATTCGAACCCGCGACGAAAGGATTAACTCCTTACTTCGCCACTCTAGAGCAGACGCACATGAAGGTAGAAAGCCACAGCAGCATTCATTTAGGCGATATTGTAATATGGCCTATGTGCATGGTTTCTTATAGTTCTTGTACTTCAAAAAACCTTCAAGGAAGTCAAAGTCCAGGGTGTTTTCTTTAATCAGTAGATTATATTTATATTGTTGCTTTATTTGACGTACACATCTCGTTCGCCTCTTGATAATTAAAGAAAGTGTTTGGAGAGCAACTGTTTAAAAGTTTCTACCTAGACTGACATTTATAGTGCTACATTATTGCAGCTATACAAGATACAGTATAATTTTACACACGACTTTATTATATAAAATATTGAAAATACCTTCTTTTCATTGGGGATACATTCGAAAGTGATAACATGCAACTGACTTTCAAATTGAAACAAATTGAAAAAAAAAAAGTTCTGGAGATGCCGGGGATCGAACCCGGGGCCTCTCACATGCAAAGCGAGCGCTCTACCACTGAGCTACATCCCCACGTTATTCGTACCGTGCTAAAAATAGATTAGATTCAATTGTAAAACAAAAATCGTGCTTTCTCCTAAAAGAAGGAATATTTCAGTTCAATAATAGGAATGCAAAGGTCGGATTCATGTCAACATATGTAGTTATATGAATGCAAATAAATGTCAACAAACTAAACTTAAAATACTGTGTTTGAAGCAATACAACAAGTACAATTTTTTTAGGAAAGTAAAAAGAGAGATAACTCCTAAACTTGAAGTGCAAAATAATGTAAATTGGTTTTAATCAGAGTTATTCTTCTTTGAACATGTCGAACTGTGCACGTTGTTGAAATGCTTTTAAACTTCCTGAGAAACAGAATAAGTATTGTATACCTTTTTAAATACCGGTAAAGTAATATTATTTCTTTGTTTAACCATGTGAAAAGCATATACGCGGGAAAGTGTATGCCGTGGGTTTTCAGAGCTTCCCTTATTTCTTTTTCTTTAACATTTTTGATTAATTAATTAACTTATTTATTTGTTAGTAGGCTAATTAAGTTAGTTTCATATTTAGTTTAGTTGAATTTAGTTTAACTTATTAGTTAATTGAATTGAATTTGAATACAGTATACAGGGAAATTTTCGCCCCCGTTTTATTTTCGCCCCTTTCGCCCTCTTCCTGATTGGGCGAATTTAAAACGGTGCGAATTCTACACAGCATAATTTCTTAAACAAATCTATGACTGGGCGAATTTTAAATGGGGCAAAATTGTTCGCAAGTGCAAAAGGGCGAATTTGTATTAATCTATGCATTTTTAAAACTCTATGGAGGACCAGAAGTAATAAACTGTCCGTGTAAATAAATTGAGTAATGATATGTTCAATCATAGACCCCCTATTAGCTTTAGTTCTATGCTAAAATAAAGGCGCAAGTACGAGCAGAATAAATCTATGTGATATGCCGCTGAATGGATTTTTTTTTTTTTTAGTTTTGATAGATCCGCGCCTTGTTCTTTACGGATACGTTTGACCTATTCTCGTGATTTAAATTCCTGATCTTACCGGCAAAAAATCGATAACCTGTGATGATTCTGTTACCCGGTGTAATGTTTTGAGGAAGGGCCAACCCATGTAAGTATAAACCCATAATAATTACTTATTTAATTTAATTAAAGATCTATTTTTATAGAAAATTAAATATTTACATGTATTTTGTATCTTTAACTTCTTTTTGAATCAGTATTTTTAAGAGTCTATAAAATTGATGTATAGGATGAAGATGAAATCCCAAAGGCCATATATTAAAGTCATATTTTATTCTTATGATAAAAAAGTTTTAAAAAATCATTGCAGAATAATTCGTTTAGATTGTAAAGAATATAATAATAATCGTTTTGTTCTCCTTAAATATACATTTGAGAAGTTTAAAAGCGTTGATATGAATGAATTATAATCTGCCCTGTTGAATTAACACGATTGAATTTTTGCCAACCCTAAACTACATCACACTATACCGTGATTGTTTTGTTTCTCTCTCTATTTATGCACACGTTCATTTCTTTATCGATCTTTGTCGTAAAAAGTTTCTGCCAAATATACACGATATTATTATTAATGCTTTTTAGAAACCTACTACAATCCATTAACTAGTGCTAATTGTAACGGGAACCGTTACAGATGTTCCCCAAACGCTCCCCAACTCCTTTTTGGTGCCATATTCCCTGTAAGCTTCATTAAATAAGACAAACTCTGTGCATTTTTGACTTCAACAACGTTTTCTCAGAAGGATACCATTTATATTCAAATTTTAGCATTGCACCCGTGTGCGCATGTGAATGCATGTGCGTTATGATCATATCATCTTGTCTACACTATCTACATATTTTAATATACAATATATTAAATCATTCAGTCCAAAAGTATGAAAAATCACTCTTTCAAAAGTATTTTTCATGTCACTCGTTCCAAATGCACGCACGTGCGTGCACATGCATGATGACCATACCTTCTTGTAGGAGTCCCTTATATCTATCTATATTCTAAATCCCATCCTGTTTGGTTGAAAAACAAGGGAGTTATAGCCATTTCAAGTTTAAGCCAATCAGATTGCAGCACACGTGCGTGCGCGTGATTTCATGATTTTTTTTTTCTACATCATATTGTAGTATATCCCAATGCATGACTATATTTTAAATTTCAAAGCATTTCGTCAAAAAACAAAGGAGATATAGCCATTTATTGTTTCAGCCAATCAGATTGCAGCACGCGGGCATGCGCATGCTTTCATGAAAATTCTTATATATCACGCTGTAGATCTTCATAATGTAGGTCTATGTTCAAAATTCCAAAGGATTATGACAAGAAACAAGAAAGATATTGAGACTTTAGTTTCAGCCAATCAGAGCGAAGCGCACGTGCATGCGCGTGAGATCTTACTTTTTTGACCATGTCATTTTGTCTATCCTTCTAATATATACTTATAATATGAATTTTAAATCATTTCATCAATAATTTAAATAGTTACGTCTGTATCAATTATATTGGACATTTCTCGTGTTGCACGTGCGAGCTCTTGCAAGCACATGTGCATGCACATGCTTTCATGATAAATCTTATATTACAGGCTGTAGATCTCCCTAATGTATGACTATGTTCAAAATTTCAAATGATTTTATCAAAAAACTTAAAAGATATTGAAACTTTAGTTTCAGCCAATCAAAGCGAAGTGCACGTGCATGCGCGTGCGATCTTGCTATTTTGACCATATCATCTTGTGCATACTGCTAATATATCCTTACATTATAAGTTTCAAAACATTTCGTCACAAAATAGAAAAGTTACGGTTATATCCATTATATATTGGTCATTTTAAGTTTTGCACGTGCGCGCTCTTGCAAGCACGTGCGCGCAAAATGACCTTGATTCCGCAAATCTACATAACATGCCTACTTACCCTAAAAAGGTTTCACTTAAGTCGGATGTGTAGTTTACAAGATCACTCGCGGAAAAGATTTTCCCAGGAAGAAAAATAATAATAATAATAATAAGAATAATAATAATAAGAAACAGAGTAAAAACAATATGTTCCCCAACTTCGTTTGGGGAACATAATAAATGATATCGCCAAGTCTGATTTATCTAGTAGTTTCGAGAAGTTAAAAGGATCGATTGACTAAATTTTAAATGCATGGTATTTTTTCGCTTTGTAAAAATATGAAAAGTATATAGCAAATTATGAAGAATAAAACTTAAGTTAAAATATAAGATTAATGAAGCAGAAAATAAACAAGATGTGTTTGTGAAACACTATGCGCCCGGCGGCAACAACGTTCGGAAAAAGATATTTTAAGCATTAAGGTCACAGTCAAGGTCACAAAGTCATTGACCTTGGTGTCATTTGAAAGAGCTTGATTAGCGGAGTATGCGTACCAAATATGAAATCTCAATCTCTCATGGTTCAAAAGTTATAGTGAGGGTTCAAAAAAGCTATTTTTAACATATAGGTCACAATGAAGTTCGCAAGGTCATTGACCTTGGTGTCGTTTGAAAGAACCTGATTAGTAGAGTATGCATACCAAATATGAATTCTCTATCTTTCATGGTTCAAAAGTTATGGCAAAGGTTAAAGTTTGCAGAAAAAAGCTATTTTTAGCATATAGGCCACAGTTAAGGTCACAAGGTCATTGACCTTCGTGTCTTTTGAAAGAGCTTAATTAGTGGAGTATGCATACCAAATATGAAGTCTTTATCTTTCATGGTTCAAAAGTCATGGTGAAGGTTAAAGTTCGAGACAAACAAACAAACAAACAAACAAACAAACAGACAGACAGACAGACAGACAGGACAAAAACAATATACGCCCTGGATCTATCGATCCGGGCGCATAAAAATACACGAACCATGTTTGAGAGAGAGAGAGAGATGTCCTGTGACCTAAAATATTCAGAAGTATAACAAATACACTGTGTATGATATTGTTACCATGCTAACAACAACATGTAAAGAATGTTTTTGAGGTAAACCCCCGAGAGAGTGACCGCAGTACAAAAGGGTTATGGGACTTCTCCGAACAATAATCCTTTAAACTGTTAATGACTTCATTATACACACATTATTTTACTAATACTATAATTGCTCTTTGATCTGGTTTCATTAATTTAAATAAAAGAAGTAATAGTTAATCAAAAACCATCTGAGCGTTGCAGAAAAAAGAATATCGTTATATTAACTGGAATAATCGACCTCGTATATAATTTCAGTGTAGGTGTAGCCATAAGCCTTGAAGATATACCTATTTCAAGCATATATAAATAAATGTCCTCTCTATTTTTACTGTTCCATCTTGATTTGTTTTCTAGATGTCAAAGGATGTATGTGGAAGTGGCGTCATCGCGATCGTCTGCTTCCGCTGTCCCGCCATACCCAGGATATGATTTGGAAGACTCTTACCGGGAGCCCGTATATGTACCACGTGTCAAGCCGGAGGGTGAAACTTACTACAACCGAAATCGAGGCTCAGTCGGAAAGTGGGCGTTTGGGTGTTTTACTGAGCGAAGGACACCGCGTCCTGTTCTCAAGTGTCCGACAGATTCCTGTAAATCAAACTACCAACATGGTAAAAACGGAACTATAAAACCTCTTTTAAATGGAAAAGCCACACCAAGACCGGAAACTGCACCTCCCCGGATCAAATCCGAGGCAGAACCCATTGCATCGGTGAGTAGAGGAAAACGTATGAAGAGAATCATACATAAGTATGCCCAGTCTGCTCCCACACCTCGTGTACGGAGGGTTAAGCCCGAGGCTGAAGAAATAGTTGTGCCCCATAAAGGAGGACGAATGGAAAATCTCATTCACAGTTATGGAAAATTGCCCTTGTCTGATAGGGGAGTTCCGAGGGTTAAACCAGAAGGTGAGAGTAACGCTTACCTTGATAAAGGTAAACGAATGAAGACCACGATTCACAGTCCCAAAAACCCGGGAGCGCCCCCTTCCTCTAGAGCAGTACCGAGGGTAAAACCCGAGGGAGAGGACAATGCAGAATTAGACAAAGGAAAAAGAATGAATAACTTACTACATAAGTATAATCGTATGCCAGAGTCCTCTAGAGCTGTCCCTAGGGTGAAACCGGAGGGAGATCCAAATTACACGTTAGATCTTGGAGGAAGGATGAGCAGAATCATGCATGAACCTCCAAGTTCTCGGCTAGTCTCGAGTGCAGTACCACGTGTTCGATATCCTGAAGCGCAAAAAATATTAAGAAAGAGTCGAGGACAGATGGGACGGATTTTAAGCCATATTGGCCGGAAGTCTGTTGTTCCGGTGCCTGGATACCAGAAGCGACAATTCGAACGCTGCCCAACTATGTAGTCCTGAAAATGTGAACGTCTGATTGACGTCGAATTTAACTATTTTATGCAGACATTTTATATCTTGTAGAAAATATCATAACAATCAAGTGCCAGATGTCTGCATGTGCAGACATTTTTGTTTTATACAATGTATTTCGTTTTATAAGTTTTTATGGTATTGAAAAGCAGTATTAATCTTCACTTGGTGCTTCCATGTCAGCGTTTTTTATATATTTTGTTGAATGTTGATTGATGACTAGAAAAGCGTTTATTTCTTTAATTTTTGTTTTATTCGAAATCAATCGTTACTACGTTGAACTAAATAAGTTTTGCACATAGATCGAGTTGCTAGATTTGCAATTTCTCTATAGTAAGGAACCCTTAATAAATTTCGTCGATATACCGGTATTTTAATGCAATTTTGGTTATTTTTCTGACAAATTACATTTATTTGAAATATTTAAAACATTTAAGGTTTCCTGATCCTCTGATAAGGGAGATCAGTCTCATGCTGGAATTAATTACTATAATTCCCTGGAATAAATGTCAGGTTTTATAATTAATACAGTTTCTCTACAATGAAGCCCTGGAAAATCTTTTTTGTCGAAAAATGGTAAGAAATGTAGCGCTAAAAATACAGAGGAAGAGCTAGAAGATGAATGGATCTATTAGGGTGTTTGAGCAAAATGGGTTTCCACGTTTTTTTAATGCCATAGATGGGAAAGTCTCCCTTAATTTTTTGTGTTTAACGTTTATCCACTTGCCATTATTTCCTTTCTCTTCTTCGGTATTTTTTCAAGAACGATTTTGGAGAAGAATTACTAGTAAGGAGATTGTCGATTGGCGCGGCTGTCTAGCTATTGGTCTTTCTGAAAGTATGTTCATTGAAGGAGTAACAGAGAAAACACCTGTGTTTTTTTTTTTAAATCTTAACTATATCCTTACATATAGAACGCATTGGGCTATTCTTTTGATATATATTCACGAGGAGTATATGAATTTTCAACCCTGAAATGATAGATCTCTGATATCAAAATTATTTGGAATTTAAATGACAAGAAGTGCCGAAAGGAAAAGAATAAACATTTTTTAGCCAAAAAGGTGGCAAAGATAAGCATTAAAAAATTTATAAAGCAATCTATAGGCTTCAAGATTCGGCGTTTTTTTTTTTTTTTTTTGTTTTTTTGTTTTTTTTTTTTTTTTTTTTTTTTTGTTTTTTCAAATTTTTTTCCGAAAACCAAACCTTGTGGGTTTTGGGGGGGGGGGGGGGGGGGGGGGGTGGGTGAGAGTGTGAATTCCTTCTTTCTCTCCATTTAGTTATTTATTTATTTTTTGTTGCTTATTTTTAAAATAATTATATGTATTCTTTAAATTATATGTTTTTGTTTCTTTTTATTTCTTTATTTTTTAATTATGTTTTTCAGTATTTGTTTTTTTATTCTTTATTTGATTTGGTTTATTTTTATTTACAAATAAAAGTATTTCATTAATTCTTTTTATTCTTTCATTTATTTTTTGTTCACTCAATCCCCCTTTTCCATCTAGATCACGCGTTGTTGGCTTTGTACGAATACTCCAGGTTTTAACTTTCAAACCTAGTTTACGTTCAAATTAACTAAAATCTTTGAAAGAAATAAACATCCGGTTCGTGATGTTTTGACATTTTTTACTTATTTTTAAAGTTAAAAATATCGCATGGCACGATACCTTAAATTATAAGTAGTTTTAGGTGAAGGAAGACTCAAATAGCAGTTTTATCTTGGACATAAAAGTCTGTAAACGATGACGATCGGGTGGGTTACCCTCGATGTCGGTGATCAGGTAAGTATCTGATAAAGCACAACTCTGGAAATCATGTACATGTACATTACATCTGTACATGTAGCACTGCATAATGAAATACTAAGATTTGAGTTCTTAATGATTATACGAATGAAACGTTATGGGCTATTTCATCTTTCTAAATTAATATGGAAATCATGTCCATACAGTCGCATTGAAAGGTAAGGAACTGAGGAAGAATTGAACAATTGAAGATGAATTTCTTTTCAAACGTAATTTTTGGCCAATTCTCCAGTTTAGTAACTTAGTCCTAAATATCTTACGTTTCCAGGCTTTTTTCACGATTTTGATATTTTAAGTGAGTGGAAAACGTCAGAAGTTGTGACATTACGAAAACTGGAAATTTCACCGTCTCCAGTTGGAGTTGATTTTCAATAAATGTGAACCGAACTAAATGCCGAAATCACATTTTTTAATTGCAAAATACCCTTAAGTACTCACTAATATCAATGTAAAGAAAACATCACTCTAGATTTCGATACAAGACTTGCAAGATTTTAAAATGCATGAAATGAAAACAAGTCTTGACAGTTGATAAATTGTTTTCATCAGGTTGTGTGTTTTAAAATGAATCCATAGGAATGATGTTGGTAAGTACTAACATTATTGTACAATTAATATATTGTGAGTTTGATATTTGTGATAAAAATTGCAAGTATCAAAAATAAACCCAAGATTGTTGCCTCTGGTTGGAGATGGTGAATACACTGTTTTTGTAATGGTATTGGTTCTGACATTTTCTTAGCACATAAAATATCAAAATGTTGAAAGAAAAAGCCTTGATAATCAGATATTCCGGGTCTAAGTGACTGCCCTGGTTATAGCCAGAGCATATATACATGTAAATAATTTATTCCTGTCATGGGAATTACTTAGAATACATTATATTTTCCTTAGGCGTTGGTCTACAATCATGAAGGAGTTGCACGAACAGAAAATGGACCTCAACGGGTAAGTTATTTTTTTCCTTTATAGTGTTTATCTAGTAACAGACTTTTTGTTAAGCTCACCTTAGTCGAAGGCTCAAATGAACTTATTTGATCAGTATTTGCCCATTGTCTGTGATCAAATCACAGGGACTTGAGACAATCTTAGCAAAATTGGGTATTACCTGATTTTGCTAAGATTGTCTGAAGTCCCTGTGGATCAAATAAACATATTTGCAGGAAAAGAGAAATACTTTTATAGTTAAGTTTAATTCTTTTAAAAATCCACCCAGTCTTCTGATTAAGCTTCTTTGTTATCATACTAAGATATGCACTCTAAAAACATGAAAAAGTACAGTTAAAGTATATTCATGTGTAATATTTTAATTTAGAATGATATAATTTTTTTCCCAGATGTTCCTTTGGCGTGAACGCTATGAAGTTTTAAAGCGAAATGCAGCTAACCAGAATTCCTATCTTGTTGTGCAGTACAAGGATGGGCGAGTGGAGCATAGAAAAGGGTAAACATTGCCACATGGCACATACATTAAGATTGCTCTAAAAACATTAAATCCAACTGTGGAATGAAAAATGTGGTTATGCTTTCTTCCCATATCCAACTTCCAAAAATTTACCATCTTTTAAAAGTACATGTAGAGATAAAGTATGATATATGTTTTTGCTATTCAATACAATATAAAATGCTTATATTGAACAAGCTTATAATAAATTTTCACTTACAGGTAAGGGATTTTCTTTCCCCATGGCTTTTAAACAGACTGTGAAGCTATTAGATATAACGAATTACATATATAACGAAGCAAAATTACCCATCCCTAGCGCTAAGTTATAATCCTGTTTTACTGATATTTTTATCTATCTAAAGTACATTTGATTTTTTTTATTTCAGGCCTTGTGTTATGTTCACAAATCCCTTAGAGCATTATAAGATAGAGATTCGCAACATGGTCTCACTGGACGCAAACGAAGCATTGGTCCTATACAGGGAAGATTCCGAAACAAAGAATGTGACACGATATGTCCAGTTTGGCCCCACTCTTGTCATGCCCCAGGCTAATGAATGGTAACAAGAATTGAAAATTTTATGTGTATAAAACAAAATGAAGATTTTTTTTCTGTGTGTGGATATAAAAGGATAGTAGTAATATATTCTGTAGTTGATTTTAAGCTGTTTAGTGAACAGAGAAGAATCCTACCTTAAACTGTTTAGTGAACTGTAGATCACAACAATTTTCATTAGATATTCATTTGTTATTTATGAACAAGAAAAATTTTCACAAATGTTGACTAATTGTTTTATATAATCTTTCATTACAAAAATATACATTAGAATGTAATTTTCTTCATCAGTCAGTCGCATAATTAAGTGAATATTAATTTCTCACAAATAAAAAGAGTTATAAAGCAAACTATTGGTGGATGTGGAGAATATTTCATTGACCTTTAGAATTATATTATCATAATTTCTATTTTTGAAATTCCAGGTTCCATTCCTTTAGCTGGCATGGTACGGATCCAGAGAACAAGACTCAGTTGATCCCTAACGCTCATCAGTTCCAGAAGCTTCAGATCATTCCAGGACAGTTCTACTACAATGTAAGTCTACTACACAGACAAGGTTCTGATATTATTCAAATTTTAATTTATTTCCATATTGAAAATAATAGCGGCATAGCCATTGGTTGCACTACCTGAAGTGCAGTGTTTAGGAATAAACTGTATATTTTGATTTGCTTCATTTTATGTTTCCATCACAAGTCAAACCAGTCACAACTATTTTCTTAAAACTATAATTTTGGTTTAGAGTGCTCCATAAGATTGCTATATAATACCGCGTTTCTGTCAAACAAGCCTCTCACCCCATCCCCCAAACCCCCACCCCCCAAAAGAATATTCCACATAAAGTGGATTTGGCACTCACAAAATAAGTCAAAAAGCCAATTTATTTAGTAGTTTTTTAAGGAAAAAGGTATGAGAAAAAAATTATTTTTAAAATTTTATGTGAGAAATGATTTCCTGGTACCTTTTCATCAGGTTGATGAAGTGCGAACAAAAGATGATGCCCCAATCCGAGTTAAGCTGATGGTATTTTACGAGTTAAAAGACATAGAGACCATGGTGAGTTGTTTTCATGTACATGTGTTGATGTCTATCAAACAAGACAAATTACAAGGCCCCAATATGGCTTTTTATGTGGCACAATAGAATTTGAAATAGTGTAAACTTGTGTTGTGCAGTAAAAAATAATCTTTCCCCAGTTTGTTGAATTTTCATTTTTTTTTCACACTGGGAAATACTGTACAAACTACTGGTAGTCAACATAATATTTTCACAAATAGGATGTTTCTGTTATCATTGTATTTATAATGTATGTCAATTTGGTAGGTAGAAAATTACACAGATCATCAAAAAAGGCTCTTAGTTTCATACCGTATAAGTAGAATTTTTAGCGAGGATTTAAATTTGGCATTATTAGTGAGGATGCTGAGATAGCTTAAACTGAATATCACTAAAAATTAATTGCATATTATTTGTAATAGCTTCTTGAGTTAGCATTTCAAAATCGCTAAAATTACTTCTCGCTAAAAATAAAATACCAGATTTTAGGTAGAAATCGCTAAATTTGCATCTCGCTAAAATTTCCACTTATACGGTATTTGACCATTGAAATTTTTATCTCCTAAGTGAATTGCTATTAATATATATACTGTAATATGTAGTTTTAATTATTTCAGCTGAATGCCACCAAAGACCCAATAGCAGACATTGTCAAGTATGTTTTTCATTAAATTTAGAGTGTGTTTGGTTTCAATTTATTTGCACATCTCCATGAAAAAAAGTAATCTAGTTATATATGTTACAAAGCACAAGGCAATATTCTTTGGAAATATATGTAATGTATATAGTTAAAATAATTTGCACTAGTCTTGTAGAAGTATTTCAAGAAGAAAATTATAAATGTAATATGTTTAATTTAGTCTATAAAAAATGCCTCCTAAAACCACCAGTATTTATTTCAAAGAATGGGTGGACTTAACGCCCTATTTTGGATCTTTTTGAGACTACTCTATCAAGTTGAAAATAAAGTGATTCAAAAATATATCACAACCACCAAAAAGAGCGACGTATACATGGTTATTTTAGCTAGAACATATGTACAAAAGCAATGCCTTATTGCCATGAATCAAAATTGAAACAAGGATACATTAGTGTCGTCTTCCGGAATTTGACATGTACCCGGAGTGGTTTTTAGGTCGCGCTATCAATATTAATATGAGGCGGGGCTATCGATCGGTGTCATTGTTGACATTTCTCTCTTTCTCCATCTCTCTCTCTAGAAATTCGAATACGTGTTTGGAATATTACAGCGATGTTATTATGATTTCTTTTTTTAAATTTGAAGACACGCAAAATTAAGACAACATTTAATGTGCTAAATTCTGAAAACGGCACCAAACATAGTGATTTACATCTAGGTCAGGTTGAAGAATACAATGTAACTGTTTCCACGAGTACACTCGCAGGTGGACATCACGTGATGAATTGTAATATTTAACAGGTCAATCGAAGTCGTAACAATGGAAGCGAGAAGTATGTTTGGAACATATTTTTTGTTAAATTAGGTGTGAGCACACGTTTGTCGGCTCTTCTTTTTTTAATATGACATTATTTTGTTCAATATACAACTACAGTTTTCGTAATAACAGCCGACAAACATGCGCTGACTATGTATTCAGACGATGAAAAATGCGTGATCCTGATTATCTATTGATATTCAACAAATCTTCAGGCACCATGCCATCGATATTTATTTAATTTACCCCGAAAAGAGCGTTTTAAATTCACATCCGTACCATGAATACACGGTTAAGATATCGGGGGTTTATATGATGGAAAAAAATTAGCATTTTATGGAACTTAAATTTGCAGATTTTTTCTGGCTAGTTAAGTCCACCCATTCTTTAAATTAAATTAAAAAACTGGGAATATTTCTCATTGAAAATCAAAATTGATTTTTACAGCTGTGTGTGTGCTGATGTTGTTGCCTTTGCTGCCAAACACAGGTAAGAACATGTAAATTGAAAGATTTACCTTGTACTATTTTTAGGTCACCTGAGTAAACTCAGGTGACCTATTGCTATCCGTTTTCGTCCGTCGTCGTGCGTTGTGTGTCGTGCGTCGTGTGTTAACATTTGAACATTTTCACTTTCTTCTCTGAAACCACTGTACAATTTCAACCAATTTTGGCATACAGCATCTATGGGTAAAGGGGAACAAAAATTTTGAATTTCATGGTCCTGCCCCCCTGGGGCCTTGGGGGTGGGGCCAAAACCACTAAAATTAGTGCAATCTTAAAAATCTTCTTCTTTACTCCTGGACATCAAGCAGTCAAACTGTTGGTATGATTGTAATCAGCATTGAGTCCTCTACCAAATTTGTGAAATTCATGGCCCCTGGGTCAGGGGTTCTAGTGCTAGGGCGGGGCTCTATTGATTATATAGTGAAAATGCATAAATTCTTTGAAAATCTTCTTCTCTGCTCCTAGGTATCAAACAAACAAATGAAGTACATAGTTATGATTAGCAAGAGTGCCTCTTTCAATATTGTGAATGTTATGGCCCCAGGGTCAGGGGTTCTAGTGTTAGGGCGGGGCTCTATTAATTATATAGTGAAAATGCATTAATTCTTTGAAAATCTTCTTCTCTGTTCCTGGGTATTAAAAAAACTAAGTACATTGATGTGATGAGCAAGAGTGCCTCTTTCAAAATTGTGAATGTTATGGCCCCAGGGTCAGGGGTTCTGGTGTTAGGGCGGGGCTCTGTTGATTATATAATGAAAATGCATTAATTCTTTGAAAATCTTCTTCTCTGCTCCTGGGTATCAAATAAACAAACTAAGTACATAGTTATGATGACCAAGAGTGCCTCTTTCAGTTTTGTGAATTTTATGGCCCTAGGGTCAGGTGTTCTGGTGTTAAGGCTGGGCTCTATTGGTTATATTGTGAAAATGCATTTATTATTTAAAAATCTGTCCTGCTTCTGGGTATTGAATAAACAAAGTACATAGTTATGATGAGCAAGAATGGCACCTCAACCAAATTTGTGGTTGTTTATGTCCCCTGTATCAGGGGTTCTGCCATTTGCTTTAGGGGAGGGGGGGCTCTTTTGATTATATAGTGAAAATACATTAATTCTTTGAAAATCTTTTCCTTTGCTCCAGGGTATTAAATTATGCCAGTTATCTAAGTTTTTATATATTTATGATGAAAAAAGGTGCATCTAGCAATACAGTGAATTTTATGCCCCCTGGGTCAGGGGTTAGGGGGGTTACTTAGTCTGAAAATAAATTAATGCTTTGAAATCTTTTTGGTATTAATCAACCATTTATGACGAAATAAAATTTATGATAAAATTTCCAAAATTTTGAAATAAATGGCCCCAGGGTTAGTGGCTCCTTTGGGGTGAGGTGCATAACTGGTTATAAAGTGGAAGTGCATTTTCTCTTTGTTTATACTCTGATCTACTTCTGGGTATTAAGTAACTAGTAGAGTAAGCATGCTAAGTGTATAATTATGATAAGCAATACTGCCTCTTTCAAAATTATGAATTTCATGGCTTCTGGTTTAAAACACGAAATAAATTCAATTGTCAAAAGTTGTTACTTGATCCTCAGGTGACCTATAAGGCCCGTGGGCCTCTTGTATTATTTTGAAAAGGGAAAAAACCTTGCATCTTACTTATAGATAAAACCTTTTTACCTAATCACTTCCCTTATTAGAAATCTTTTGAAGAAGAGAGCAGAAATAGTAGCCCATGTGACAGGAAAATAATTTCTATCAACATCTTTTCAGTAAATGCCACACTTGATTGTAAATGATTTGATTATGAATTACACATAACATGCAACCCCCTCTCTTTTTTGTTTGATAAAGAGATGAAAATTTTACCATATCAAAGTATTTTTTTTAAACTTGCAGCTATATTGAATTCATGGAGAATTCATCAGAACTCAATGACCTTGCCAATTACCCTCAACTCACGGAACGCAGCAAGAAGATCGGATATGAGATTTCAAAAATGGTGTATCGTGGGTACCATGCTCACCCAGAACTGCAGAGAATTCACGATACAGCAACCCAGACTAGGACAAGGCTTAAACTGGCTGTAAGTAGATTTTTTAGTAGCATTTGATGCTAAATCCCAAATATTTTGTTTTCTGCATTAAGGATACTGTTACAGTATCTAATTGGCCATTAATGCTAAGTCAAAAAAAACATTTCTTTTAAGGTAAATACAGTGAAACTTGTCTAATGCAATTGTTGTATATTCCAAAATTTATGTTTAAATTGTTGTATGATCTGGCCAATTTTATGAAACCAGAGTTTTTCAGATAACACAAGTATTACTGTACATGTGATAGAGTATGTGATATACACTTTGCTTGTATAATGTTCTTTATTCAGATGTTAGAATCCCAAGACTAAATGTTTGCTATTGCATAGCTGAATCTAGTGAAACATTTCTCATTTTGTATTTACTAAGATCTATATTTGTATTTATGTTTTAGTATGAAAAGGAAGAGCAGCAGCAGAATATGACAGATCTCAAGCTTAAAAATGACAGAGATCGTCTCAATCTGGGTATTTTTTTCTTCATAGATACATGTATTAATTTTTCTTATTTTAAAGTAAATTTGAAAATCTAGAATGTTTTATGATCTTTAAATAGAGAAATTAAATTGGAAAAGGGTGAATACTGTTTGCAATATTTTATTGAAAATTGTGAAGAAAGAAACTGGCCATATTCTTATTTTCTGTTTCTTTATTTGTAGAGCAAACAATGGAAATCGAAAGTTTAAACCACAAGCAGCATATGGAAAAGTAAGTCCTACATGTATTTGTATTTGGACATTCTTACAACAACTTGATTTCAATCTTGTAAACTTTTGTCTGAAGTTGTCAGGAAACTTAATAAATCCTAACTAGAGGCCTATGGCCACTTAAGTTGATACATTTAACAGATTCACCATTTTAAGCCCAATGGTTCTACATGTATGTAATGAAGTGTTAAGACAATGAATAATTTTGTTTATTTCAGAAAAGCAGAAGCTCAAGTGAGCTAAAAAAAAAATTCCTATTCAATCTTTACTGAATAGGTATAAATAAAATACAACAATACCTGTTTCATTAAGCAGTAATTTCCAGACAACAACATGAATTTTTTACTCTTTACAGGGCAGCAGTAGAACACCGACTTGGTCTGAAGGTTCAGGAGGAGGAGAAAAAGAGGGACCGATGGACAGAGGAAAAAATGGCCACTCTGGAGGTAAAAGGGGTTCATAGTCTCAATTAGCCTTATAGCACAAGTTAAAATCTATGTACTGAATCTAATTCAGACAGTCCTAAATAAATTGATATTCTATCTATTGGCACCTTTCTACTGTTGTTTTCAGAAATTGAATATATGTTACTTTTTTAAAAACAATATCTCTATTAATCATCCAGTACGTATTTAAAAATAAATTTTAAAGTTCATTTCAACTTCAGTATCTTTAATATAAATATCTTATTTTTTAGTGAATTGGAAAACCTTGGATTTTTTTTTTTTTGAGAGCCCATTGAGTTTGAGATAACAAGGTTTACTTTTACTGTGTGATTAGGTAATGTACAATGAATAAGTGAAAAATATTTGATATATTTTTTTGTTGTAAGGCCAAGAAGGAGGATGATAAGGTATTCCTTCAGCACGTCGGTGAACTACGCAACCTTGGGGTGGATCTAAACCAATATTTACGATCTGAGGCCCAGCAACCACAGAAAGTCATCCGCATCGCCGCTGCAGATAAGGCAGCCAACTTCCACCTCCACCGCAATTAGACAATTAATGGGTCGCTCAACAGAGGAACTAAGGCTCAACATGCTTATAGGCATTAAGCTGATTAAAGCAAACTTTTGATTTTCCAGTGTTTAGAAAATGTATGGTTTTTCATTGATAAAATATTTATTTAAGAAATAAGATACCATTTTTAGAGTTTCATTGGGATTTGAACATGAAGTCAGTCACATGATCAAATTCTATAAGGCCCAAACGGCGTTACCGTAAATCTGGAAATTTTTACGTCGATTTATTTTTGCGAATTTGGGTCAAAAAGCTGTTGATTAATTTTTACGCTTCAAATTTTTGCGAATTGTCACTGGTGCTAAAAATAAAAATCACTAAAGATTTTCATATCAGGTTATTTTTCAAATAATATGCCCAGTTAGAATGCCACCAATATACTCGCAACGTGGCAAGAAATTGCAAAACCGCTCCCAAACAATTTTGATAAAAATACAAAAGGATTTGCACTGAAAATAATTTCTAAATCAATTATAACAAACATTTTAGAGGTTGTGTATGCCTTTTAACGTAAAGTATAATCCAAATGAAGAAAAAATACAACTAATTTTCTCAACGTTTGGTTTTTCTCACCTAAAATTTACACGCCGCGTTTACATTTGGAACTTTCTAGTAAATGCACTAAATTTGAGTTATCGCTCGTGTTGATACACGGTTAGATAAAATGACAGTTCTCTCTTTATTGGCAAATTAATTGATGAAAATAATGAAAAAGGGACATACCAGTGCTTGTTAAATCATCGGACGATATTGCATATAATGAGGGCAATTTACACGCACGGGTAATTAACTTGTAGTTATGTAGTAGACTAGTCTAAACAGGTTTCTTTTAAAAATGACCAGTGCTTACCGACGCCTATTCACTGAGTTAAAAAAAGACATGAGTTCTCAGAAAAAAATTCTTCACATGTTGATTTATTTTTAAGAAAAATATTTTTGCGAATGCAATGCACGTGCAAATTTGCTAAAAATTTATCTACAGTAAAAATTTCCAGATTTACGGTATTAGGTAATGGATTCTGAATCTCATGAAAATGACTATGTCGATATTATGAATGAAAGTACATATGCCTAAGCATTAATGTGATAGAGACTGAAATTGTTCTCCCAGTGGAATTCTTCTCTCAATATCCTATACCTTTTTTATTCAATTGAATGTTAAGACTCTGGATAGGAAAACTTTTTGTTTCATGAAAGGTTGAAGTAAATAGGATTGGGTGTTTATGGTCTTGTAGCATGGCAGTCAAAAAGAAATAGAATCGTTATTTATTTACCGGTAATACATATATTTTTGTTTTTTTTGCAATACTTGATTGAGATTTTATTTATTTCCTTTTTATTTTTAACCACAAATGGTATTTTATTGCTATTCATCAAATTTTGGAACCATTAATGAGATTTTTTGTGGGCAACAGTTGAACTTTGGTATCTCTAACATTGATATTACAAAGTGGTTGAAAGTTTAACTACTTTTACTGTATACAGTAAAACTTGGTTATAACGAAGTCGCTAGGACCTATGAAATCACTTCACTATATCTGTAATTCATTATAACCGTATTAGAAATTCATTAAAGAACTTTATTCGGTAATAACCAATATTTGCCCCCCAAATCAAACTTTGATGAAGATATATTTAATTAAGTTCTTAAACAGGGGAGTATATGCTGACTTCAAAGCACTGAATATTTTCAAAAGTAATGACGCCATATGTACGTAATGACGTCACAAACATGACGTAAATTTCAGTTTTTTATGAATTTTACAGAAAAATGTACATATTTCGTTGATATTTTGAGTAAAGTTCACCGAGCGCATATGTGTACAGGATCAATATTTTGATATAATGTGTAGAATGATAATATCAATGAAATATGTTAATATTGTTCCTGAACAAACTTGCGCTCTATAAATTCTAAAGCTAAAATTGTTGAAATTTTGTCCATTTTGTCCTCTTTCTGAAAAAGGATATAAAATCGGACTAGTTTGTGACGTCATAAAAACAAAAATTGTGAATGCATTGCTTTGACACTATAATATTTTCTGTTAATTTTTATTTCTCATACAATTTATTGAATTCAGCACATTTCAGGAAGTTTTCAAAATTTGATTTTTGTGGGGGCAAATATATGCAATATACCGCATATAGTTCTTTATATAGCTGGTGATCCAAAATGACTTCGCTATCCGTAAATTCGCTATATCTGTGTTCGTGCTAAACGAGTTTTGCTGTATACATTAACCTCAATATCTTGGAACTTAAATATATATATCTCTCAGTTAGAGATAGCAGGGTTTTCCTGTATTTTGTCGATCAGTGTGACTTGTGAGAATGTTTTTTAGAATGTTGATTGTAAAATTTCATGAACACTGAATATGCCATTTATCATTGCATTGTCAACATGTAACATCTGAGTAAGCAGACACAAACTGTAGTTTGATTTTTGCATGATTATGTTGCTCAGAAATTCAGTAGATTCTGTATAAGTTTTTAAATTTGAACAACTTTAAAATCAAGGGTAGCTTATGATTTAGATTTTGCAATGAAAAGTCTTCATGTTATTTATAATGAAATGGAATTATTTCTTGATATTTGTAGTACACTAGCGTGGTACATGTTTTTTAAAATGTTTTTATTAGCTCACCTGAGCCGAAGGCTCAAGTGAGCTTTTCTGATCACATTTTGTCCGGCGTCCGTCTGTCTGTCTGTCCGTCTGTCTGTCCATCTGTCTGTAAACTTTTCACATTTTCGACTTCTTCTCAAGAACCGCTGGGCCAATTTCAGCCAAACTTGCCACAAAGTATCCTTGGGTAAAGGGGATTCAAGTTTGTTCAAATGAAGGGCCACGCCCTCATTCAAGGGGAGATAATTGGGAATTAATGAAAATTTGGTGGCATGTTTTAAAAATCTTCTTCTCAAGAACCACTGTGGCAGGAAAGATGAAACTTATGAGGAAACATCCTCAGGTAGTGTAGATTCAAGTTTGTTCACATCATGACCCCCGGGGGTAGGGCTGGGCCAAAATGGCTGACCAAAGTTTACATAGAAATATATAGGAAATTTCTTTAAAAATCTTCTCCTCAAGAACAACAAAGCCAAAATTGATCATATTTATATGGAAGCATCCTCAGGTAGTGTAGATTCAAGTTTGTTCAAATCATGACCCCCAGGGGTAGGGCGAGGCCAAAATGGCCGACCAAAGTTTTACATAGAAATATATAGGAAATTTCTTTAAAAATCTTCTTCTCAAGAATGACAAAGCCATAATTGATCATATTTATATGGAAGCATCCTCAGGTAGTGTAGACTAAAGTTTGTTCAAATCATGACCCCCAGGGGTAGGGCGGGGCCAAAATGGCCGACCAAATTTTTACATAGAAATATATAGGAAAATTCTTTAAAAATCTTCTTCTCAAGAATAGCAAAGCCATAATTGATCATATTTATATGGAAGCATCCTCAGGTAGTGTAGATTCAAGTTTGTTCAAATCATGACCCCTAGGGGTAGGGCGGGGCCAAATGGCCAACCAAAGTTTTACATAGAAATGTGTAGGAAAATTCTTTAAAAATCTTCTCCTCAAGAATAACAAAGCCATAATTGATCATATTTATATGGAAGCATCCTCAGGTAGTGTAGATTCAAGTTTGTTCAAATCATGACCCCCAGGGGTAGGGCGGGGCCAATATGGCCAACCAAAGTTTTACATAGAAATGTATAGGAAAATTCTTTAAAAATCTTCTTCTCAAGAATAGCAAAGCCATGACTGGTCTTGGGACTACTTTTGGATTTAAGCTTTTCAAGTATAAACCAATTCTGCCTTTTCCTAGCCGCAGTGCTCAGGTGAGCGATGTGGCCCCTGGGCCTCTTGTTATATTAACTGTATTATTTCTACAAAAAAGATAATCACAAATAATAGAATCATTAGCACAGCATATTTATTTATTTATTTATGTATTTACATATTTATTTTCTATTTATTAAATCCATGTTAAGTGTCATTTTTATTTTTAGTATTGTTTTTATATTTTGCTATACTGTCATTTTCTCTCCATGCAATTTTATATTCATTCATAATTTTTATGATTTTTTCCTGATGTTTACATGTAGCCATGTTTACATTGTCTCTATGAATCATATACCTCATACATGTAATATCACATATATACATGTACATTTAATATGTAATTTTTGTTTTAATTAATAGTAATGAATTAACTAAACACAATTGTTTTAAACAGTAAAACACACTTACAAAACTGTATTGCGAAATGCTAGTGATAAAAAATGTCAGTTCATGATATACATGTAAAGATGAGATAATTCAGATACATTCTTGTGTTTTATAAATATAGGGAATGGAATCCTATATAAGTATGGTAGTTGTAATCATGTTTTACCGTAGTGACAATTTTGTGGCTGTTCATCAGCATTTAGATTAACAAAAGTTAATTTTGTACCAAGTTAAACACTTAATAAATGTTATTTATGAATTTTTGTTGCTGTTCAGTTGGATTTAAATTTCTGTAACCAGAGAACTTTCTGCAAGGGGAAGGGTATGAATTCTAGGAGTATAAAAACAGCCACTTCTATTTAAAGTTCATAAACCCTCTGCTCACTTGTATAAAATGTTTCTTGAATATTAGAGAGCAAAAATAATTCAATCTGACAAATTTAGAAAGGCATAATAGACATTTATGTTATAAAGAGTTATCTCTCTTATCAGAGTATCATTGAACCTTAAGTAGGAATGTTTCTATTGTGCAATAGTTTTTTTCCCCAAGAAGAGGTCAGTAATTAAGTTCAATTTTGCATCAATTCTTGGATAACTTGAACATGATGAGGCCTTGAAACTTCCTCATTAAAAGTGATGACATTGTTTGAATAAAAAATAAAAGAACAGTATCAAGTTTCAACATTTATTCAATATTATCACAGGAATGTTTTTCAATGGAAAAATATAAAAATAAATGCAAGTAATTGAAATATAATTGAAAAATAAATAAATAAATTAAATACATACTGAGACAATCACATTCTTATAAGAAGTATATATATATTTTCTATACACAAATTATTTTCTACAAATAATGAAATTTAAAAATTTGAAAGTGTTAAAAATTTTAAATATTTGTCATGTTAGAACATAAAAAACATCAACTTTTTTTCTTGAGTATAGATTTTTTTCTTTACTAAAATAAAAAAGGTTCAACAGAAAAATCTAAATTTCAGATCTGAAAGAGAACACGCACAAAATTATAGGACAGTGTTTGGGGTGGTTTTCATCCCACTCAGAGCTTTTCAATAAAAACGTTAAAGTATGAGAAAAAAATACCGGTATAACATACAATGAGATCATACATATAGCTTAAGTATCTTAAGGTGGAGTGATCCTGACAACTCGCAAAGCTTCAATATAAAATTACTTTCATACAGACATTTGAACATGAATAAATGATTGAATACAAATTGGTAAAAAAAAAAAATAAATAATAAACTACTCAAGTCTGGCAGTGAAAAAATATCGAACATATATAATTCCATTTTTACACAAAACTGAAGCACAACGAGATCACAGAAAGGATGATATGGTATTCAAAACAGCTGTAAAAATGATATGGGAATAAATTGTCCATGTTCTAAAATGAGGCAAGATCTTTTGCTGAATTTTGATCAAAATAATGAAAATTCAAATAATTTTTTTAATGACCATGAAAAATAAAAGTTTTGTATGTATGAAACAGAGAAATGAAAATATTTTTTTTTTATCAGAAATCATGAATTATTTTAAAATGAAATTGCTGCCCTCATCGTTAAACCAGAACACGGAATGACTAGCACTAGGTACTGTTCAAGGACCTGATAATCACTTCATTCATGTCCAAGAAACTTTGGCACAGTGTGGCACAATCTCTGACGATGACGTAATCACGCACCTGTCTCAAAAAACGATCAGATACACTGAGCATGTTCGATGGGACAATATCACGTGACTCGTACTCAATGGTAGCGCCATCGTCTGTGATGGCGTTATGTATTTCACAGAGTAGTTTGTAGACACTGTCCTCTTTATTTTTGAATTCAGGGGACCAACTTCCATATTCGTATTTTTCTTCGTCTTCTAAGCTGGCCTCCAAGAATATTGCAACTTTTGATAAATCTCTGTAGCTTCGTACGTAAGCTAATGTCACCTTTCCAAAATAAATTCAATAAATCAAAATTAAATATGAACATATATTACTAACAATATTTCTTTTTCAAGTGATGAAAGATTGTAAAACTTCTCCTACATTTACCCCTAAAAATACGATATAGAAAATTGTGTGAAGATTTTGTATCTATTAATTTATATAACTTTTTTCGTTTGATTTTTTCATTAGCTTATTGTCATATGGTAATTGTTGAATTTACCGGGTGGTAGTAAATTCAAAAATTACAATATGATATTAATTAAGAATGGAGGAAAAATTACATTTTTCGTGTATTCTTCCAGATCCTGTTGGGAAACATTAGTGTTGGGAAATCCGTCTATGTGTTGTGTGTGGAGGGCTTGCACGAGTGGTTCGTTCTTTATTCGCTCCTTTGCCTGGAAAACAAAACAAATATTTGAAAAAAAAATATTTACTAATGAACTATTGTCATCAAAATTCAAAACCACTCGGACGTACATTTCTTTTTAAAACAGAAAGAACTGTTTAAGTAGTTCAAAATACCAAAGGTGATACTTTTTTCGATCTGCTAGTCAGTGTTGTATACTGAGTACAATGCATCATTTACAGGTCGTAGCCACGGGCATATTTTATAGTATGGGGACTTTTTTCATTTAATTTATGAAAAGAAAGGTTAAAAACGTCAAGTGCCTGTAGCCTTGGTAAGTTGTGTCGGTAAAATTCTCTCTTATAAATGTTAATCTTGCGTTTCAAAAAATTTATAGTATACTTTTTAGTATTTTGTTGATTTTTTTTTTAATCAGACATGATTCCATTTTTCTGAATTGCCCAACTGAAAGCTATAGATTATTCTAAAAATTTATAAAAATATAGGTTTTTTTAAAGCATCAATTCAAAAATAAGAAAAAAAAATATATAGGTTTTTTCCAGTAACAATGATCAGTTGTCGATCAGTGAAAAATTAAGAGAGAGAGAGAGAGAGAGAGAGAGAGAGAATTGATGAAATACATTGCAAAATTTACTGATTATGAAACTCATTAATTATACATAATTAAAAAAAAATAGTTGTGGATTTTAAATGGAGAGGACTTATATATAAGCAGTACCTACTGCCCAATCCCTCTATGCTTATATTCATAAAATATCGTCTGCGGACAAATGTATATTCGCTTAACCAAAGTTATAAATAGATTTGTATATATGAAATTCTTAAAACCATATACATGGTAACAAAGTTTAAAATATATAATAAACCAGAAAAAAAAAAACAATTTAAAGAATTTATCTAGTTTCATAACTAAATGATAATGTAAGGAGTTTGAAATTAATAAACTTACCAGTCTATCCCGCAATGCTTTTGATATATCCCGTAGATCAATCAGTTTTTCATTAATATTCTGAATTTTTTCGAAGTCTGAAATCACAGGAACCTTTAAATCTGTTGAAATGTGTGTTCTAGTGGTATTACAAGGATTTGTCCATCTGGCGGGCTTTTCGGCCCCAACAATCGGCGCCGCTTCGCTCTTGTTATTTTCTGTGAAAACAAAACAAGAACCACGTTATAAAAAAAACCCGGTAAATTATTTTTTAAAACATTTTTTTTAATAGAATTTTTATTGTTGCTGGGAAGAAAGATGTGGGTATAATTATAATTACTTTTTTGAAAATGTTTTACGAATAAAAATTTGTCTTAATTTTCGTTTATTTTCTTTAGGGGGTGGGGATATAAGAATGTGCTAATTCTTACACATAAATGATTTTTTAAATATATTCATTTAATTTTTGTAATATACAATAATTTAGAAAAAATGTAACTAAACCATCAAACGGAGATAATGAAAAATACTACAAATAATTTCTCTTAAAGATGCATTGATAAAAATAAACAAGCCAACATGTGACAAATATTAAACTGATATCAAATAAAACAACGTAATTAAAACAAAAACAAACAAAAAAGAAAAAAGAAAGAAAGAAACACTTCATCTCAAGAAAAAAATTGATATGAATTAATTAAATAAAAATAAATAGAAAAAAATGAATAAAACAGATGGGGAAAAAATTATTTTTCAAAAAAAGTAGAGAGAAAAGAGAGAAAGAGATGAAAAATGGAGATACGTGTAATCTGCATGCAAATGTTTGTACATAACATTACATACTTTTAACGCTCAGAATGGTTAGTGAGATACCTATCAACACACCAAGTAAAATTAATATCATAACAGCAACTACTCCTTGCTTCATAATGCTTCTCTCGTATTTGCACATCATTTTCTGATTCCATTTTAAAGTTATGGTTAAGTTTTATACAGATAGTTTGGAAAGTATTACAGTTTTGAATCTTGGAGCTTAATTTCTTTGCAGTCGCTGTCAAGCCAATGAGAAACGTCGCGAGGATTTTAGAAGTCTAAATATAGTTCAAAATAAAATCCGAGTCTATTTTTATATTTATATCGATCCTAACATAATGATAATCGAAAACGATAACGCGAAATATACGGCTTACAATGATCAATTATTACTTATTGAACGTTAATGATAGTAAGGAAATGGCTCTTCTCTTCCGTATTTTCATCTTCTTGGGTATCCGTTTGTATATTGAAACCTGTGCCAGCCATAAAATAAAAATAGAGCACTTGATGAATATTTATTTTAAGAGGCGTGTCTTCTGAAACAGAGAATTGGCAAAAAAGAATGAGGATATGCACAACTTTTAGACATATTTTTACATGACTATGAAACTTGATGGGTTTAAAGATTAAAATATAAATACAGTGTATATAAATAACGTTAACACCCCCCCCCCCCCCCACACACACACACTGGCTAAAAGCATTGCAACTGGAACTAAATTCTAAAAAAAAAATAAAAATGCATTTATTCATAATTATTTGTTATGATTAAAAGTATTGTAAATGGAACTGACATTTTAAACTAAATAAATGTGTAAGTGTATAGCTTGATTCAGCTGCAATTTAAATTAAAAAATAATTAATTAACCCTGCATGACCCAAATCCTTGAATTCTAGGCATACCGGTTTCTGGTTTTTATCTTGGTTTGAATTTCAGATTAAAATACCACTTTTATCTTCTATTGTTTTCTTTGAATTCTACAAAGCTAGTACTTACATGTAGTATATTCTAACTTTGCAACTTTTAATATTTAAAAAAATTATATCAAAATAGTGAATTGCTATTTTTTTTTTTAATTTATGCATATAGATAAATCGGGAATGAAAATATATACCACTTCCACACAAAGGGTACACACGACATATTACAAAATCTATTTAGGGATATTCATTTATTAATAAATTCAATTAAAAACTGAACTTGTCGCAGTTAATTTAATCGTTTAAACCAAAATGTTGGCACATTTTAATTGAGGTAAAATATTAAAGCAGATGACATGCATGCAATTGTAAAGGAATTAAGATTTTGTGAATTTTGTAAAAAATACCATAGAAGATGAATTTCATTTTGTTTTAATTTGTCCCCTATACAAGGACTTGAGAAGTAAATATATTAAAAGTTATTACTGGAAAAAACCATCTGCATTCAAACTAGTTCAATTATTAAGTGTACAAAACTTTGCTGAGCTTTGTAATTTAGGTAAATTTCTGCATTTAGCTTTTAAGTTAAGAGATGAAAAAATGTGATTCATTCTTCGTTTGTCCAGTCATTATTTCAGTATATTTATTGACATTTATTATGTGTTAAAAAAAGTTTTTATAAAAAGACGCGCCACATCAAGTGACTTCATTATATTTTTAATAAACATGTATTGATACCAATGTACATGTTTTTTCTCAATTATATTTGTATTAAATTGTGATGATACGTATGTATTAAGCAATAAAGAATAATAATAATAATAATAAAAAAAAATTCAGAGGTAAATGGACACAAAAACAGAAGGGGAAAGAAATATATTTTATTTAAATAAATATATTAAAAAAAAAGAAAAAAAAGAGACAGACAGCATCATGCAGAAATGAATTTTCATTATAAACATATTAGTGCAATGTGCATATTTTTTTTTTCTCGGCATTTTGTTTTCTTTTGGGGTTGACATTAGCTCTAAAAATTTAAAAACACTAGGTCTAAGAACTATTTGATTGGAGATATTCGTCTGTAATATTAACTAGATTTCTAGCAGTTTCAGAATTAATGATTAAAAGGTCTATCTATTCACTATTATAACACTTCTATTCACTATCCACAGTGATTTTATTTATAGCATACACTGCACTTATGTAATTTACAGTATAATTTACCTAGTTTATTTATAAAGCATGATCTTTGCAACGAACAATTCAGTTGCCACTTGTATGTGTTACTATATTTATAAATCTCTCTCGCTCTCTCTCTATCTCGTATATAGATATTATATTATACATAGTAATACAAATAGATAAAGCATATTGCTTATGATATAGACCTTTCAATACAAAATAATTCAATGTTTTTGAACTGTGAAATAAACAAAATCAAAATTGATAAACATTTCCTGATAAGTTCATACAAAATCAATAAATAAGGGTAGAGAATTCAAGTAAATCAAAAGCATAGCATTGAAAAATGCGACGGAATCTTTAATATTTCAGATACCCTCTACCCCTCTTCCGAGATAGAGGAAGGGGGTAGGGGGAAGTTGCAAGGCTTTTATGTTATTTTAATTTTAGATATTACACGTAGACTTTGACAATGGTCAAACGCTAATATATTAAACCTTTAACGCTTCAGTTCGGCAGCTAAAAAGGGGGGGGGGGGCAGAGAATTTTCATAAGTAATTTATCATTAGTTATGAATTAATACAATATATATTACATTTTACATTTCTTTAAATGTTAACATGACGAGAAAACTTTTGTGAATATTTGGTAGCATGCATTTAAAATATTTTGTCCCTAATGCAGTCATAATATGTGCATGTCATATTAATTATGCTAATGTCCCCTCTCCCCTCTATAAATAAACACATTTTGTTCACTATAACAATTGATTCAGAATTGATTTTGTATGAAAAACTGAAAAAAGAGAATAATTATATAAAGAGTGGCATGAATTCCATTTTTTTCGATGACATATCCAGGGTCTATATACCGATTCCATGTTACGGTTAAATTAAGCAGAGAAAAGTTTTAATAAACGTGCATTGATTGGCTGGCACAGCGGTCAGTAAAGTGTATCATTGTCTCTTTTGGAGAGTTTGATCCAAAAATATCCACCCACTTCATCTATAGCTAGTTCCAGACTAGTTAACAATATATGATAATCGGAAGTACCTTGTGCTTTTTCCTTAGGCATAGAATCCTACTTTCGATTTAAACGCATTTGTAAAACTGCCTATATTTCCAGAAAACGGACTTTTAATCCCGCTAAAATTTAGGTCAAAGGTTCAGCTCCAAAAAATGCAAGCCATGCGGGTATGTTTATTTACATATGGGTCATTTAAACATCATTTAACATGACTCACATACCGGGTTATTCCGACGCGTGGACTCGGGGGCTCCAGGTTTTGCAGGTGGTGTTTTCCCGGAGATCGGCGCGAAGGTCAAAGATAAGGTGGAACCTTCTCAAAGACTCTATGCATGGTTCCGTTGCAGAGTTGAACATTGAGGAATATTTAATCAAACTTTCTACCATCCCATCCCAAAATGATAATTTAAAAAAAAATCGGTCAGAAATATTTTTGTTTGCACATGCAAAATTGTGCATTGTGCACATGCAGGTTCCAACTTTTTTGATAATTACAATTTTGAAAAAAAGGTATTAATAGAATTTTTTGAACAATGCAAAAAAATAATGGTTGTAGGCAAAAGGGAGTGGGGTGGGAAGTGGCATATCAGTGAACTTTTTAACATTGAACGGTTGCATTTTGGACAGACACTATACTTATATACGTGTGTGAACGTGCAATATACTAGTAAACATATAAAAGCAGTTATCTTGATGTTATAGAATTAAAAAAAAAACCTTATCAAATCAGCAATGTATAGCAATTAAAAAACTAACAAAATGAACAAAAACACACATACTGCATGTATGCAAAATTCTGACAAGAATAAAAAGGTATTTTACTGAAAATTAATTATACTAGAATTGTTTCTTTGCACACGTAATATATATTTTTTTAACCTTTTTACTTTATCTTTTTTTAAAACATGCATGGATGTTTGGATATATGAGAAAAAGTTTTTTTTTTAATTGTTGTCATATTCTTCAGGTTTTTACACTGTAGTAAAACACAATTAAAAATTCGATTGTTAACATCTGATACAAAATAAAGTAACTTTATGTAAACAAAATCTTTGAAGGATTCTTACAAACTGTGAAAAAGATATATCTTTCTACCTTTAAACTTGATCCATTTCACCAAATTTAATATCATGTAAATTTTGAATTTACGTGGGGTTGGGGTTGGAGGTCAATGCAAACTCTAAAACATGGTGCACAAAATTTACATGACAGAAATACATCTAATGTGACCTCAGATTTTATATACATGTACATGTAAAAAAAGTATAAGATATGAATATAACAGCATATCACATACATTAATTGAAAATTGTAAAATAAACTAAAATACTGAATTTTAATTGATTAATTGTTTTCTTTTTAGAGAAAATTTAAAAATTTTTATTTCTATTAGAAATTAAAAATATAAAAAATAACTTATACTATATATAATTTTCACATAGTATATATATGTTTATATTTATCTTAAAAGTGTGTCTTTGTTAAAGTCCCAAAGATTTCTGAAATTACCTAAAAAGTATCCAATCTAACTTACATAAAAATATATATGTTATAACTTTATCATTAAAAGTGTGTTTGTGTTTGTGTGTTAGATTATTTTATTGTTATTTGTCTATTTTATAACTGTTATTAATCAATTTATTAAATTATGTTTTATAAAATTTTTCCAAATATTTGCACCCCCCCCACCCCCCATCCCCACACAAGAAGCCCTCATAAATTGCAGAGAAGAATTTATGCATGTCCATGAGAGTATTTTTCTTTTTTGAGAAGATTATTGCTGAGTCGGATATCTCCACCCCCACACGGAGTAGGTTTTTGCGACTTTCCTTTCCCTTTTTCTTTTGGCTGCATGGTCAAAAAATGCATGTCAGTCTGAATTTTTCATAGTGGGTAAGGATCCCTCCCCTCCCCAGAAACGAGAAATTTCTTGGAACCATCCATTTATTAATTGTTGTCCATAAATGACAGATACCTTGTCCATTTTTTATGGTCAGTCGGCCCATCTGTCTGTCTATCTCAGTCATCTGAGTATCTGTCTGACTGTCTGTCTATCGGGTGAGAGACACTCTTTTACATCTTTGTGTGATGTATTAGTTTTGGGGGTTGTATAAAAAGAGGAGCGGATCCTAGAGTAATTATTAACTTCATCATGAATAATTTTTTTTTTAATATACCTGACAATTTTCCAGTGTTTTCTTGTAATGATAAGTGGAAACTGGTCAAGGAGAATCATAAAGTTAGCTAACTAATTAAATGCTATTATTACCCGTGTATATTTATTTCGCATGACATCACTATTCTATTTTTGTACATCAACGTTCTTCTTGGATTCCGTTTCGGGAAAATAAAGAGATCTGATTGGATGAATAGATAAGAAACTGTTTCTGCTGACAAAAATTGTAATTTTAACCTGTGTTATATACTGGTAATGACTGATTTAAAAAAAAAACTAAAGGAAGAACAGAAAAGAAAGAAGAAGTGCGACAATTACTACTTTTATACCCAACAATGATATCGTGGATTTTTTTTTCTAATGTATTTTATTTTCATTTTCTTAATTGGTATAGTTATCAGTTCTAAATTAAACATACTGGCTTTTTAGCAAAATATAAATGAGTAAAAAATAAAAGATAATAAAACATAAAGGTGATAAATAAGTATAAACATGTATTGAACAATTTATAATGACTTACCATTTCACTATAAATCAGGAAATATCACATTACATTCTTCATTCAAACTCTGATAAAATATGACAATACGAATATGTATAGGTTATGCATAATATTTTATATATTCCTGGAAAATATTGACACAAGCTATAGTAAATTATTCCAGTATAGTAAAACTTTATATTATAAAAACATTATCATGTCTGTTGGGTATACGTGTATGCTATGCTTTATATCACCCGATCCTCATAATTTTCTTGGAAACGAACAAAACGTATTTGAATCGTAAACGATATCTGTGTATATAGGCAAAGTTAGTTTAATTATATGTTTCCGGTCAATGTTGCATCATTTTCCAAAAAAATCTAAATATTGAAAGGCAGATCGCCATGATTTAGACTGCACGATATACATTATTTGTTAATTACATTAAAGAGTGCATAATTTTGTATATCATCATGTTGCAAAAATTTCAATTTCAAATTTGTACCAAATTTATATAATATTAAGTACGCAAAATTTGAACAGTTAACATGCTCAAAGTCCACTGATATAAAGATGACAGTAATAAAAACAGACCTCTTAAAAAATCAAACTTGGGATCCGGTATCTTGGAGAATTAAGCATCTCCTGTAGGCCATCAACTGTGAACATTTTGCTGTGGATAGCAAAAAAAAAAAAAAAAAAAAAAAACAAAAAAAAAAACAAAAAAAAAAACAAAAAAAAAAAAAAAACAACAAAAAAAAAAAAACAAAACAAAAAAAAAAAAAAACAAACAAACAAACAAAAAAAAAAATACGCAAGTAATTCAGAATGAAAATCACCTAATGTTCAATTTTATATTAAATACGCAATCAACAATCGACACAACAACAGGTGTAATTTCAAATAGGGTCAAGGTAACGACCGTAGACTTTGCAATTTTTTTTTACATTTAATACAGTATTAGTGTATAGTTTGGTTTCTTTTTATCTATAAGCTATAAGAAGACACCCCCTGCAAAAAATACAGAACTGTTCTTTAATTGATTAAATTTTATGGTAGATAAGATTCGAAGAAACCTACTGTTTCTTAATGTCTTGTAATGTAAATATACTATTATTTCAAGAACAACACAATCTTCTTTATTGAAAAAGATTTGCAATAATAAAATCAAAAGAAATCTTCGCAAACTTGAACTAGTTCCATTTGGGGAGGGGGGGGTGTATTTTACTGACAGTCAGCTCAGACTATTATTTTACAGTCGAGGACAAATTATTAGAATGTCTTCTCCTCAGGGGCTTTGATTTTTTTTTTATTTATTTATGTTATAAAAATATTTTTATTGTGATTTATTTATTCAGTTTTTTGTTTGTTGAGGATTTAACACTATTATCAGAAGCTTCTACTTGAACATTGCGTTCAACAGACATTTAATTATACATAGCCTTTTTCTCTCGAATTTACAATTTTTTGGAAATGGAAGGTCATATTATTTTTCATAAAATAGAAGAAATCTAGTCTTTTCCGAGAACATAGTTTAGCAGACTTATTTTCGCTTTCTCTTTAGATCAGATTTTGTATTTTATTTTGGAGAATAAGCATAATATACGTATTAAAAATTTCTGTCACACGATAACAAAAATGTAAAAGATATGTTTTTTTTCTTTTAAATATTATCATTAAAAAAACTTTCTTGATTTTTATTTCAAAACTACATCTCTTGTCGTATTTATATACGTCAACAGTTTGAACTTTTTCATTACATCTCGATTTCCGGTTAGAGATTTCCATCCAATCAAATCGAGGTTTTGGATGGTGCCGCAAGATTTCGAAGTATAGCCTAAAACAAATTTTAGTAAATGTAGTCCGTGCAACAATGAACATACAGAGAGTCACGCATATTTACAGGAGAAGATAAGATGGTTCTAGTACCACTAATCACTTGACAACAGCACGCAGAAGAAAACCAGATAACGGAACGGTACATGTATCTTTGTTTACATCAGAGCATGATAAATTTAGTTCGAATTTTCACAGACAGAAACAAGAAAAAACTTATGCATACATTGGTGAACCTATATTACATGTGGTCATCGTAAGGTAGATTTATGATTTATCACTTTGTTTATATAACAGAAATTATTCGAAGCAAAATTTAAGCGTTTTAGAATCCAGAGGTAAATAATAACATTTAATTCCAGAATGAGATCATATGCAGCAAGGTTTGATTGAACCCTTTAGGTATAAAAGTGTTGACTTTCTATAATGGCCCTGGCAATACCAAGTCTACAGATAGAAAATGGGCCACAAAGAAAACTGCTGGGTGCCAGAAAGCGACGTCCCAGCCGTGACGTAAGTGAAGATCAGGCCAAGAAAACATCGAAATACTTTAGACAATCTGATGGAGATACACAGAGATCTTCAAAGGATGAAATGACCACTAAAACCACGACAACAGTTGCAGTGACCAGTGGTCAACATGCAGAAGAAAATGGATGGTTTGAGAGTTCATTTTCTTGTGGAGGAAAAAGTTCAAAGGTTTGGAACACTTACATGTATGACAGTATGTTAAGAGTGCTTTATTGGGTGTCATAACCATTTGATATTTTATTTTCAACAGCAAGACAAAATTATCTTCAAAGCTACCTATAGTAAAATTGCTACAAAGTTATCAGTTTCCATCAATGTAAAGTATATTACAATACATTTTATTATGTTTGTTTCACATAAAAGAAGCAATGATTATAAGTGATCTTATATGTGAACTTGCAGTACAATTATAGTCTTTGTTTGTTTTCAAGGAGAACGAGATTCAGCAAGAAGTGGATGCTCCATTAAAAGAAACTGCTGTGGATGTGAGGGACAAGAAACAAAAACCACCAGGGAAGCCATCAGAGCAGGATAATTCTGATAATGACTCAGAGAAGGATTTCTTTGAAGAGAGTTTTCAAGATCAAGATTTTCTGAGCCATGTGGAGTCCATTGAGAGTCAGAACTCAGTTGATGTTGTTGACAGTGTGTCAGAAGAGTCATCAAAGTGTGAAAGTGTTTTGAGTAAACTAGTTGAAAAAGATCAGTTAATATTGTCACCTAAAAGTAGGTCTCATGAAAACAAAGTTTTCGGGTCTGAAAATAGGAGTAATATACAAAATGGTAATTGTGATTCAATAGGTAAAACTCGGAGTACAGTGCAAAAAAGTGTCTGTGATAGAAACTCAAATGTCCAAGTCTCTGTGTGCAATAATAATACTGACAAAGAGGTCAAAGAAATTAAACTAAAGACTACAGATCAGGTCAAAAGTGAGGAGGTTTTAAGGTCTGTCAATAGTGTGGGATCATTAAGGGACCGATTAAAAAGGAAATTACTACAGAATGTGGGGACTAAATCCCCTGTCAGTCCTGCACAGACAGTAGAGCAGGGAAGACAGAGCCGTTTAAAAGAGGTAGAGCGGGAGGCAGCCATTATACAAGGGGAGGGATCTGCCAATGACATCGGTCCATTCTACGGTTTGCCATCAAAAGTCCAGCAGCTATTACAGAAACAGAGAGGAATTACTTCGTTATATGGTACTGCACTGTCAGTTTTGAATTTCTAAGTCTGTACTTTTACTGTTTGAAGCTTTGATTTTGCTGCAAGTAATTTTTACAAACGCCCTTTTCTTCTGGTGGTATGCATTAATTAGTATTAGCTTTAACATTTTCTTTCCTTCTTCTTTTTTTCAAGCATGGTAAAAAAAAAAAAGAAAAAACTGCAAGGAAATTAAGGCTGTATTTAAGCATTGAATTCATATTTTTGGATGTCTTTGGTCCTATAACACACCTGGCCGTGCCGACAAATTATCATACCGCGCGTTATTTGTCGGCACGGCCAGGTGTGTTATAGGACCGAAGACATCCAAAAATATGAATTCAATGCTTATATTTACATTCTCTAATTTTCCTTCTTCATAATTGCTTATTTCATTAATCTTTAATGTGAATTTAGCGCCCTTCAAAACTGCCGTGGTTAATAGATGTAAGAGCCGTTTTTGATGTCAAATGACGTTGCAAAGTTAAATTACGCAAATAAACATTGCGAGGAAAAAAATGACAAATTAATTCTTAACGCACATTACGTTAATTTTTACGTAAATTTTTCAGGGTTATAGTTTTTCATTAAATTGAAATAAAACATTTTACATTTGGTGTTCCTAGAGTATCGAAAATGCATATAGTTCCCACTGTGTATTCTAAAGCTCGGTGACAAGGTTTCGCGTGTGTTATAGAAATTTGAACGTCGTGGATTTCTAATGGATTTCATAAGGAAAATTACACTGAATGTAAATATATATACATGTACCATATCTGGTATTAAAAGTAATACATGTATAAATTTTAGAGTGGCAGGATGAGTGCTTGAGACTTCCCACACTACAAAAGGGAGGTAACCTGGTTTATTCTTTACCCACTAGTGGAGGAAAGACTCTAGTGGCAGAGGTGCTGATTCTGAAGGAAATGTTGTGTAAAAAGAAAGATGCCATGATGATTCTCCCATTTGTGTCCATTGTTCAGGAAAAGGTGGGTTATATTTAGTAATCACTGTATCTATATTTAATTCTTTTGTAGAATTCTTTGAAATAATCATGAAGTAAGGAAAAAGGATTATGGGTGCTGGTCATTTAAAGAGATGCTTTGATAAGTAAACATAGTCAATAGTGAAATATTTTTGTGTAATAATCAACATTTAATGAAAAATTAAAGGAAGTTCAGTTCAATGAATCCTATAATTTGTAATTAAAAATAAACATTAAAGATCTTTACACAGGTGAAAGGAATGGCCCAGTTAGCCGTGGAGTTAGACTTTCTGGTGGAGGAATACGCCGGCAGTAAAGGGAGATTTCCTCCCATCAAACACAGAAAAAGGTCCCTGTATATCGCTACCATAGAGAAGGCTCACTCCCTAGTCAACAGTCTGATAGAGCAGGGGAGGCTGGATTCCCTGGGGCTGGTCGTTGTGGATGAGGTAATGGTCAAATAAGTTGACTCAACAAACTCTTTGAGATTTGCAAAAAAACTTGTGTGAATTATCCACAAGCCTCAAATTAAATTTTTCTCTGAAATATTAATTGTTACAGACCATTTGGGATTGAAATACATGTACTTGTCTTCTTTGGAGAAAAAGTTTCAAGACTTACGTTGAGACTTTGTCATAAAGAAAATTTGAAATTTATAATTAAACTGTAGGAGTGTTTAATCCTTTCTGGAAATTTACTGGTAAAAGACATATTTTTACTATCAAAGTGACAATAATTTAAATAAAACATTAAATGTTAAAAGTATCATCAGTGGAACTAGTTTTAATTACAGCTTCACATGATTGGAGAGGGGAGAAGTCGAGGATCCAGATTAGAGGCCACACTTCTGAAAATTATCTATGCCAAAGGCAAGTGCTTGTTTAGTTATGGTGTCATTGTTATCTAAAATTCAGAAGACACAAACAGTTTCAGTAAGATTTTGAGTGATTACTTGTGAATTACTTGGAGATACTTCAACAAAGATTCTGTAGTGTTATTAAAACTTATTTACATGTGATTGTTTTATAGCAACTTATGCTGACATTGTTATATGACTTTTCCTTTTCCTTTCAGCTTCCACCCAGATAATAGGAATGAGTGCTACGCTGAACAATATAACAGATCTCCTGACTTTCCTTAAGGCTGACGTCTTCTCCAGCGATTTCCGGCCAGTAAGAAATCTTTATGCAGGCTGTGAAATAATGTATACAGGGTTATTTATTCGCCCTTTGTCACTTTGCAAACAATTTGCTTGGTTAAAAATTTACACATATTGAGTTATATTTTTAAAAAGATAATGTCTTCTTTAAATTGACCCATTGTAATTCACCCAGTTGGGATGAGGGCAAGTGGGATGAAAATAAAATAAATGAGCTAACATTTCCCTGTGTTCACATTCAGTGCAATATTTTCTTAGCACAGAAGTTGTAAATTTTTCATTTAGTTTATTCATTAGCAGCATTACAAGATTTTAGTTTTGTCAAGATGTCGTAATCTTTATATTTAGGTCAAGCTTACTGAACATGTGAAGCTGGAGGACAACATTTTTGAAGTGCATAAAGGTCAAACTCTGCAGGAAAGTTTGAGTCATCAACGGACAGTGGCTTTCCAGGTCAGTCATGAGAGAAGAGTGTAACTTTAGAAACACAGTGTTTAAATTATTAAACTTCGTGAAACTTCTGAAATATTCATGAACATTTTGGTACTGGAACTGAGAAAGGTTTAGATCAAAATTGCAAAATATACCGTAATTTTCGGATTATAGGTCGATACTTTTTTTCTCAGAACCGCTGAGGTCGACCAATATACGAATTCGACCTTTCTAAGGCTCAAGTTTACAAAAAATGCCCCAAAATCAATAAATTTACGTCAATTTCAAAGCAAATCTGTGCCACTTTCATAACTTTTTTCATTATTTTACGCAGAATTAATGCCCAGGTAAACAATAAAATATTTATTTTATAGCTTTCTTACAAAATAAATTCCATTACATATCCGTTGATGACAAAGGAAAAAACTGTGCTTCATCTAGTAAATAATTCCTCAACGTGTTTATCCATTGCCATCATGCGGTAGCCATCTTGTGAAGTTAGGAAGTCGCTACCGTTTACTAAAAGTAAAACCGCAACCGTATCAAAATTTAAAATACGGAAAATTTTTCAAGATCACAACTGTAGTGTTTTACCATTTATTAGTAGATTGATAAATTGAAATAGTATTAATTTTTTTATTGTGACAGACTTCTATTTATTAATGTGTATAATGAGTGAAATAAATTGTTGCCAGTCAATTTCTACATTTAATTACCAAATAAACCGATAGTCATTACTATATATATTTTTTTATTTTATTTAATTATAATACCAGTCAAACGAATTAGCGCTATACAAAGATTGGCTTCTAACAGAATTTTAATTGTCTCACAGATAAAAGGATTTACACTGTGTGTACACGCAAAGGTTTTAACACCTGTGTTGGTTTAATACCCTAAGGGCATGATTAGCAAATCCACGTGCCGTTATAGGGTATTAGTGTTACACATCATTGAACAAACAAAGCCATGAAATTCATAATCTCAATTAAATATATAATTAAACTTATAGCGTGGTAATATTATTTCAATTCTTTACTGTTGCTTTATATATACATTCAGTGGTCGTTTGCGGGTTTAAGCAAATCCCTGAAGAACAAAACTGAAAATGGCGGACATCGAAGCAATTGTCGTCCACCGGTAATTAATGTCTGAATAAAATATATAAGGAATGTGTCCAAGTTGTTCTGAAATCAGAATTATTATTCTTTGTTCTCGGATATTTCCCGAATTATAGCTGTAAAATAAGAACGTGTTTACGTGTTATTTATGCCTCTGGTTTAAGAACAGTATGAAACTACGGAGGCATTGAACAGGCAAGTTGGAGAAAAATAAGTAGTAACACAATTCAACGAAGTTTTAACTACATTTTTTAAAAACTTCATGTAAATGCTGTAATCATTAAAATACCTGTTTGTTTTCGTGATACGTTCTTGTCACGGAATTACCCCGGTAATTATAGAGGTTAACCTGTTCTGATACGTTGTATCTGCGTAAGAATTTTTAGAAAACGGGAAACAAAGCCTCGTCCTATATAGTAAGTTCGTCCTATCTTAGGATTTTCAAAAATAAAGGCTGAAAATGAGCCTTTCGACCTATATACCCCATCGACCTATGACCCGAAAATTACGGTAATATAACCTTGAAGTTTGAAATGCATAATATTTTCAAAATATAATTAATTTTTAACATGTATTTGTATTTGAATGTTATTTAAACTTATGAGTATTTTAATGTGTTTGTGCATTAGAAATTCAAGGTATTCAAATCTAAATTTAAATTTTATTAAGTGTCTTCTCTGTTTGTGGTCTTGATGTACATGTCTATTTCATGATGATTTTCAGATGACTTCTGACAGGATAGAGTAAGAAGTTGCTAATATTAAGAAAATTTATTCCAAAAAAGATATATGATTTACATCAGTATCTACTTGATTTTGTTTTAATTGTTAGTTGTGGACAAATTTAAAAATAAATGTATTACTGGTATAATATGGTCTTCCTGATTTTGTTTTTCGTTAATTGAATTCATGTATAATTGGTGGAATTTGATTTCAGTACAGTCCGGAGATGAACAAGGTGGACCCGGACCACCTGTTGGGTCTGGTGACGGAGGTCGTCCCACAACACTCCTGTCTCATCTTCTGCTCCACCAAGAAAAACTGTGAAAACGTGGCCCTGATGCTGAGTAAACTGATGGCCAAATACAAGAGGTAAAGGAAGGAAATACAAGTGATTAGATTTGAGGTAAACAATGTAAACAATAAAGATAATTATAAATTATAATTTATAAATTCAAGTGAAAGCATTTTAAAATGGAAGCATTCAGGATAAGAAACAGAAGTGACATGTGGTGGTCGCTGAATTTGATCACCGGTGTGTATAGCTACTTCAGTTGGTAGAGCGCTTGACCAGAGTTTCAGGGGGCCTGGGTTCAAATCCTGGTCTGGTCCATTGTATTTTCTCCTCTACGGTTACACATGGAAGCATGAAACATGTTATATTTTTATCTGAATTTCTTGAATTTTTAAAAACTTTTTACTGCCTTATTAGCTTTGTTTAAATCAAAATTTTAAGGTTAACTCTGACATGAGAAAAATTAATTTATAAATTTGTTTTTATTCAACCACAGAGAACTAAGTCAAGTGAAAAGACAAGAGAGAAAAGACTTGTTGAAGGAACTCTACAAAGATGGAGAACAGAGGATGTGTCCCGTACTGCAGCATACGATACATTTTGGTATAGCGTACCACCACAGCGGTCTGACGACAGATGAGCGCCACCTACTGGAGGAGGCGCACTCGGACGGCGTGCTCTGTCTCCTGGCCTGTACCTCTACACTGGCAGCCGGGGTCAATCTGCCAGCCAAAAGGTCAGTATAAATATCAGAAAGGTCAATAGGTCAGTTTATAAACCAAAAGGTCAGTATAATAACTAGAAAGGTCAGTATAATCATCTGAAAAGTCAGTATAATCACCAGAAAGGTCAGTATAATCTTCAGAAGGCCAAAAAGTCAGTATAATCATGGGAAACTCTTTAAACAAGACTACTTACAAAAAGATCATTTTACCAGTCTAGCTTTTATAATGTCATAATTTGAATAAAATGCAGAAATTTAACACCAATCTGAACTGAACATTTTGTTTGATTAAAAAAATACATATAAATTGAAGTCTAGATAATTTTTTTCCAGAGTGATATTGCGCAATCCCTACATTGGTACTCAGTACCTCAACAGGAGTCAGTACAAACAGATGATAGGACGAGCTGGGCGGGCAGGCAAGGACACGACAGGGGAGAGCATTCTTATTGTCAGTAACAAAGACAGGTGTAAGGTAACTATCTCAATACACTACAAGGGAGAGCATTCTTATTGTCCGTAACAAAGATAGGTGTAAGGTAACTATCTCAAAACACTACAAGGGAGAGCATTCTTATTGTCAGTAACAAAGATAGGTGTAAGGTAACTATCTCAATACACTACAAGGGAGAGCATTCTTATTGTCAGTAACAAAGACAGGTGTAAGGTAACTATCTCAATACACTACAAGGGAGAGCATTCTTATTGTCAGTAACAAAGATAGGTGGAAGGTAACTATCTCAATACACTACAAGGGAGAGCATTCTTATTGTCAGTAACAAAGATAGGTGTAAGGTAACTATCTCAATACACTACAAGGGAGAGAATTCTTATTGTCATTAACAAAGATAGGTGTAAGGTAACTATCTCAATACACTACAAGGGAGAGCATTCTTATTGTCAGTAACAAAGATAGGTGTAAGGTAACTATCTCAATACACTACAAGGGAGAGCATTCTTATTGTCCGTACCAAAGATAGGTGTAAGGTAACTATCTCAATACACTACAAGGGAGAGCATTCTTATTGTCCGTACCAAAGATAGGTGTAAGGTAATTATCTCAAAACACTACAAGGGAGAGCATTCTTATTGTCAGTAACAAAGATAGGTGTAAGGTAACTATCTCAATACACTACAAGGGAGAGCATTCTTATTGTCAGTACCAAAGATAGGTGTAAGGTAATTATCTCAATACACTACAAGGGAGAGCATTCTTATTGTCCGTAACAAAGACAGGTGGAAGGTAACTATCTCAATACACTACAAGGGAGAGCATTCTTATTGTCAGTAACAAAGACAGGTGTAAGGTAACTATCTCAATACACTACAAGGGAGAGCATTCTTATTGTCAGTAACAAAGACAGGTGTAAGGTAACTATCTCAAAACACTACAAGGGAGAGCATTCTTATTGTCAATAACAAAGACAGGTGGAAGGTAACTATCTCAAAACACTACAAGGGAGAGCATTCTTATTGTCAGTAACAAAGATAGGTGTAAGGTAATTATCTCAATACACTACAAGGGAGAGCATTCTTATTGTCAGTAACAAAGATAGGTGTAAGGTAACTATCTCAATACACTACAAGGGAGAGCATTCTTATTGTCAATAACAAAGACAGGTGTAAGGTAACTATCTCAATACACTACAAGGGAGAGCATTCTTATTGTCAATAACAAAGACAGGTGTAAGGTAACTATCTCAATACACTACAAGGGAGAGCATTCTTATTGTCAGTAACAAAGATAGGTGTAAAGTAACTATCTCAATACACTACAAGGGAGAGCATTCTTATTGTCAGTACCAAAGATAGGTGGAAGGTAACTATCTCAATACACTACAAGGGAGAGCATTCTTATTGTCAGTAACAAAGATAGGTGGAAGGTAACTATCTCAATACACTACAAGGGAGAGCATTCTTATTGTCAGTAACAAAGATAGGTGGAAGGTAACTATCTCAATACACTACAAGGGAGAGCATTCTTATTGTCAGTAACAAAGATAGGTGTAAGGTAACTATCTCAATACACTACAAGGGAGAGCATTCTTATTGTCCGTAACAAAGATAGGTGTAAGGTAACTATCTCAATACACTACAAGGGAGAGCATTCTTATTGTCAGTAACAAAGACAGGTGTAAGGTAACTATCTCAATACACTACAAGGGAGAGCATTCTTATTGTCAGTACCAAAGATAGGTGTAAGGTAACTATCTCAATACACTACAAGGGAGAGCATTCTTATTGTCAGTAACAAAGATAGGTGTAAGGTAACTATCTCAATACGCTACAAGGGAGAGCATTCTTATTGTCAGTACCAAAGATAGGTGTAAGGTAACTATCTCAATACACTACAAGGGAGAGCATTCTTATTGTCAGTAACAAAGATAGGTGTAAGGTAACTATCTCAATACACTACAAGGGAGAGCATTCTTATTGTCAGTACCAAAGATAGGTGTAAGGTAATTATCTCAATACACTACAAGGGAGAGCATTCTTATTGTCAGTAACAAAGATAGGTGTAAGGTAACTATCTCAATACACTACAAGGGAGAGCATTCTTATTGTCAGTACCAAAGATAGGTGTAAGGTAATTATCTCAAAACACTACAAGGGAGAGCATTCTTATTGTCAGTACCAAAGATAGGTGTAAGGTAACTATCTCAATACACTACAAGGGAGAGCATTCTTATTGTCAGTAACAAAGATAGGTGTAAGGTAATTATCTCAAAACACTACAAGGGAGAGCATTCTTATTGTCAGTACCAAAGATAGGTGTAAGGTAACTATCTCAATACACTACAAGGGAGAGCATTCTTATTGTCAGTAACAAAGATAGGTGTAAGGTAACTATCTCAAAACACTACAAGGGAGAGCATTCTTATTGTCAGTACCAAAGATAGGTGTAAGGTAACTATCTCAATACACTACAAGGGAGAGCATTCTTATTGTCAGTACCAAAGATAGGTGTAAGGTAATTATCTCAATACACTACAAGGGAGAGCATTCTTATTGTCAGTAACAAAGACAGGTGTAAGGTAACTATCTCAATACACTACAAGGGAGAGCATTCTTATTGTCAGTACCAAAGATAGGTGTAAGGTAACTATCTCAATACACTACAAGGGAGAGCATTCTTATTGTCAGTACCAAAGATAGGTGTAAGGTAATTATCTCAATACGCTACAAGGGAGAGCATTCTTATTGTCAGTAACAAAGACAGGTGTAAGGTAACTATCTCAATACACTACAAGGGAGAGCATTCTTATTGTCAGTAACAAAGATAGGTGGAAGGTAACTATCTCAATACACTACAAGGGAGAGCATTCTTATTGTCAGTAACAAAGATAGGTGTAAGGTAACTATCTCAATACACTACAAGGGAGAGCATTCTTATTGTCAGTAACAAAGATAGGTGGAAGGTAACTATCTCAATACACTACAAGGGAGAGCATTCTTATTGTCAGTAACAAAGATAGGTGGAAGGTAACTATCTCAATACACTACAAGGGAGAGCATTCTTATTGTCAGTAACAAAGATAGGTGGAAGGTAACTATCTCAAAACACTACAAGGGAGAGCATTCTTATTGTCAGTACCAAAGATAGGTGTAAGGTAATTATCTCAATACACTACAAGGGAGAGCATTCTTATTGTCAATAACAAAGACAGGTGGAAGGTAACTATCTCAATACACTACAAGGGAGAGCATTCTTATTGTCAATAACAAAGATAGGTGGAAGGTAACTATCTCAATACACTACAAGGGAGAGCATTCTTATTGTCAATAACAAAGATAGGTGGAAGGTAACTATCTCAATACACTACAAGGGAGAGCATTCTTATTGTCAATAACAAAGATAGGTGGAAGGTAACTATCTCAATACACTACAAGGGAGAGCATTCTTATTGTCAGTAACAAAGACAGGTGTAAGGTAACTATCTCTTATCATCATCTTCTGTTTCTTCATCAGTGTGGTCATTCAGCATGAAGGGTGGTTAGGTTTTCCTTAAAAAAAATGCAAGCTGTCAAGAAGAAGAGTTGATTTATATTGAAAATGCAGTCATCAATTTTCACAAGCAAGAAAATACACTCCATTAACAATTTAATAGATCTTGAGAATGCCTGAAAAGTAGAATAAGGTTGTTAGACTTGCATGCAAATTAAAGTTGGTTTACAGTATGAAATACATCTACATGTAGATTTGCTTACATTTGGTGTTTTCCAATGAACCCCTCTTGTTTCAGGTGTGGGAGATAATCAGTGGTCCCCTGGAGAGCTGTTACAGCAGTCTGAGTTACGAGGACGGGAAGGGAATCAGGTCTCTTATCCTGTCCACCATAGGCCTGCAGGTAGTGAGCTGTCTTATCAAATTAATGTCTGAAAAAGTCATAAGGCCTGGTCAAAGTGTTATGTTTCTTGTTGATGTTTTGGTTTGACTTATAAGTTAGAAGTAAAAAAAGGTTTCGAGATTTTAAAAAATACATCTAAAAAAAGTTATTTGGAGTTTCAATCGGTTAGTTTTTAGATATCACTAGTATACAAGGTATGGGTGTTTGAGAAGACAAAGTTAAAGTAACAAAGAAAAATACATGATACAGTAAACCTTGTTTAGTACGAACACGGATATTATGAATTCACGGATATAGCAAAGTTATCTTGGATCCCCAGCAATGTAGATTTATCTAGTACCTTATAAGGATATAACAAATTACTAATATAGAATTGTAATTTGATAGGACCAAGTGACCTCCTTATAACCGAGTTTTACTGTACAAGAATTCAGCACTCAATAATTGATAGTTTTTCATCCAATCCTTGAACACTGAAATCTACATTGTTTTTTCAGGTAACCAAGACAACGGAGGAGGTTTTTGAAATGATGACTCACACCTTACTATCCATCCAGGCTACTCAGTTGTCATGTGACATTGTTGCCATGACAAAGGATGCTCTACAGCAGTTGATTGACATGGGATTAGTGCAACAGAAGAGAAGGCTGTCACAGGAAAAAGAGAACTCCCCAGTACCCCACACGCTGGAGGTTACACCTCTGGGGCGGGCCACTTTTAAAGGTATAATCAAACCTCTTTATCTAATTAGGACTAATAAAAAACTTGTTGACAGGCACGGGTCATCAGATCAAATTCGACGCCTCGCGTCTCATTTGATCTGATGATACACGCCTGTCAACTTGACTTGATACGACCCTTTGGATCAAGTTTCTGTTATGATAATATTTATATGTATTAAATCTATCAGGTATTGATCTGGATTTTTCTATATTGATAAGACCTTTAAACTGGACTTTTGTATTCACAGGTTTGGTTGATCTGGACTTTGTATTTACAGGATCGGTTAACATAGACGTTTCTGTATTTACAGGATCAGTTGATATGGACTTTTCTGTGTTTACAGGATCAGTTGATTTGGACTTTTACAGATTCTGTTTATCTGGACTTCTCTGTATTTACAGGATCGGGTGATATGGACGTTTCTGTATTTACAGGATCAGTTGATTTGGACTTTTCTGTATTTACAGGATCAGTTGATTTGGACTTTTCTGTTTTACAGGTTCTGTTTAACTGGACTTTTCTGTATTTACAGGATCAGTTGATTTGGACTTTTCTGTGTTTACAGGTTCAGTTGATCTGGACTTTTCTGTTTTACAGGTTCAGTTGATCTGGACTTTTCTGTATTTACAGGTTCGGTTGATTGGGACTTTTCTGTATTTCAGCCTGATCTGGACTTTTCTGTTTTATAGGTTCAGTTGATCTGGACTTTTCTGCTCAGTTGTATAAAGATCTGAAGAAGGCAGAGGAGTCTCTGGTTCTTGCCAGCTATCTACACCTCCTGTTCCTTGTGACCCCTTATGACCTCGTCAAGGAAGTTCAACCACCATGGATGACCTACTTCAAACAGGTAAATGAAGAGGAAACTTGTACTGTAAAATCGTGTGTATTGTGTGCAATGGTGTAAATCAGAGTTTAATGTTAACTAAAGTTTTTCTTAATTTCTTGTCAAAATGTTTCAAAGAGAAAATCAGAAATTCTTCCCAAGTCTTCAAAACATGTTTAGTATAGGTCATAGCTAAAATGGAAGTTATGCTGGTGTCTTGAAAGTAGATTACGTGTAAATCAATGTTTTTTTGCTAATATATCTGGTATCGATAAACAGTACCATTCCAAATGCCAAAAACCTTAATTTTACCCAATTTTGTGACAAAAACTTCCCAATTCAACTGTGAAGCAACAGACTACAACGACATTGTATTTCTCTATAAGTTGAATAATTGTTTCACTTCCGCTTAAATCAAAAGTAGAGAAAGTTGTAATTTGGCGGGACCTGTTGTGTAAACAGCGTAGTGTCATACATTTTGACAAATTTATAGCATGAAAATGTGAAAGTATGGGACATTGATAATCAAAGTACTGAAAGTACTGAAAAGCGGTTAGCATGCTTTCATGGAATATGACTGTACAGAGTAGAATAACAAAAAATGCATTGAGTGATGATATAAAAGTAAGCATGCATATCTTTGTCCAATGTCATCAGCGAAGAAGCAACACACTGAATTTTTAGTACTTAATTAAATGGTATAACCAATAACATCCCAGACTGATGTCACAAATGTTTGTTTCAAAATATCAACATGAGATTTTCAGTTTGAAAGACAGGAAGTTCAATTTCAAAAATTTCTCTCTAATTGTCTCCATTGGTGGCGTCCAAAAGTGCTCAGAACGAAAAACAAATTATGTTGATGCAAATTTAATTGGCTTTCATGCTCTATTGATTCTGAAATTGGCATGATTAGGTAACTATAAAGGCAACGATAGCAAACAACTCAAAAAGAAAATAAAATGATAATTCAAATTCTTTAGATTAATTTATTTGATGTACTGTACATAGATCTTGAGCTGGCTAGTCAATCAGAAAAACGGATGGAGAGACACACATGTTGTAAATTAATTAATTTCAGAGAGCTTCATTTCAGGCTCACTGCGGGTCAGAAAGGTGTGACCTGTCATTGGGGATGCTTACTTCTCCTAGGCACCGGAACTTTCAAGGATCCGTTTTTCTTTTGAGACCAATCGCTGTTTATTCTGTATTTTGATACAGATACAAGTACATCTGTTTATTAATATTATGAACTATTTTTCTCACAGGAAAAAAGACAAGTAAACAAGATAATAAAGTTTTAAGAAATGTACATTATTGACTTTTCATACAATTAAATGTTCGAATAAGTAATAAATGACAATTATTTAAAAAAGAGTTGGCAAATATTTAAATAAAAATGTGATCGTTTATAATCGTTTGTAATAATTAGACTGAGTACAGAATTTATCCATGGAAACAAAGCTTTCATCATCTTTTAAATAATTTCAATAAAAGGAGAAGAAAACAAACGTTTCATTATGGAAGTAATCCATAACTGTACAACTTACAGATGTATTCAGTTTTTTTTTTATATAAAGGCTTTCTTCATGTACTAGTATTAATTAAGTTAATTAAAGGGATGCCTTAAATATTTTAGCAAGGAAAAGGAAATAGAGATTCCCGATGTTTTGCAGTCGGTAATAACCTTCAACCCCTTTAGCCAGTAATTAACCCGTCCTCCCTGTGCCAGTAGCATAATTCGGCCAAATATTTATTGTTCACGAGGGGTGCCTTATAATAAATCACAGGCACCTGAATTTTTATCAGTAAGTCTCTAAATTAGCCAAATATCGAAACATTCTACCCCCTCTATATAAAATATAAATACACAAGGCGTGCAACGCCATTTGGACCCCTTGTATCGATTCAGGCCTCAATTTAACACATAAATCGGATATGCCTACTGGTTTTGTGTAGCATTGGGTTCAAATGATATTTCTGCTATATATTTCTTCCTTAAGTTTAAATCCAACGCGTTGATAATGTTATCAACTAAACTTCATGCTGACTTCGAATTTCGTCACAGGTCCCGATCGCCATCAGCTGACGTCACGGAAATTTAATCTCGACACCAAATGCTCCTATACATAAACTTTTTTAATACAACAATTATAAATTTATTTCATTGACAAATAAAATCAGAGAAAAATTAAAAACCGAAAGATAACGTTGTTTTGATAGTCTTGCTTTTAATTAGCATGTGTTAGAAACAAATCATAGGTGGAGTCTTTGTCGATAGGTAGCGCCTTATGGAAGTTTCCGGTGTCGATACATGCCATAAAGCGGTTAGCGAAGCTAACCGCTTAAAAAGTCAATAGATACTTCCCGCTTATTCTTTAAAACACGTAGTTATAGGTAATAAAGTTGGAATAAGCACAAAAATATGTTTTATTTCATTAAAGGAGACAAAATTCTCATTGTTCTTCTTCGATGTTATTTTTCCTAATTGAACCGGTACCAGACCCTTTCCCAATGGATGGAAAAACACCGCTGTAACTAAACGTATCCTGCATGTGTGTATAGTTTATCACAAAAATGAGTACCATGTTGGTGTCATCAGAGCAGACTAGACTACAGAGTGTCTTTTCTGTTTAAGTACACCATAGATTGAGCTTTTTCTCTTTCCTTTTCTTTGAATCAAGTCAAACAAAGAAACTCATGAGAGACACACATGTTCTTCATAACAAAAACAGCAGGTTACTCAAAATTATTTCAACTTGGTGAAGAAAATTTTGATGCAGATGGGAGTGTTCCTCAAGCTTACACAAGTTATGCACCATTTTCAGCAAGAGTTCTGACATATTTTATGAATACAATACCCTTTATGAAAATTTTTTCATGTAAAACTGAAAGTATTGATTCCAACTTGTGTTTTCTTCAAGAAGATTCATAAGTTTTTGGTTTACAAGCAGATGTTCATAGAGAAAAATTTAATTTTTTAATAATGTAAAAATGGAATTGTTCTATGGACATGTATGCATATTGTATAACAAGAGATACTTCTTCAGAAAGAGTGATATTTTATTGTTACACTGGTGAAGTTAGTCTTTTACACATTAGGGTTATTTTGTAGATAAGTATGTTGACACCTGTGGAGTTAAAGGTTGCTGAGTTGATAGGTGTCCCTGAATCCTATGTAGCAAAGAAAGCCTCAGGTCAACACACCAGACAGGTATGTACACTATACAGCTTCTCTGTGTGAAATTCTCCACTCTTATCTCAAGTGTACATGTAAAGAGCAAGAGCCACTTTGGGCCGAGTTTGGCCCTGAGAAATTCTGAAAAATCAAAACCGCTCCATTAAGGTTGCAAATGCAGTATTTATCACTTGCAATTGGAGTCTTGGTGACCACATATCTATTTATCGTGACATAATTTCCCATCTAGTCAATGCATTATGATGTCATAAAATGGGCCATTTTCCACATACCCTAAAATCTTGAAAATAAGACGGATTTAATAATAAGCCGGTTTTGAAAATAAGCCACCTATTTCTTGCATTAAAAATTACTCGAAAATAAGCCAGTTTTGAAAATAAGCCGGTCATGACAATGCCATTTAGGAAAGATGTTAAACGTTTGACAATTGCCTCGTCTTAAAAATTTGACGATTGAAAACTTCGACGATTTTTTTTTTACTGTGCAAATTAAAACTGAGTTATCTTTCTTTAATTCATTTAACCTTTACCAATTTCTGCGTAGACATGGTACTAACTAAGTCTGTAGAAACAAATGAACTTGTGTAAACTTACTATTAAAGGGTAGATTTAAAGTTATAAATTTTTTTTAACCAGTAAGCATGTTACGCTGGCTTAAAAAAAATTCATTGTGGAACTAGATAACATGGTGAATTTTTTTCATGAAATTGTCGGAAACAATAATTATCTCATCTAGTCCTGTACAAGCTAACAGTGTGTTTAAAATTGTTATAATTAAATGAGAAAACGGATAAAAGGAAGATTTTGTTTGTAAAGCATTTAACTGTCAGGCAACACTGCCCGAGGCAAGAAACCTGCTGATCGGCAGGGCTTGGTAGTAATTACATTTCAATGTACCGTAACTGAGTTGTTTAAATATGTGTTTGTTTGACTAATTTATCAAGTGATTCAATAACAAGCGGACTTTTTATATTTTATTTTTACTTTTTTAAATCAAGTTTATATTTCATGTAAATTTATAAGCTGTAAACAATGAAGTTATCTTTTCGGGATCGACATTCTCAAAATATAAAGTAGACGATTACACCATAAACCTAAAGAAAACCTACAGCGGGGAATGCCAATGAATAAAAAAATGACGAGAGAAAACTTTGAAGAGCTAAATTCATTCGTCAATGTTTCCTCCTCGTCAAACGTTCCACTTTTACAGTATCAGTATTTTTTTCTACATGCAAGATACTGAACAAAGTATTATTGTAATTATTTTATTTTATTATATTCATGATGTTTTAATTTTACATCGAACAAGTAGTTCCTATTCTATCGATTACACTTTATTCAATGATTATATTGAAAACAAACAGGAATTGTGCTCTCTTCTCTTTAAATACCAGTTTTTTGCATTGATAATAAGCCGGAATTTGAAAATAAGCCGGTTTTGAAAATAAGCCCCAACTTTCTTACCAAAACTTAAAATAAGCCGCGGCTTATTTTCAAGATTTTAGGGTATCCTGTTAATTCCTTTGAAAATGACCTAAAGTTAAAGCATTTTCCAATGTTTCATAGAGAGCACAACCTCTGATCCAAAATAAGCAAATACATAATGAAAGCTCTTTTTATGAAGATCATAAAAAACAAGTTTTATTTTTTGGATCATGGGCTGTGCTCACATTTTAATTCTTCGCTGAAGGTATTCAAATACGCATGTTTTCTGCAAATTTCAATAACATTGCAATTTCTAAAACCTGTTTTCCAATATCTGGATTCTCAAAATGATATTTTATTACAGAAAATGAAAGCACCAAGTGTCTGCTTTATTTTGATATATGAAATGGGAAAGAGGGTGATATTTAATTGATTGATATAAGTACAGGGCCATTTTATACATACATGTAAGATGGCTCTTGCTTTTTACAGTAGTTACCTTAAAGTTTTGTTCCTTGTCATGTTATTGGGTGTAATAACTTTGTTTCTGAAAAAAATACACTACATATACATGTACCTGTATGATGTGTTGTGTCTCACATTTAAATTTTTGTAAGAAGTTTTTTTTCCCATGTAGATAACTTGTTAATTTTTTAGGCTGTTGATGAGTTTGTTGTCAAGCGATTCTACCTGACCCTGATGCTTTATGATCTTTGGAAGCAGAAGACACTTTGGGAAGTGGCAGAGAAATTTGAATATCCTCGAGGCTTTGTCCAGAACCTCCTCTCAGGGGCGGCTAGTTTTGCAACCTGTGTCTATCACTTTTGTCAGGTACATGTATATTGCCACATTATATTTCTCTTAAATTCCAGTAATCATGTGCTTCTCAGAGCTCAAGATAATTTTTTTCCACAAAGTGTATTTACTCCCTGATTTTCAAATCAATGCAGATTTTGATTTTCAGCAAAATGATTGACGAGTATTCTGTTTATATAGGAATGTTTTGACCTTAATTTTGATTTTGAGCTTATAATCGAAGTATGTCTTTTTGAAGAGGGAAAAAACTTCAAAGGTCAGTTCCAGCATTTATTTAAATAAATTTTGCAGATACCAACAAGACATTTTGCTAAGACTGGGAAGCATTTTTTTTTGACAAGGATGATTATACAGAAGGTCAAGGTATCATAGAGTCAGAGACACAGAAAAGAATCTTCGTTAATATGGCAAGTTGAGAGAGATGAAAAATTGGCTATGAACCCGTAATAAAAGAAAGATATGCAAAGTGCATAGTCTTTCTACAAAGAAATTGATTTTAATCTAAATCTCTGATTCTTCCTCCCAAAATAGGGATAGTCGTCGTCATTACTAGAATATTCCTGGTCACTAAAAGGCTTTTAAATCTGTATTTAGTTTTGAGAAAAATCAAACACCGAGTTAACCTCAATTAGTATCTTTAAGTAAGTCGTACATGTATTTAACTTGTTGTACGCAGTACTTTCGTGGTGTAATGCATATTTATGATTGCTAATGTATATTTGTATGCTCTATTTTAATTTTCAATGCATATTTTGTAAAATTTATTGCGTATTTCTGCAAATACGCATCTTATCTGGAGCTCTGGCTTCTCTTATCATAGTTTCTCTCTGATTTAGCCTTTCATCTACTGTAAACCAACTATTATTCGTGTCATCTTTTATTCGTGCTTCGTCAGTTTGAAATCATTCTGTGGTGATTTATTTTCGTGATTGAGGAAACATTCTCTACCAATATAAAGAAAAAGAAAGGGTTCATTGGAATTAAATATTGGCAAGTTCAAAACTCGTTAATATTTCTCGCACTCGAATTAAAGTTGGTTTACAGTATCTGTCTGCCTCTTTCATTTTTTAGCTCACCTGAGCTGAAAGCTCAAGTGAGCTTTTCTGATCACATTTTGTCCGGCGTCCGAACACATCCATTGTCTAGCTAAAGTGTTGTTGTCTGTAAACTTTTCACATTTTCGACTTCTTCTCAAAAACCGCTGGGCAAATTTCAACCAAACTCGCCACAAAGTATCCTTGGGTGAAGGGGATTCAAGTTTCTTCAAATGAAGGGCCACGCCCTTTGGAGATAATTGGGAATTAATGAAAATTTAGTGGCATATTTTAAAAATCTTCTTCTCAAGAACCACTGTGCCAGGAAAGATAAAACTTATGTGGAAACATCCTCAGGTAGTGTAGATTCAAGTTTGTTCAAATCATGACCCCTGGGGGTAGGGCGGGGCCAAAATGACAAAGTTTTACATAGAAATATATAGGAAAATTCTTTACAAATTGATCTTCTCAAAAATGACAAAGCCATAATTCATCATATTTATATGAAAGCATGCTCATGTAGTGTATATTCAAGTTTGTTCAAATCATGACCCCTGGGGGTAGGGCGGGGCCAAAATACCGTTCAAAGTTTTACATAGAAATATATAGGAAAATTCTTTAAAAATCTTCTTCTCAAAAATTTGACAAGGCCATAATTCAGTTAATTATTTGAAAGCATTCAGGTAGTGTAAATTTCAAGTTTGTTCAAATCATGAGAGGGTAGGGCGGGGCCAAAATGGCCGAGCAAAGTTTTACATAGAAATATATAGGAAAATTCTTTAAAAATCTTCTTCTCAAGAATGACAAAGCCATAATTCATCATAATTATCTGGAAGCATGCTCAGGTAGTGTAGATTCAAGTTTGTTCAAATCATGACCCCAGGGGGTAGGGCGGGGCTAAAAAGGCCGACCAAAGTTTTACATAGAAATATATAGAACAATTCTTTAAAAATCTTCTTCTCAAGAATGACAAAGCCATAATCCATCATATTTATATGGAAGCATGCTCAGGAAGTGTAGATTCAAGTTTATTCAAATCATGACCCCGGGGGGTAGGGCGGGGCCAAAATGGCCGTGCAAAGTTTTACATAGAAATATATAGGAAATTTCTTTAAACAACTTCTTCTCAAGAATGACAAAACCAAAATTCATCATATTTATATGGAAGCATGCTCAAGAAGTGTAGATTCAAATTTGTTCAAATCATGACCCCCAGGGGTAGGACGGGGCCAAAATGGCCGACCAAAGTTTTTAAAGATATACAGTGATTGGGAAGGCCAAAATGGTCAATGGGACTATGGCGCAACTGTCAACATTTTTGATGGGCCATTTCGAAAATAAATGGGCCATAAATATAATCTGAAGGGCCATTTTAAGAAATAACTAAGTGACAAACAAATATGAAGTACGAGAGAAAACACGTTTTTAATTAACCGCATCCGATTTTTAACACATGAAATGCAGCAAATTCAAAGGAACTTGCTTAGAATATACCAGACCCGTATTTTGTGTTAAAATAACGACAGTTTTGGAAAGGGAACAGCCCTACCATACAAATGAATGAAGTATTGTACCTCATTTTCGTTTAACCGGAAGTACTTTTTGACAGGTTTCAACCAATGAGATTTGTTGTTTTAAATTGACTGCATTCAAAACGAAAGTAAAACAAGAAAGAAAGTCGTACACAAAATATTTCCAAATAACATTGCTAAAAATGGAATGTGCACCTTGGCGCCATGATTAATTGATTTAATGCGCCATTGGATATATATAGGAAAATTCTTTGAAAATCATTTCTAAAAAATAGCAAACCCATGATTGGTCATGGGACTACTTTTGGATTTAAACTTTACAATAAAAAGCCATTTTCTACTTTTTCCTACCCTAAGTGCTCAGGTGAGCAATGTGGCCCATGGGCCTCTTGTAACTGCCTTGCCACTTGGCCAGTTTCAATCAAAAGTAGGAGAACACATCCATGAGTAATTAGAGTAAAGTAGATGTGATTTACTTTTTTTTCTCCTGAAGAACCATCTACACAGAAGTTCAGTGGAAGCTTCCTTTTGTGATGAAGATTTATTTGCATTTGGTTTTTAAAATATAGAAACTGGGGGAGCCTGGATGGTTATACGTTACTTATATAAATGGGGTCATGACAAATACATGAATTCTTGAGGTGTTTTTACAAATTGATGTATTAAGTTAAACATGATAATTTTCAGACTCAAATACGGTACAAGAGTCTTAATAATACTGGACTTTGGGTAAAAATACTGCTCTTTGTTCATCAAAGAACTGTATATAAACCTGTACAAAATACCAACCAAAAAAATTTAAAATAACAGTTTTATTTAGTATTGATAAATTTCAATTCAAAGTACAAGTGTACCACTGCATGCATTGTTATGTATATAATTAGTAATTATTTACAGTACACACATACGATATCGTCAAAGATTTACGATCGATTTTCAAATACAGAAAATTAATAGGGAATTCGACACACAAAGACAAATAAATACGTCATCGTCAATCACCATTTTACACTTTCTTTTTCAGTCCCCGAAATATGTCGCAATCAAGGAGAATAATTATTTACATACTCCATAATTAATAGTCAATATGTGGAGTGTCCAGTAAATCGCTGGCTTCCGAACAATTGAAGCTTAGTTGATTAAACATATATTAAATCAGCTGTTCTTTTGTTACAACTCCAAGCTTATTAAGTCTGCGGCGGCATCTCGTTTAATTATCAAATGAGGTTATTAGAACTCAGGGCTTCAAAATATGTATACCACAAGCAATCAAAGCTATCAATTATATAAACTGTGAAAACTAATCGAAATAATTTGATTCACTACAACCATCCACTAGATCAAGTTTAAACCTAAAATTAGGGAAATGTGTAAGTTAGTATACATTTATAAATTATAAAACATTCATTTTCTATGCCTTTACTATGTAGAATTAATTTATCCGAATAACCGAATAGCAGTTTTACTAACCGATACTCGCAACGTTCGACGGTTAACCGGTTAACCGGGTACTCGTTGCCAACACTAATAATTACTAATTTCAAGAAACTTTAAAAGTGACTTAGATTAAAAGTGAGTTTGTCTAAGTTTTATGGCCAAGAGGATTAGATTTTGTGTTCCTGAAAAAAGTTGCTCTGATTCTTCTGAATGTCATTTCCTCTTTGAAAATTCTTTAATTTCTGTAATGACAACATTTCAGCTGATTACTTAAAAAAAAACTTCAGTGATGGTCTTATTAAAAATATTTAGCCTAACAAAAAGCTTTGATGTGTTTTATTACAATGTAATTAATACTGGTATGTTTCAGACCACATGTCATATGCTTATACGGTACATTATGATGTAAGCTTTTTAATTGCATCAGCATTTTTTTTACCCTCAGGGCTGAGATTTCCTTTGTCCTTGACCTCACTTTTCTTAAATTAGTGTTTAGCCCAGTTTTAAAGATGCCATTCAAGATTGTGTAATCAATCTCATATGTTGATGCATTCTGATGCAAACTATTTAATTGCATCAATATATTTTGACCTCAGCCTTTCCTTTGACCTTGACCTCACTTTTCTTCAAGTAGTGTTTAGCTCAGTTTTGAATATTTTTATCACAAGCCATATGCTGATACGTACTGATGTAAGCTTTTTAACTGCATCCACATTTTGTTTACTCGACCTTTCCTTTGACCTTCATGTCTCTTCTCTAAAATTAGTGCTTAGCTTAGTTTTAAAGATACCATTCAAGATAATTTCATTAAACATAATATTCTGATATGTATCAGAGGGAGTTATTCAACTCCCTTTTTATTATGTATTTTGTTTAGTTTTAACGAAATCCATTTAAAATATTTTTATAAAAACATTCACTTACACAGTTTTTGGTGACAATTTATTATCTTTATCCAATTTCAATTTAAAGAAACTGTTCAAGATATTTTTATCAAACTTCATACACTTACACAAATTTTCATGTCACATTACTAATATACACTCTGGGGGCATTCATGTCCTATGGACATATTTCATATTGCATTAATATATTTTGTCCTCAGCCTTTCCTTTGACCTTGACCTCACTTTTCTTCAAGTAGTGTTAGCTCAGTTTTGAATATTTTTATCAAAAGCCATATGCTGATACGTACTGATGTAAGCTTTTTAACAACATCCATATTTTGTTTACTCGACCTTTGCTTTGACCTTCATGTCTCTTCTCTAAAATTAGTACTTACCTTAGTTTTAAAGATATCATTCAAGATAATTTCATTAAACATAATATTCTGATAAATAACAGTGGGAGTTGTTCAACTCCCTTTTCATTATTATGTATTTTCTTTAGTTTTAAAGAAATCCTTTTAAGACATTTTTATTTAAAAATTCACATACATTTTTTGTTGACAATTTATAATCTTTATCCAATTTCAATTTAAAGAAACTGTTCAAGATATTTTCATCAAACTTCATACACTTACACAAATTTTCATGTCACATTACTAATATACACTTGGCGGGACATTCATGTCCTATGGACATATTTCTAGTTTCTGGTGCTTTGTTCACATTAACCAAGCGCAGTAAGTTATGCATCAAATGAGATTTCCAGCGTTGTGAGAAAGAAAGAAAAATGGCGGTTTCCAATAAAAAAAATCAAAATACAGTAGGCCTATGTGTTCAAATTTTCATTTCCCTTGAATTTTGGTGTATCTGCCGAAACTAATAACTTTTGATTTTGTTAACAATTAAAATATAAAGAGTATGAATACATATATCATTCTACATTTAGCTGATGATTGGCCACAGTGATTAAATATTTTAAATCTGGTATGAATGATTTCAGTACCAATTGATCTATTTTGGATGTTACACTGAGTATCTATACACTTTGTTACACTGAGTATCTATACACTTTTACACATCCTTCCTTGTATCCTACCCACAGTGTAGACTTGTATAGTGATAATCTGTATGGACAATTCACTTCATTGTCTGTCAGTAAGAACTTCCAGAACTCCCCGTCAGGACTCAGTAGATGGATCTGTTTGTTGTTTATGTCAGTAACAAGGATGTTACAGAAGGAGTCACATGCTACATCTCTTGGATAAAAGTTCTTTGGCAGGTTGTGTGCACGGTAGACAGACTTCATACGACCAAAAGGAGACATAATCACTAGTTCACCTGTAGTTTTACTAGTAAGGTTCACAACACAGATATCACTGTTACTGTTCTGTGTGACTCTGAATGGCCATGTAAACAGTCTGGTGTGACCGTCCTCCTGGTACTCATACTCATGGATGACATCACCTGTCACTGTGATGTGTCTCACCAGACGTCTGCTGTGTGACTGTAACTTGAAACGAGCTGTTTCCTTGTCTTTCAAGGTGACCAGTAGTCCACCGTCCACTGACTGACAGATTCCGTTTGGTTCCAGTGGATCTGTACTGATGACTGTAGAGACAGATCCTGATGGTGACAGGATGGCAATTGATTTTTTAATATAATCAGTGAAATAAACATCACTGTTTCCAGTCACACACATGTCATTAGGACGAACACTATATCTATGTTTTATTGCACCATTATTGTCAACCTTTTCTGTACTGTTTGAGAAAAAATTTCTTATGTAACATTGGACTTCACTGAAAGCCTCCAAAACAAATATTGATATATCTCCATATTGGAATGAATTTGTCTGAGTCACAGTAATATTATCTAAATTTAAAGTTTTTCCAACCAAAGACTCGACTAAGTCATCATTAATTTCACCTCTAGTGAACCTCATTGAATGTTCACAGTTTGTGGTATGAACCTTCAATTCAGACAGCATTTTTGTCAGTTCTCTGTGATTGTCAATCAAACTGTAATCTGACATGGTACTGTTGTTCTCCTCCATGAACTTCACTGTGTCAATAATTCCTTTCTTCTTCTTCTCTGATTCAGATTTCACATGGTTCAGCTGATCATTTTTTTCCACTAAATTGTCTCTTATTGTTTGTTCATGACGTTTTTTGATTTTTATCAACCTGCCTATTATCTCATCAACATGCTTCTGAATTTTTTTAATCTCAGCATCACACAGTTCTTTATTTTCTATCATCTGTTGTGGAATCTTCTCCATCTTCTTATCAATCCCAGGCAGCTCCTTTTCCTTGATCTTTTTAAGAAATGTAGGTAGACCTCTTCTCCTTTGGGTGGCTGCCGTGGGTATAGTGTTCCATTCGTGATCTCTATGATCTGTTTTGGCACACTTGGCACAAATAAATTCATCACAGTCCTCACATACCATATCAATAGGTAGTTCATGAGTTTCACACATTACTATGGGCGCTAGAGGAGAACCAAGGGAATGTTTTACTGAGTTACTGGCAGCCATGTTTGTCAGGTGAAGCCAGCTACCTGAATGACCTAGTTTCTATATGCTAGTATGCATGTTAGATAAGTAAAGGTTTTTAAAGTTGGGTTTTAAATTTATTCAATGTGACACTTTGGTGTGCAATGAAATGTAAGCTAAAGATTTTTTATTTGAAATAAGAGAATCATTTGGATTAAAAATGATTCACAAGTTGATTACATGATTGTATAATTATTTTTAGATACAAAAAAGTAATTATTGATTTCAATGAGAGAAGTCCTTTCAGTCATAATAATTTTAAAATTTGATCATCGTGATGAAATTTGGTGAGTCATATTACCCTTCACTTGCCCTTAGCTTAAGTAACCTTATTTTGTATTTGTCTCACCTAAAAATTGTTTAAGCTGCAAAAGAAATGAGTAATTATAGGTAAGATATAACAATGCATTGTAGTGGTACACTTGGTTTGAACCTCTCACATTGATTTTTCGTCCAAATTTGTACAGATTTGTACAATTTTTTGATGAACATTTTGTACAGTATTTTTACCCAAATTCCAGTATTTATAAAACTCTTGTACAGTATTTTGGTCTAAAAATAAAATATGTAATGCTATGTATAAATGTAATGAACTATTTAACATACTTTTATTTGCAACATCAGAAACAGATATTCATGATTTTTCTGTTTAAATTCCATCTGTTACTATTAATTTCTGCAACTGAGTAAAGAAGGTTACAAAATTCGTTTTTTTGATAGTTTTTGATATGCAAAATATGTTGATTACAATGTACCTTATTTGTGTGTATATGCAGCTTATGTAGTAAATAATGCTGTTTTTGTACATTTGACAAATTGTCTGTAACCCTTTCAGGAGTTAGAGGAATTCTGGGCCTATCAAGAACTACTCGGAATCTTTGTCAAGCGCCTGGCTTATTGTGTGTCTGCAGAACTCCTGCCACTCATGGAAATACCTGGCGTCAAACTGGTACTTCATTTTATACTGTAAAACTTGTGTAAGGTGGAATGCCACACCAACTTTTTATTTTATAGATCTTTGAGTCATCCCTTTTAAACAATGGTTTCAGCATTGAAAGGCCGATATTAGCTCTTAATTATTTTATATTAATTTTTTTGTATTGAAAATATTGAAAAGAAAATGAAAAAAATCAAATCCAAATATTAAGTTTTTTTTAGTTAAAAATTTGCTGTAAATTCATCATATGAATATCTTTAAAATATGTAAAGAAAGGCTGGTTAGACTTTTTAATTTTTTTTAATGAAAAATTATTTATGAAAATAAAACACATTATTTGTGAAGATTTTTTTAAACCTTATATGGTTAAAAACACCATAAAATTAGTCACAACTAAGGACAACATGTTTGTTAATCATATTTTTAAAAGAAATTGAAACGAAATTGAGAAATTTTAGAGAAATTAATTTTTTTAGTATTTGGACCCGATCAAAATTAATACAAAATGAATAAAATGCTAATTTATTGCATAATATTATTTGTATTTACAATGAAGAAATCTATTTTATTGTCAGGTTCAATGATGTTTTAACCTTATAACACCTAATCAGACTAGTGGTCTTGGGGAAATGTTATTTATTTCCAATAATTGTACAATTATGGTTGGGATCGGTTTAATTTTGATCGGGATTGGCCAAAATTTAAAAAAATTAATTTCTCTAAAAATTTGGCTATTTCGTTTCAATTTCTTTGATAAATATGATTAATGAACATGTTCTCCCCAGTTGTGACCAGGTTTTAAAAAGATATCCACAAGTTTAAAAAATATTCACAAATTATGTGTTTTATTTTCATAAATATTTTTTTATCTAAAAAAATTTAATATCTATACAGCTTTTCTTTACATGTTTTATTAGGTATTCATATGATGCATTCATTTACAGCAAAATTTTTAATTTTTTGAATTTTCTTCGAAAAAATGCAAAAAAAATCACATAAAATAATTAAGAGCTAATGTCGGCCTTTCAAAGCTGAAACCATTGTTTAAAAAAGTTGACTCATAAAATAAAAAGTTGGTGTGGCATTCCTCCTTAAACCTGATGTTTTTATTTATAAATCTTGTCTATTGTGATGTAGACAATGTTTACTGAAAGTCTTTTTAGTAAAATCCTTCAATAAAAATGTTGGTTATCTAATATTGCCTATTAGACAAGCTTTCTGTAATGTCTATTATGATGTAGACAATGCCTACTGAAAGTCGAAAGTCTATATTCAGTACAATCCTATGATAAAAATGTTGTTTAAAGAGCAATGTTATATAATGGGGCCAATTTCTATGGAGCCAGACAAGTTTTCTGTATTTTTATTAATTTTCACAAATATTTTATATGAAAACCAAATGTTATGAATCCTTTAAGTGGCATAATCCAGATGGATAGACATTGTGACATTGCAGGTGTAAAAAAAATGTTTACGTTTCTATCAATTTATGATAAATACTGTAAACCAACTTTTTTTCGCGGCGACTTTATTTCGCGATTTACCAGGAGTAAAGTAGTTCGCGGCAATCAATTTTCGTGATCAAGCCTTTTTTCGAACTGTTTTAATAGAAAAAGAGGCTTTATGAACTCGTTCGCGGCGAGAAAAATTTGCAATGACGAGACTCTCGCGAACCTCGCGAAAATTTCTCGCATGCAAATAAAAGTTGGTTTACAGTAAATAATTCACAGATCCATTACATGAATTTTCTTTATTTCATTGAACTAGTTGTTTAATATATTTGAATTTTTGATATAAAGCATATAAAAACAAGTTGTTATTTACAAAGTGTCTTTGACATTGTACAGGGTAGAGCTAAGCAGCTATACAATGCTGGATTCCAGTCTGTGGCGTTAGTGGCAACTGCTGATCCCGAGATCCTTGTTAAATCCATACAGCAGATCCCTCGTAAAGTGGCCAAACAGATTGTCGCTTCCGCAAAAGTTAGATTTCTTGTGTTCCATTAATTATCCGTCTATCAGATAATGATACAGCTGCACTCTCCTTTTAATTATAAATATTTGATTTGTACAGATGAGTTTTTGTTTTAAAAAGTCACGAATGATAAGCTTTTATTTGTGACTTCTTTGTATCTACAAAGAAATGTATGTTGTTAATTTGTTAATATCTTTTATGTCTTATAATACACTTCTTAGCCTTCCTTTTACCCCAACATATTATAAAAATTTCATGCACTTTCATTGGGTGATAAAAATGAAATATGACTACATGTATTTTTTCCCTAAATTTATAATAAGTATATGTCTGTGTTAAAGGAAAAATTGAACAACACAGTTTTCTTGTTTTTTTTTTAGGTTTTACTGAATGAGAAGGCAGAGGCCTTACTACAGGAAGTAGAGGAACTGGTGACGGTTCCAATCGACCGATCAACCGTACAGAGTTCACAGGGTCAAACCTCTCCCTGGGATGATATGGACTTGTTTTCTAGTCTTGATACACAGTCTTCTACCTCATGATAAGAAATTGACATCCTATTTAGCTGAACAAAAGTTTCATTTAGATAAGGGATTAAACTTTTGAACCCTTCCAATGACTACAGTTCTGTGGGTTTAGCACTAGGTTATGTGACATCTTAGTGAAAAAGACTGTTGTAGTGCTCAGACTGTTCATTGATTGTATTGGGTTTTTTTTTTTTACATTAAAGGTAACTTGTACCTGATTAAACAAGAAGTTTATGTACAGACAGAACAACGTACAAACTAAATGTGCAATATCTCCTAATGTAAATCCTTGTAGAATTTTTTCAGAGGAGTGTTTATAAAAATATAAACTAGCTGACTGGTAACTGCTTCCAGATGTGTGATAATTGTGCTTTAAAATTCTTGTCTAAAGACTGTGCTACATTGCTTTCAAGAACTAGTCCTAATTTATCATCTAATGCTAACAGGATGGTTGTTTATCATGAGTACAGTTTCTGTGATATTATACAATTATTGCTGTTTTTTTTAGGTCAATACAATGATTTAGCCATCTTAGGAGTACAATAATTGTTTTATTACCGGTATATGATTAACAGATAAAATGATAAAGCTCATTACTTGTTTGCATTTAATTAAGTCCCAGCCAATACAAGAGAGAAGCAGAATTAAAATGTAAAAAAGCCTTACCAGTCGTATCAATTTGAATTTTTTTAAAATAAATATTAGTTGCCGTGAAAAAAATGTAATGTCAGTCTTTTTTTATACCCCCCGCAAACGAAGTTTGGGGGGGTATATAGGAATCACCTTGTCCGTCTGTCTGTCCGTCTGTCTGTGCAATCGTGTCCGGTCCATATCTTTCTTACAGAGGGACATTAGAATCTACTACTCCACATTAAGATTGCTCATAACCTAAGGGTGTGTCATGACCTTGACCCAAGGTCATTTGGGGAAATTCAAGGTCACTGGAAGAAAAATTTCATAATTCGTGTCCGGTCTATATCTTTCTTATGGATAAACTTGGTAGGTTCTCATTTCACACAAAGATTGCCCATGACCCAATGGTGTGTCATGACCTTGACCCAAGGTCATTTGGGGAAGTTCAAGGTCACTGAGAGAAAAATTTCAAAATTCATGTTTGACACATATCTTTTATGGATAAGCTTGGTAGGTTCTCAATTCACACGAAGATTGCCCATGACCCAAGTGTGTGTCATGACCTTGACCCAAGGTCATTTGGGGAAGTTCAAGGTCACTGGAAGAAAAATTTCATAATTCGTGTCCGGTCTATATCTTTCTTATGGATAAACTTGGTAGGTTTTCATTTCACACAAAGATTGCCCATGACCCAAGGGTGTGTCATGACCTTGACCCAAGGTCATGTGGGGAAGTTCAAGGTCACTGGAAGAAAAATTTAATAATTCGTGTCCGGTCCATATCTTTCTTATGGATAAACTTGGTAGGTTCTTATTTCACTCAAAGATTGCCCATGACCCAAGGGTGTGTCATGACCTTGACCCAAGGTCATTTGGGGAAGTTCAAGGTCACTGGAAGAAAAATTTTATAATTCATGTTTGATACATATCTTTATTATACAAAAAATTACTTCTGAAAAACCCAGCGGGGGGTATTTTGTCCCGATTGGACAGTTCTAGTTTATAGGATAGATTTTGAAAGGAATCAGGGAAAACTGACTGCCAAAAAGTAAAAATTGCATGTTGTTCAGTTTAAGTGTTGGATGAGGGGTCCCTGCATCCCCTCTTACCACCCTCTCCCGAAAATATAAATTCGCTCATGTTTAGTTCACATGAAAAAAAAAGTCAGTCGTTTAAATAGCTTACCAAAACAATTTTGTATCAATTTGGAATTTCCCGATTTATTTTTTATCAATGAAGAGGAAATAAATCCTTGTATTGACCTGGAAAGTCACGTGCAGGTCAATACAACATAGTATTTTTCTACCATAGTTGGATCTCAGCCATGCAATCAGAGAGCTGGAAATTATTCAATCATATAATAAAATCATGTGTACCATTTAATATGAAAATGTTTTATGTCATGATTCTAGTTGACTGGTCTCAGCTAGCTAATTATTGACTTTTCTGTCCAACCATGGTGTTGAAATATTTGCAGAAATTTAGGTCTTCTGGTGTTCTAATGCATCTATTGAACGAAACCTCATATTTGAATAATTGTTTTGCTACTGTTACATGTACATACTTAAAGGAACTGGAAGGAAGAGGAAAACCCTGGTGATTTCACACATTCCAGATATAAGAAACTACATCTGTTGACAATTTTTCACTGAGCCTATTTGAACATTACTGTGGTATTGTATTTTATTACAAAAATGTTATCCATGGTATATGATTTAAATAAAAATATTAAAAAATTGCATTAAACTTCTGGTTACAATTTTCATTTATTCCACCATTAAATCCCTATACTATGCAGTGTGGATGACAGATTTTGTGGGTACTGTATCTGAATACCCAATTTACTGGTACCATACATATTTCCAAATTGCAATACCATTTTGAAAGTACAATAAAAAGTTATTTTTATGTCAATTTGACATTGTCAGGTTAATATTTTTGTTAAAACTATGCAGTTTGATGGGGACCTACTGCAATAATCTGAGAAGCTTACCTCAAAGAAATTGGTGGAGCCTATGTAATGCCCTCTGCGTCAGCGTCCCAGGTTAGTCTTTTGGTGCAGTTTTCTTTCTTAAAGCATGTAACAACGGGGTGCGGTCATAACTTGTTCCTATATGTTTTTGAAATCTTCATTGAAAGGTAGCTGGTTTGCCCTCCCATTTATAGTTATTGTTATGTCAAATTAGGGTAACGTAGTGTTGTACATGTATGTAGAAAATTTGGCACTGAAAGAAATCCTTTTAGCGAAGGAATGACCAGGTTTTAACATATTTTGGGCAGATTTCATTTCCAAGTTTATCCAGTAAGTATGTAGCCCTATATATGTTGACCTGCCTTGCATGCATATGAAGATGCATTTAATAAAGGTTTGATTTGGATGCTGGATTACATACCTGGTAGTATATAGGTCCCTGAATTTTTATAGATAACAAAAGAAAAAGCCCCCGCCCCTCCTACCGAAAGAAAGCGTTTTTTCCAGATAATTTTCGAAGGACGCAAAGATGTAAGGTAAGGGTAACCCTTGTATTCAGTCCCAAGGATAATTGTGAGGCAATCATTATCTCTACTTGTTAGAGACCAGAAGAGCTTAAATTATGCGTCCATCTGATGTGTAATTCTGCATTTTTTAAATTTTGAAGTATTTCTTTTCTTTTTCAAGATACAGTAGATGATTTTACGCTGATTTTCAATGTATACTCATACTGAGTATATATACAATGGATAGCTTGATTGTTTTATTTTGTAAGCTGTTAAAGAGTTTATTGTCAAGCGATTCTACCTGACTCTGATGCTCTATGATCTCTGAAAGCAGAAGACACTGGGAAGTGGCAGAAAAAATTTGAATATCCCCGGGGCTTTGCCTAGAACCTCCTTTCTGGGGCGGCTAGTTTGAAACCTGTGTCTATCACTTCTCTCTATCAGGTACATTTATATTACCACATTATCGTTCTCTGAAATTCATGGGATAATGTGCTTCTCTAATCATCGTTTCTCTCTAATTCATCCATTCATCTACTGAAAACCAATTATTCATGACATCTTTTTATGAATTCACGCTCTGTCAGTTTGAAATCATTCTGCGACTATTAATATTCGGGACTGAGGAAACTTTCTTTCCCAATTTATAGAAAAAGAAAGGGTTCTTGGTGTTAAATATTCGTGAGTTTGAGAAGGTTGCAAACATGCTAATATTTCTCACAGTCACGCAAATATAAGTTGGTTTACAGTATCTGTTTGCCTCTATCATTTTTAACTGCCTCGCCAGTTGGCCAATTTCAATCACAAGTAGGAGAAGACATTCATGAGTAATGTGGATTTGGTTTCATTTTTCTCTTGAACCATCTTCAAAGAAATTGTGGAAGCATCCTTTTGTGATGAAGATTTATTTACATTTTGGTTTTTAGATATGGAGACTGGGGACCGCTAATGGCTGTATGAAACTTGAAGAAATGGGACATGACCGTCTTCCGTCCCTCTGTCTGTCCTTCTGTCACAGTTTTCAAATAGCTCTGTTCAAAGCTTAGTTTCAAAGAAACTGTTCAAGATATTTTTATCAAACTTCATATGATAGATTGATACATAGATTTGATTTAAACAAAATTTTATTATGTGTAAATATAACAGGATTTAGCAGAGGCACTGCCTATATAAATCCTCTCCATTGATACATGAATGAGAGCTATGCAGTTGCCTCGCCATTCTTTAACCTTAACCTTTCTTTGACATTGACTACTTTTCTAAATTAAGTTAGTGTTTAGCTCAGTTTTTAAGATACCAGTCATGTTAGTGTAATCACACTTCATATGTTGATACAAACTGATGTATCTATTCAAATGTATTAATGTTTTTTGACATTGACCTTTCCTTTGACTTTGAAATCATTTAATTTCTATAAAATACTTGATTCTGATTGGTTTAAAAATTCTTTTGATACCTGCATCAATAAAATCTAGAGTTCGCTTGCACTAAGCATGCTAAGCAGCCGGAACTACTTTGGCAGTCTCTACATGTATATTTCCCGCTCCCGGGTTACTTCTTGGAGGAATAATTAAATACTTTTACTTTAATAAATATTTTCCTGAATTTCGAAACCTGTCCGTTACGTCCCCGACTTATTTTCTACTTTCGTTTCTTTTTGAATTATCCCCCTTTGCTAAACAAATCAAATCGTCTGCATAACAACAATACAGTTTTGGGAAAGAAGGAAAGAAATCGACATACTTTTGTTATATGTCTGGCTTTGATATGTCTGGTATGAACAAAAGAATTCTGAGGAAACGTTTTATGCTACCAAAGAGAGGAAAAACCGTTTATATGTTAAAACTTGGGAAACGAATGATCGAAAAAAAACGACACAGCATGAATGAGGACAGATTCTTTTATTCTTAAAAAGTCGGCAGCAGAATCTTTCAGGTTTTACAGCATTGATAGGTTGTGATACGTATTTATATGTTCGGTTTGAAATTCAGATGAAAAGATGTGCAAATGAAATCCAAAATTTCTGTGACCAAACGTTAGAACTGTTAGGATATTTGAGTAGCTTCCCTTTACATTTACGAACTTAGATAACTTACCAGGGAAAATATACCGATTGGGATAACGCAACAGGTAAGTTTTTTGTTTTAAAGAACTGTAAATTATTTCAGAGAATGTTGGTAATGCCACGACAATATCTGAGAACGTTTCTTCGTTTGAGCCATTTTGAATTTCGGCAACGTTAACGTTGTTGTCGTGTATTAATGCGCACTGTTTTTGATGCGTAAATTTATTAGAAATGTGAAAGAAAGATTCAATTTATTAATTTAAAAGCATATTAATTAAATGATAAGAAATGAATGTAATATTTTTTCCTTTGATCGATGTATCAAAGAAAAATTTGGACGGAAAACTTTTTCATCAATGCGCTACGCGCATTGATGAAGTTTTCCGTCCAAATTTTTCTTTGATACATCGATCAAAGGAAAAAATTTTACATTCATTTCTTAACTCAATTTTTTATATTATTGTTTAGCTCAATTTACAAGATACCATTCAATTCAATTTCATATGTTGATACATTTAGATTTAAGCTTTTTAATTGCATCAACGTTTTTTTTACAATACTTTTCGTAAATTAGTATTTAGCTAAGTTTTAAATACGGTAATTTTATTACATATCATATGCAGATACATTCTGATGTAAGCTTTTCAACTGAAACAACAGGTTTTTACCATGACCTTTACTTTGACCTTGACATCACTTTTCTTAAATTAATGCTCAGCCCAATTTTAAAAAATTCCATTCAAAATATTTCTATTAAACATTTTATGCTGATACATATCTCTTTTCTTTAATTTGTATTGTGCTAAGTTTTCACGAAAACCTTTTAGCTATTTTCATGTCAGCATTCACTTATACATGTTTTGAGTGACAGTTTATCATGTATATCAATTTTTTTTTAAAGATTTTAATTTCAATAACTTGTTCAAGATATTTTTATCAAACTTCATACACTTGTACAAATTTTCATCTTACATTACTAATATACACCCAGCAGAGCATTCTGTCCGATGGACATATTTCTAGTTTATGATGTTTTGATCACATTAACCAAGCGCATACAGTAAGTCATGCATTAAAAGAATTAAGATGTTCAGTGTTGCAAGAATGAGAGAAAAATGGCGGTTTCGATTAAAATTTCAAATTCGGTTCAGTTTTTCATGTCCCGTGAATTTTGAAGTACTGTCGTGAGCCTGTGAATGGGGTAAAAAATATATTTAATTTTTTTGTACGGACGGCCCGGTACATGTATATCATAAGTATTGCCCTTGAACAAAACTGAAATTTCATATTTCAATTTAATATTCTGGTTATCACTTGGAGAATAATAATTAATGATTTATGAAAAGTCAGTATATAAAGATCAATCTCACCGTGCATAACCCCACATATGGGGGCGCGGAATGGTTCCATCCAGGGGTGCTGAATTCGAGGCGGAATTTGCAATGTCCGTTGATCTGATTAGCTTTCCTACAGTGATTGAGATGAAAATAATCCTAAATTTACCTACGGCGGAACACAGTGATATCACAGCTTAATTACTGTTACTCGTTTCCTAGCTTGGGACTCGTCCTAGAAATACATGAACACTTCTGCAATATCTGGCAAGAGCATGCGGGAACGCAAATTTGACCGTTTCTTTGTGAAAATTGGTGATATCATTTGACTTATGTGAGGGACTTCTAAATATGATTCTGCTCCAGACACACTAATGTTTCTGAGAATTCCACCTCAAATAAAGGGGACAGACTTCAATTTAAGTGTGTGGCACTCGGGGGTAAAGATTTTAGTGGAGGCTGGGGGAAGGAATATATATCTAACTAATTGAAATAAATCGTTTCTATAAAAATTATATAATTATATGTTAAATATACTTAAGTTATACATATCTTTATTTTACAGGAAATAAACACTTGAGCAATATACCGTATAAGTGGAAAATTTTAGCGAGATGCAAATTTAGCGATTTCTACCTAAAATCTGGTATTTTATGTTTAACGAGAAGTAATTTTAGCGATTTTAAAATGCTACTTAAAGAAACTATTACAAATAATGGGCTATTAATTTTTAGCGATATTCAATTTTAGCGATGTCAGTACCATCACTATAAATTCCAAAATAAAATCCTCGCTAAAAATTCTACTTATACGGTAGTTTAGAGTACATATTACATACATACTACTTGTTAGTCCATTATTTATGAACCGAATTGACAAGGGATTTTCCAGATCATTACAAGCCCTGGGCATACGGCGATTGTGACCCGTCGGTAAGGGATGTCCACTCCTCCATGGTACCTGATCCCATCTCTGATGTTTAGCAGGTCCGTGTTTGCTCTGCTCCTGTTTTGTAATGTTTTATGAACTTTTGATCTTGAATACTGTTCATTATATCCATCTGTTCCATGTATATAGAATTGATATAGAATTATATAAACGCGTGTTCATGCAGTGAAGCTAATTATATACTGACTTTTGAAAGGATATGAGCTTACTAGGCATTCAGAGTACCCATAGCTTCAGATATATAAAAATCATACTCAATTTGTGAAAATAGAATTTAGAATAACTTTTTCATTATTGAAATTAAGATGAACAAAACCTTTCTGAGAAATATTAGAATAATTAGAATTTAGTTTCAGTTTTTTTCAAATGTATTTCCATGTAGAAGTCGAAATTAAAGTACGCACGTTTTCCCAGTGAAATCTGTGGAAAGACTTACTCAACAAAATCAAAGTTAAACAAACATAAAATGTGTCATTAATCATCGTATTAATCATTGTGGTAAAATCTTTGCTACAACAGGCACGTTGGTTGGACCCCCCCACTTTTACCACAGTATACTGATATCAAGGAAACGTAGTATTGTAATAAAAATATATTAGCAACTGCGTACCCCCTCCCCATGAAATAAGATTTTCGAGTTTGTTCAACCCCCCCTTTTTTTTTGCTTGTCAACTTTTCAGGTAAGTAATTTTTTTTCTTTGGTGCCCCTACCCCACTTTCAAAACCGATTCTACGTGCCTTACAAAGCATATTATATTCTGCGAATCATTTAAAAAAACAGTTCCAATTTAAATTTATATACCAGGATCTAACATGTCTAAACAATTAAAACAAAGTATACTCAGTATTTTAAGAATTACGATTGATATACAATGACTAAAAATTATTCCTCCCCCAGCCTCCATTAAAATCTTTACCCCCGAGTGCCACACACTTAAATTGAAGTCTGTCCCCTTTATTTGAGGCGGAATTCTCCGAAAATTAAGAGTGTCTGGAGGAAAATCATATTTAGAAGTCCCTCACATAAGTCAAAGGATGTTGAGTGATATATAAGGCACCAATTTTCACAAAGAAACGGTCAAATTTGCGTTACCGCATGCTCTTGCCAGATATTGCAGAAGTGTTCATGTATTTCTAGGACGAGTCCCGAGCTAGGAAACGAGTAACAGTAAGCTGTGATATCACTGTGTTCCGCCGTAGGTAAATTTAGGATTATTTTCATCTCAATCACTGTAGGAAAGCTAATCAGGTCAACATTGCAAATTCCGCTTCGAAATCCGCACCCCTGGATGGCACCATTCCGCGCCCCCATATGTGGGGTTATGCACGGTGAATCTACATTCTATTGATAATTTCTGATGAAATAAATCAAATCTGATATGAATTATTTCAGTAAATATTGATCTATGTTAAATGTTACACGGAGTATCTATACACTTTGTTACACTGAGTATCTTTCCACTTTGTTACACTGAGTATCTATACACTCTGTTACACTGAGTATCTATACACTTTGTTACACGGAATATCTATTCACTTTTACAAGTCCTTCCTTGTATCCTACCCACAGTGTAGACTTGTATAGGGACAGTGAATATGGATGGTTCACTTCATCGTCTGCCAGTAAGAACTTCAGGAACTCCCCCTCAGGACTCAGCAGATGGATCTGTTTGTTAAATGGGTCTGTAACAATGATGTTACAGAATGAGTCACATACTACATCAAATGGATCAAAGTTTCCAGTCAGGTTTTGTCCACGGTAGACAGACTTCATACGACCAGAGGGAGACATTATCACTACTTCACCTGTATCTTCACTTGTAAGATTCACAACACAGATATCACTGTTAATGTTCTGTGTTACTCTAATTGGCAATGTAAACAGTCTGGTCTGACCGTTTTCCTGGTACTCATACTCATGGATGATATCACCTGTCACTGATATGTGTATGACCAGACGTCTGCTATGTGTCTCTAATTTAAAATAATCTGACTGTAGGTCTTTCAAGGTAACCAGTAGTCCATTGTCCACTGACTGACAAATTCCTCTTGGTGCAAGTGGATCTGTACTGATTACTGTAGAGACAGATCCTGATGGTGAGAGACAGCTGATGGAATTATCATAACCAGTTAAATAAACATCACCGTTATCAGTCACACACATGTCATATGGATGAATTTTAAATCTATGTGTTATTGCACCGTTATTGTCAACTTTTTCTATATAATGTGATAAAGTGTCTTTAATGTAATATTGGACTTCACTGAATGCTTCCAAAACAAATATTGATGCATCTCCATACTGGAATGAATTTGTCTGAGTCACAGCAATAAGATCTAAATGTAAAGTTTTTCCAACCAAAGACTCGACTAAGTCATCATTAATTTCACCTCTTGTGAATCTCAATGATTTTTCACAGTTTGTGGTATGAACCTCCAATTCAGACAGCATATTTGTCAGTTCTCTGTGATTATCAATCAAGCTGTAATCTGACATTGTGCTGATGTTCTGCTCCATGAACTTCACTGTATCAACAATTCCTTTTTTCTTCTTCTCTAGCTCAGATTTCACATGGTTCAGCTGATCATTATTTTGAACTAAATTGTTTCTTAATGTTTGTTCATGACGTTTTTTGACTTCCATCAGCCTGGCTATTATTTCATCAACATGCTTCTGAAGCCTTTTAATTTCAGCATCACACAGTTCTTTATTTTCTGTCATCTGTTGTGGAATCTTCTCTAAGTTCTCATCAATCCCAGGCAGATCCTCTTCCTTTATCTCTTTAAAAAATATAGGCAGACTTCTTCTCCTCTGGCTGGCTGCCGTTGTTAAAGTATTCCAATCATGATCCCTATGATCTGTTTTGGCACACTTGGCACAAATAAATACATCACAGTCCTCACATACCATATCAATAGGTAGTTCATGGGTTTCACACATTACAATGGGTGTTAGAGGAGAGCCAAGGGAATATTTTTCTAAGCTACTGTCAGCCATGTTTGTTGGGTGTAGCCTACCTGAATGACCTAGTTTTTAGTGCGGATATTAGGTTACAAAATTTTTCAAAGTTGGGTTTTTTTAAAAAAAATTATTCAATGTGACACTTTATTGTGACATTGTGCAGTGAAATGTAAACGTAAAGATGTATTCTTTTGTGAAGAAATTATTTGGATTAGAAAAAAAATTATGAATCAAAAGTTGATTACATGTATAATTAATTTTTCAGATACAAAAAGTAATTATTCAATAAAATGGGAAAAGTCCTTTAGTCATAATATGTTACAATTTATCGTCAGGATGAGATTTGTTGATTCATATTACACATCACTTGCCCTTAGCTAACTTAATTTTTCTTTGTCTAACCAAAAAAATTTGTTAAAGCTGCAAAAGTTTCTTGAAATGATTAATTACAGGTATAACAATGCATGCAGTGGCACAATTGATTTGAACCCATCACATTGATTTTTCATCGATATTTTTGTAGAGATTTCTGAGAATTTTTTTTAAAGATCAGTGTAGAGAATTTCTACCCAAAGTCCAGTATTATTTTAAAAATTTTGTATAGTATTTGCGTCTAAAAAGTAGCACATATATGTTTAATTATCTTTTTTATCAACTTTTTTGCAACATCATTTATTCATGATTCTTCAGTTAAAAATCCAACTGTTACTATTTCCTTCTGCAGCTAAGTAAAAAAGTTTACAAAATTCTTTTTTGATAGTTTTAGATAATTTTGTAAATACATGTATAAGTTGGTTACCTTATTTCTTTATGTGTAGTGTACATGTAGTACTTAATGCTTTTTTGTACATTGACAAATTGTCTGTAATCCTTTCAGGAGTTAGAGGAATTCTGGGCTTATCAAGAACTCCTGGGAACCTTTGTCAAGCATCTGGCTTATTGTGTTTCCGCAGAACTCTTGCCACTCATGGAAATACCTGGCGTCAAACTGGTACTTCATTTCATACAGTGAAATTTGTTTAAACAGGGTGTTTTATTTTTTGAAATCTTGCCTATTAAAATCAAGGTGTTGTAAATTATGTTTACTCAAAGTCTATGCAGCACAATCATTTGATAAAATGCTATCAAGGACAAGTTTTACTGTATGTACTTTTATTAACCATCACAAATATTCTTTATAAAGATCAAATGTTATGAATCCTTTAAGAGTCATAATACAGATGACGACATCTGTAAGAAAAATTATGAATTGATTGACATAAAATTATACACATTACAGTTGTAAAATAAATGTTTACAGGTTCTATAATATGATAAATATTTTGATGATTCAAAGTTCCATTACATGAATTTACCTTATGTCATTAAACTATTACTTAATCTATGTGAATTTTTTGATCTGAAGCATTTCAAAATAAGATATTCAATACAAAGTATTTCTGACTTTGTACAGGGTAGATTTAAGCAGTTGTACAATGCTGGATTCCAGTCTGTGGCGTTAGTGGCGGCTGCTGATCCAGAGAACCTTGTTAGATCCATACAGCAGATTCCTCGAAAAGTGGCCAAAGAGATCGTCACCTTTGCAAACGTAAGGTTTCTTGTGTGCCTAAATTAAACGACTTTCAGATAATGATACAGCTGTGGTGTGCTGTACATTTTAACTATTTGATTTCTACATGTGATAAATCTTAAAAGTACATGTATTTTCAGCTAATACAACGCAAAGCTGATAATAATATAGTATATTTATAGTCCCTATATAATCTATACAAACGCAAACAGTTCATAACACTACATATTCACCGGATTTTAAGCCGTATTTACCAGAGGATGAATGTTCGTGCAACGGCATTGTGACGTCACAATCAAAACATTTCTTAAGCTTTCATTATTGATGGATATTTTTGGCACTTTCTTTGTTTCACTTGATTTCAAATAAAAATATATTTCTTGCTACTGTATTGATTAAAATAAAACTCCTGTTAATATATTGTAGGTTTTTCTGAATGAGAAAGCCGAGGCCTTACTACAGGAAGTAGAGGAACTGGTGACGGTACCGGTCGACCGATCAACCGTTCATAGTTCACAGGGTCAATTAAACCTCTCTCTGGGATGAAATGGATTTGTTTTCTAGTCTTGATATACATTCTTCTACCTCATGATAAAAATTGACAATCTTTTTACTAGGACAAAAAGTGCATGTAGATTAAGGGGTAAGGGGAAAAAATCACAAACCCTATCAATGATTTACATGTAAATTCCTGCCATCCTTTTGGTTTAAGTTAGTTGAATTTGACGTATTAGTTCAAAAGACTAGTACTGTAGTGCTCAGGATGTTCAATTATTCATCTCACTTCTGATGATATATATTGCTTTTTTTACATGAAAAATAATAATTAACTTGTACGTAATAGAACTTGTATTTATAGCATATACAGCGAATGTGCAATATCTCCTAATTAAAGAGAAATGTTTATAGGAATATAAACAAGCTGACTGGTATTGAAACTGCTTCCAAATGTGTAATATTGTGCCTTAGCCTAATTCTTGTCTCAAGACTGTGCTACATTGTTTTCAAGAGCTAGTCTCTTTCATTTCAAGCTAACATGATAATTGTTTATTATTAGTACAGTTTCTGTGATATCATCATTTGTACCATTGAAAATGAACACGTTTTATGTCATGGTTCCTGTTGACTTGTCTCAGCTAGCTATACGTGTAGTTATTGACCTTTCTATCCAACAATGGTGTCGAAATATTTGCAGAAATTAGTTGTTCTGGTGTTCTAATGCATCTCTTACATGAAGCCTAATATTTAAATAATTGTTATGCCACTGAGACATGTACATACTTAAAGGAACTGGAAGGAAGAGTAAAACTCTGGTGATTTCACATATTCCAGATAAAAGTAGCTACACCTGTAGACAATTTTTCATTGAGCCTTTTCTGAACATTACTGTGGTATTGTGTTGTATAAAAAATCTTGTGTTATCCATGATATATGATTTAAATAAAAAGAAAAAATGCATTAAACTTATGGTTACTGTGATTATTCATTTATTCCACCATTAAATCCCTACACTATGGAGCGTGGATGACAGATTTTGTGAATAGCCAATTTACCATAAATGTTTCCAAATTGCAATGCCATTTTGAAAGTACAATAAAAAGGTTTTATATCAGTTCAACATTGTCAGGAGTATATTTTATTTAAACCATGCAGTTTGTTTGATGGAGATCTACTGCAATAATCTAGAAAGCTTACCTCAACAAAGTTAGGGGAGCCTATTTAATGCCTGCAGGATCAGCGTTCCAGATTTAATATGGGTTTTTGGTGCAGTTTTCTTTCTTCAGGCACAGAGCAACAGGGTGGGAGGCAATTAACTTCTTACTACATGTATTTGAAATCTTCATTGAAGGCTAACTGGTTGGTCCTCTCACTTATAGTTACTGTAAGGTCAAATAAGGGTAATGTAGTTTTATAATCATGTAGAAAATTTGGTCTGAAAGAAGTCCTTTCAGCAAAGGAATGACAAGGTTAACATATTAGGGGCAAATTTCATTTTCAAGTAAAACTACCAATTATGTAGCCCTATGTTGACAAAGCTTGCATTGATGATCCATCAGGCTGCATAAAACCAGATATGATCTGGATGCTAGATTACATAGTATATTTGTCCCTGAAATTATATCGATAACAAAAGAATCCCCCCCCCCTCGTACCGAAAGAAAGCGTTTTTTAATATAATTTTTTGAAGGATGTAAGGTAAGGGTCACCATCCCTATCTTGTTTTCAGTTCCAAGGATAGTTCTGAGGTAATAATTTGCTCTACTGGTCAGTGTGTAATGCTGCACTTTTTATTTTTTTTTTATTTTGAAATATTTCTTTTTCAAGATACAGTACAGTGGACCTTCAGATATCAGGACGCCAGATATCCGGATACTTCAGTATCTGGACGATATTTCATCAGGACAGAATTTTTAAACGTTATATTGTCTTGTTTAAATGGTAATTCATATATGATTATCCGGACGTTTCACATATCCGGACAAATTTATTGGGAACAAAAGCGTCCGGATAAATGAGGCTCCAATGTAGATGGTTTTACGCTGATTTTTCATGTATACTGAGTATACTAGTATATAGAATGGGCAATTTGGTTGTTTTATTTTTTATTCTTGATGATTTTGTTGTCAAGCGATTCTACCTGACTCTAATTCTGTATGATCTCTGGAAGCAGAGGACACTGTGGGAAGTGGCAGAGAAATTTGAATATCCTCGAGGCTTTGTCCAGAACCTCCTCTCAGGGGCGACTAGTTTTGCGACCTGTGTCTATCACTTTTGTCAGGTACATCTATATTGCCACATTATATTTCTCTTAAATTCCAGTAATCATGTGCTTCTCAGAGCTCCAGGAAATTTTTACCCCAAAGTGTATTTACTCCCTGATTTTCAAATCATGCAGATTTTGATTTTCAGCAAAATGATTGGCGAGTATTCTGTTGATATATGAATGTTTTGACCCTAATTTTGATTTTGAGCTTATAATCAGTCTAGTCGAACCGTCAAACGGGGGTAAACGGATGTTGGATATCGGTACCTTCAAACGGGGGTACGGCGCATGCGCAGAAACTCAAAAAGTGCCGTTTTCACGGAAAAACGTGTGGTCCACAAAATATGCTCGTGCAAAGTGATGGATTATTTCGTAGCTCTGTATGTACTCAAATTTGATAGATTAAAGATGTTTAAAGAGATTGTATTGTCAAAAAGTATATGTTTATTGTAAAAATCGAGACTTTTTCTCCCCCAAAGTTAGCGTATTCTGTGCCTTGACCTCCATGCGTGATACAACTTGATTTTTTATTCATAATTTAATAAAACGGATTTATAAACAAACAATTGCTTGTTTAAAGTTGAACTACATATAATTCCCTTCCCCGGTAATAAAAATCTTGTGTAATTAGCGTGTTATTTATTATTTTTCGACACTTTCTTTGTGCATGTTCGAATTTCCTCTGTCCTGTAAACATACTTTTGTGTCTCAGAAATGACGTAAATAAAGACGATAACATTTTTATAATTTTTTTAAAATTGAAAACAAAGGTGTAGCCAATTCATTTTTGTATGTTTATGATTTTTAAAAAAAATATTTATTTTTTAAATAAGAAGAGTTATCGTTCTTCTGCTTTCGAGCGTTGCATTTAGGGAAGGAAAACCCTCGTTTGAGGGTATACCCTCGTTTGAGGGTTCGACTAGACTGATAATGAGCTTATAACGTACAGCGCTATGACAAAAGTATTCGCGATTTTTCAAAATGGCGGACGTAAACACGATGCACTTCGTAAAAATAAAAAATAAATTGTGAAACAAATAACAGACTTACCTTTATTAATACTTGGTGAGGTGGCCCTTAGACTTGATTACTGCTAATAGTCGACGGGGGATAGATTCATACAAGGATTTGATATAGTTTTCGTCGAAGGAAGTCCAGATGTGTAAAATAGCATCGAACAATTCTTCCGGAGTCTTTATGTTTGGAGCTCGATTTTGCAGAGTTCTCTTGATTTTTAGCCATAAATTCTCTATAATATTAATGTCCGGTGATTGAGCTGGCCATACAATTGTAGGAATATTATTTTGTTGTTTGTAATCTACAGTAATACGAGCTCTATGGACGGGGGCGTTGTCGTCTTGAAAACGATAGGTTTTGTTGAGGAAATGTCGGGCAATGACGGGCCAAAGTTGATCTTCTAAAATGGATATGTATTTTACTGCATTAATATTTCCATTGACCATGCAAAGTGTACCAACCCCGTGGTAAGTGATGCATCCCCACACCATTACCGAAATCCTTCTCTGCCGAGGGGGGCACATGCACTGCGGCAAGTACGATTCTTTAGATGTTCTCCACACATACACTCTATGATTCTCTCCTAAAACTATCTGACTTTCATCAGAAAATATAATTGTGTTCCAATAATTATTCACTATGAGTTTTCTTTTCTCTAAACACCATGCAACACGCCTTTTTCTGTTGATATCGGAAACGACCATTTTTTTTCTAACAACTCTTCGCTTATAATCATGATCACGCAAAAATCTTTGGACTGTCCGTGGATTAACAAAGTCATTAGCATCCCTGCTTTCATTAAATTCATTAGTAATATCCTTTAAAACCCGTCCTCTGTTAGTTTTAGTATGTCTAATAATCCAGTTCTGATCTCGTTTCGACAGCTTCCGAGGGCGTCCTTTTCTTTTCAATGTTTTGACTTCACCAGTTGACAAATATTTTTTCCAAATAGATCTGATGGTTGACTCAGGTATTTGTAATAAATTCACAAGTACTGATGTTTTTTGCCCCTCCTTTTTCATTTCCACAATTAATTTCCGCCCATTACGCTGTCTATCACTGAATGTTTTGATTGTAACATAGATATGACGTAAGCTATATATTTCCAATTTTGCCAGTTAATGTTTCGCGGTCTTAAAAATATTTAGCCTAACAAAAAGCTGTGATGTGTTTTATTACAATGTAATTAATACTGGTTTGTTTCAGAACACGTGTCATATGCTTATACGGTACATTCTGATGTAAGCTTTTTAATTGCATCAGCATTTTTTTACCCTGAGAATTCCTTTGTCCTTGACCTCACTTTTCTTAATTAGTGTTTAGCCCAGTTTTAAAGATGCCATTCAAGATGGTGTAAACAATCTCATATGTTGATACATTCTGATGCAAACTATTTATTGCATGGATATTTTTTGACTTCTGCCTTTCCTTTGACCTCACTTTTCTTTAAGTAGTGTTTAGCTCAGTTTTGAATATTTTTATCACAAGCCATAAGCTGATCATAGGCGTCGGAACCGGGGCGGCTAGGGGGGGGGGGCTTAGCCCCCCCCCACTTTTTTTTCCAAATGTATACTTAATATAGACATTGAACGTATCTTCGTAGGTTTAGCCCCCCAACTTTCCACAGACACGTCTTAGTATAGGTAAAAAATTGGGTAAATGGTGGTGTTTGGAGAAAAAAATTTGGTACTGAAGCTGTGATGTGTTTTATTACAATGTAATTAATACTGGTTTGTTTCAGAACACATGTCATATGCTTATACGGTACATTCTGATGTAAGCTTTTTAATTGCATCAGCATTTTTTTACCCTGAGATTTCCTTTGTCCTTGACCTCACTTTTCTTAATTAGTGTTTAGCCCAGTTTTAAAGATGCCATTCAAGATGGTGTAAACAATCTCATATGTTGATACATTCTGATGCAAACTATTTATTGCATGGATATTTTTTGACTTCTGCCTTTCCTTTGACCTCACTTTTCTTTAAGTAGTGTTTAGCTCAGATTTGGATATTTTTATCACAAGCCATAAGCTGAATGATAAGTACTGATGTAAGCTTTTTAACTGCATCCACATTTTGTTTACTCAACCTTTCCTTTGACCTTCATGTCTCTTCTCTAAAATTAGTGCTTAGCTTAGTTTTAAAGATACCATTCAAGATAATTTCATTAAACATATTAATATTCTGATATGTATCAGAGGGAGTTATTCAACTCCCTTTTTTATTATGTATTTTGTTAAGTTTTAAAGAAATCCATTTAAAATATTTTCATAAAAACATTCACTTACACAGATTTTGGTGACAATTTATTATCTTAATCCAATTTCAATTTAAAGAAACTGTTCAAGATATTTTTATCAAACTTCATCCACTCACACAATTTTTATGTCACATTACTAATATACACTCTGGGGGCAGTCATGTCCTATGGACATGTTTCATATTGCATTAATATATTTTGTCCTCAGCCTTTCCTTCGACCTTGACCTCACTTTTCTTCAAGTAGTGTTAGCTCAGTTTTGAATATTTTTATTACAAGCCATATGCTGATACGTACTGATGTACGACATCCATATTTTGTTTACTCGACCTTTGCTTTGACCTTCATGTCTCTTCTCTAAAATTAGTTCTTACCTTAGTTTTAAAGATATCATTCAAGATAATTTCATTAAACATAATATTCTGATAATTACAGTAGGAGTTGTTCAACTCCCTTTTCATTATTATGTATTTTCTTTAGTTTTACTTTTAAGAAATTTTTATTCAAAAATTCACATACATTTTTTGTTGACAATTTATAATCTTTATCCAATTTCAATTTAAAGAAACTATACAAGATTTTTTCATCAAACTTCATACACTTACACAAATTTTCATGTCACATTACTAAATAATATACACTTGGCGGGGCATTCATGTCCTATGAACATATTTCTAGTTTCTGGTGCTTTGTTCACATTAACAAAGTGCAGTAAGTCATGCATCAAATGAGATTTCCAGCGTTGTGAGAAAGAAAGAAAAATGGCAGCTTCCAATAAAAAAAATCGAAATACAGTACGAGTTCAAATTTTCATTTCCCTTGAATTTTGGTGTTTATATACTGCCGAGAATAATAACTTATGATTTTGGTAACAAAATATGAAAAGTATGTATACATATATCATTCTACATTTAGTTGATGATTTGTTACAGTTATGAAATATTTTAAATCTGTTATGAATGATTTCAGAAACAATTGATCTATTTTGGATGTTACACTGAGTTTCTATATACTTTGTTACACTGAGTATCTATACACTTTGTTACACTGAGTATCTATACACTTTGTTACACTGAGTATCTATTAATACACTTTGTTACACTGAGTATCTATACACTTTGTTACACTGAGTATCTATACACTTTTACAAGTCCTTTATCATATCCCACCCACAGTGTAGATTTGTATAGGGACAGTGAGTATGGACAGTTTGCTTTATTGTCTGTCTGTAAGAACTTCCAGAACTCCCCGTCAGGACTCAGTAGATGGATCTGTTTGTTGTAAACGTCAATAACAAGGATGTTACAGAGGGAGTCAAGGGCTACATCAATTGGATAAAAGTTATTTGTTAGGTTCTGTCCACTGTAGACAGACTTCATGCGACCAGAGGGAGACAGAATCACTAGTTCACCTGTAGTGTTACTTGTACGGTTCACAACACAGATATCACTGTTACTGTTCTGTGTGATTCTGCCTGGCAATGTAAACAGTCTGGTGTGACCGTCCTCCTGGTACTCATACTCATGGATGACATCACCTGTCACTGTGATGTGTCTCACCAGACGTCTGCTGTGTGATTCTAATTTGTAATTAGATGATTCATTGTCTTTCAAGGTGACCAGTAGTCCACCGTCCACTGACTGATAGATTCCTCTTGGCACCAGAGGATCTGTACTGATGACTGTAGAGGAAGATCCTGATGGTGACAGGATGGCTATTGATTTGTTAATAAAATCAGTGAAATAAACATCACTGTTTCCAGTCATACACATGTCATTTGGACAAATATTATATCTATGTTTTATTGCACCATTATTGTCAACTTTTTCTGCATAATTTGAGATAATGTCGCTTATGTAACATTGAACTTCACTGAAAGCCTTCAGATCAAATATTGATGAATCTCCATATTGGAATGAATTTGTCTGAGTCACAGTAATATAATCTAAATTTAAAGTTTTTCCAACCAAAGACTCGACTAAGTCATCATTAATTACCCTTTTAGTGAACCTAACTGAATGTTCATGGTTTGTGCTATGAACGTCCAATTCAGAGAGCATTTTTGTCAGTTCTCTGTGGTTGTCAATCAAGCTGTAATCTGACATGGTGCTGTTGTTCTCCTCCATGAACTTCACTGTGTCAACAATTCCTTTCTTCTTCTTCTCTAATTCAGATTTCACCTGGTTCAGCTGATCATTCTTTTCAACTAAATTGTCTCTAATTGTTTGTTCATGACGTTTTCTGATTTCTATCAACCTGGCTATTATCTCGTCAACATGCTTCTGAAGCTTTTCAATCTCAGAATCACACAGTTCTTTATTTTCTGTTACCTGTTGTGGAATATTCTTTATTTTCTCATCAATCCCAGGCAGATCCTCTTCCTTAATCTTGTTCAGAAATGTAGGTAAACCTCTTCTCCTTTGGGTGGCTGCCGTGGGTATTGTGTTCCAGTCATGATCTCTATGGTCTGTTTTAGCACACTTGGCACAAATGAATTCATCACAGTCCTCACATATCATATCAATAGGTAGTTCATGGGTTTCACACATTACTATGGGTGCTAGAGGAGAACCAAGAGAATAATTGTTTGAATTATAAGCATCCATGTTTATCAGGTGAGGTACAGTTGATCAGTTGTAGCCTACCTGAATGACCTAGCTAGTTTATAGTACGCGATAATTAGATAAACACAAGTTGTGAAGTTGGACTTTAGATTATATTTAGTGTGACACTTTGGTGTGCAGAAAATTGTAAATGTAAACCTTAAGGAGTCTAAATTGATGTGAGAGAATCATTTGGATTTGAAAAAAATGATGAATCAAAAGATAATTTTTGTATAGATAATTATATGTATAATTATTTTTTTAATCAGATGCAAAAAAAGTAATTACAATGTATATTAATTTTGATTAAATGAGACAGGCACATAGCAACAGGTAGGGGGAAGCAAACTGACCCCATTTTACCCCCAACATTACTTTTACCATTGGAAATGATTCGTGAAAAGCTGCCCCCCCCCCTTTATACTGCAGGAAATTGATATAAGGGAAATGAAGTGTTGAATACATATAAATTGGTACTGAAAGAAATTAGCTTTGAAAAAAGTTGGCCTCTCGGAATAGGATTATTTCAAGATTGGGCAATCATCCTTTTTTCCTTTTTTTTCTTTGCTTGTCAACTATTTCAAGTAAGTAAACAAAAGATTCTCTGTGCCCCCCCCCCCCTCACTTTCAAAAACGATGCTACATGGCTGTAAGAGAAGTCCTTTCAGTCATAATAATGTTAAAATTTTATCATTTGATGAAATGTGGTGAGTCATATTACCCTTCACTTTCCCATAGCTTAAGTAACCTTAATTTTTATTTCTCTCACCTAAAAATGTTTTATGCTGCAAAAGTTTCTTGAAATGAGTAATTACAGGTAAAATATAACATGCATTGTACATGTTGTAGTGGAACACTTCATTTAAACCTCTCATATTGATTTTTTTGTCCATATTTTGTACAGATTTTTAAAGTTTTTTTTATGAAAATGTTGTAATATTTACATTTGCAAATGTTTTCCTTTATATAACACTATTGAAAGCAAGCAATTTTATATCTATATAAGTACAGGTACGAGGTCAAGAGGTCATAGATGTTCGTATCGATAAACGTTCGACGTATTTTCTCAGTGACGTCATAAAAGGTCGACGCGCGTTCAATGGATTACATACATGCCGTTGGGTTTGAAAAAATATTGCAATTCACAGGTTAAAAGTCACAATCAGGCAAATCAAAAGTATGAATAAGTCACAAATGTAAATATAAGTAATAAGGTATAATTTTTTGAGTATTATTGGGATGTAAAACGGTTTGGCACATGATCAAATCTTCCATAAATCCCTTCGGGCTACTGAAAGCAATGTGTATCTATAAATGTATAAATACAGGTACGGGGTCAAGAGGTCTGACATATATATGTGGGTATGGATAAATGTTTGACGTAATTTCTCAGTGACGCCATAATGATAAAGGTTCGACGCGCGTTCAGTGGATTACATACATACACATGTACTGTATGAATAAGTTACAAATGTAAATATAATTAATAAGGTATCATTTTTAAACATCTATCGGACTTTAAAGGTACTTGGACACAGATTTGAAGTTAATATTTTCTCCATAATATCACAAATTATATATTCTAATAGCACTTCACACAAAATTTAATTAAAAATCTTATTTCATTTAAAAGTTATTAAAACTTCATATTTTTTGGCGGGTTTGATTGACTCATCCTGGCACTTTCACATATTTAACTTTATTCTTAATCCTTCAGAAAAGTGGCAATCTTGTTGTGTATTAATGAGAAATATTAAAACTTTAATCCAGAAAAATAATACTATTCAGAATAGAAATGGTAGAAAACAAAACACTTTCACAAGTATCGCCTTCCGAGCTAAGTCGTGTGTGCAAATCGATCACACTCGTGTTATGTACACAGTTTTTGTAAACAAGGCACGAGCTCTATTTTTATTTATATTTAGATTCACCGTGTGCTTTCTGAATCGTCACAGTCTGCTTACCACAACTGCACGGACTGAGAATATATATTGTGTGTTTATTTTGCTTTCGAACATGTCTACTCTGAATTTTCTGAATTTTCTGAATTTTTCATTCATACACAACAAGATTGCCACTTTTCCTAAGTATTAAGAGTAAAATTAAAATTTGTGGAAGTGTAAGGATGTGTCAATCAAACCCGCCAAAAAAAAAATAAAGTTTTAATAACTTTAAAATGAAATAAGATTTTTAAGTAATTTTTGTGTGAAATGCTATTAAAATATATACTTCGTAATATTATAGAGAAAAAAACAGAAAATATTAACTTCAAATCTGTGTCCAAGTACCTTTTGATACGGTTTGGTACGAGATTAAATTCATCATAATGCCCATCAGGCTTTTTGGAATTAAATTTCGTGATCAACTCGTATTTATATCCCGATAAATGTTTAAAAATGATACCTAATATTTTCACAGTATTTTTACCCAAATTCCAGTATTTTTAAAACTCTTGGGGTCTAAAAATTATCACATATATTTATAATTAACTATTTAACTAACTTGTTTTGCAATATGATTTATTCATGATTCTTCGGTTTAAAACCCATCTGTAACTATTTCTCTCTGGAACTGAGTATAGAAGGTTACAAAACTTTTTTTTTGATAGTTTTAAATAATTATGTAAATATAAGTTAATTACCTTATGTGTGTGTATGCAGTGTACATGTAGTACATAATGCTGTTTTAGTACATTTGACAAATTATCTCTCATCATTTCAGGAGTTAGAGGAATTCTGGGCCTATCAAGAACTACTGGGAACCTTTGTCAAGCGTCTGGCTTATTGTGTGTCTGCAGAACTCCTACCACTCATGGAAATACCTGGCGTCAAACTGGTACATTATTGTATACAGTAAAACTCGTTTAATATAGATGTTGTATATTTCAAATTCCTGCTTACTGTGATGTAAACAATGTTTACTAAAATCTCTTTTAGTTAAATGTCATTGATAAAAATGGTGTGTTATCTGAAATGTTATCTACCAGGTAACATACTGCGCAGGTAAAATAAAAAGTGAAAGTTTCTATCAAAGTACATGTATGATAAATAATGAAACACAGTTCCATTATCTAATTTTGTCAATACAGTAGTTACTTAATCTATTTGAATGTTTTGGATTTGAAGCATTTCTAAATGAGATATTCTTTACAAGGTGGTTTTGACATTGTGCAGGGTCGAGCTAAGCAGTTATATAATGCAGGATTCCAGTCTGTGGCGTTAGTGGCGGCTGCTGATCCAGAGATCCTTGTTAAATCCATACAACAGATCCCCCGTAAAGTGGCCAAACAGATCGTCGCTTCTGCAAAAGTGAGATTTCTTGTGCGCCTTAATTTTATGACTTTCAGATTTTGATACAGCTCTGCTGTCCTTTTAATTTATAGATATTTGATCTGTATTGATAAGTTTTTGTCTTAAAAAGAAATTGAGTGATAAGCTTATATTCATGACTACTCTGTAGATGAAGAGAAATATGATTTATTAAGTTGTTTACAACTTTTATGTCTCATAATATACTACTTAGCCTTCCTTTACCCCAGGTATTATACAGATTTTATGCACATTCTTTGGTTGATAGAAATTTAATTATAATTATGTTTTTGTTAAAGGAATGATTAAACAACCCAGATTTTTTTTAGGTTTTGCTGAATGAGAAGGCAGAGGCCTTACTACAGGAAGTAGAGGAACTGGTGACGGTTCCAGTCGACCGATCAACCGTACAGAGTTCACAGGGTCAAACCTCCCCCTGGGATGATATGGACTTGTTTTCTAGTCTTGATACACAGTCTTCTACCTCATGATAAGGGGGACAAAAATGTATTTAGATGAGGGAGAAAAAAAATTAAACCCTAACCTGGGCCAATGATTTAATGTACATGTATCATAGCGCAGTTCTATGGATTTAAGCAAAGTGAATGTGACATAATATATCTTACAAAGACTGTTTTTGTTTGTATATATATCAATAAATTTTGTTATAATTTATCAGTCATTGGTGCTAAGAATTTTTATAATTCTTATTGTTTCACCGAGTGCTACCAGCCTCAAAAACTCTGTTCTAATACGAGAACAGGCCTATGTATGATTGTGTAGACATACGCAGTATATCTACTAAATATTTTCTAAAAATAAATAAATGATAAATAAAATAAATAACCACCGTGTTGCTACAATCATTTTTTGGTGGCCGATCATACAAGGAGTTAAGTGTCAACATAAAATAAAGAGAAAATAAAGATGAGGTGAGGGAATTTGCAAATAGCAACAAAAAGGGGGGTGATTTTGTTCAATAATTGCTGAACATAAATTATAGATTAATTCAAATGAGAAGGGGGAGATTAAATACATATTTTGAAGGTGTGTAAGTTTATAAAATTTTGATTAAAATTGATACCAGAAAAGGGGGGGGGGGTAATAATCTAGCTTTGCTATATTGTTTTTATTTAGCTCGAAAAATCGTATAAAATTGCTGCTTATACCGATTATTGATTGATTTTATATTGTTTAACGTCCCTCTCGAGAATTTTTCACTCATATGGAGACGCCACCACTTGCCGGTGGAGGGCTACAAATTTTGTCCTATGCTCGGCACTTAGGGCCTTTGAGCAGTGAGGGATCTTTTTCGTGCCAACACCTACTGCGACACGGGGCCTCGGTTTATACGGTCTCATCCGAAGGACCGGTCTCCACGTCCCACAGTGGGAGTCGAACCCGCGACGTAAGGATTGACTCCTTACTTCGCGACTCTAGAGCAGACGCTCTAACCACTGCGCCACGCGGGCGACGCTTATACCGATTAGAATTTAATTTTAGATAAGATTTTTAAATTACCAATAGTACTGTTCAAAGTGAAAAGCGTACAGGAATAATAACCGAGGCATTAAACATAATTATTATCAAACAGATAAGTACATACATTTTTTTAATATAAACAGTTTATATATATTTGTGTGTGTGTATATGTGAACAAAATTCAAAAATTTTATAAAGAAAATGACCAGGAAGGAGTTAAGCCAAATTGGATTTAGAAATTTTGGTTTGTGCTATAGCATAATTATAATTTTAAAAGATGCCAAAAAGCCAAAAGATACCGGCTAAGATGCCAGTAATTTTAAAGGGAACTATCATCAGGTGCTAGTCCCAAACTCCAAGCAGGTTAGTTTCGGTAATGAATCGGCCATTCATTCTAGCACGACAAACCTGTCCTCGCCATTTCCGGTAGATATGCATTTTTCTATTTTCTAATTAATGTATAAATTATAATGTGGAAATTGTGAAAGACTGAGACCCTGAACCACTCTTTTTATATGTGTCTGAATTGGTAGAATTACTGCTAGTCTGAGATCTTGATACAAAATTCTTTTTATGAGACAGAGCATAAGTATCAAATATGACTGCTGCCTCTTCAAGAGTTTTCACATTCTTATCTTCTAAATGTGTTTTCAAATCTTGAGAAACACATTCCTTAAACTCTTCTACCAGGATGACTTGGCGCAAATAAGCAAAAGTTTTATCAAGTTTCTTAGATCTAAACCAGGGATCGAATAAATCTTCTTTCTCTCGTGAAAATGCAACAAATGTTTGGTTATCAAACTTCCTATACTTTCTGAATTTTTGTGTATATGCTTCAGGTACTAATTCATATGCTTTTAATATTTCTGCTTTGACCTTCTCATAGTCTGAACTTTCAGCTACCCCTAGCGCAGAGTATACCTCAGCTGCTTTGCCAACCAGTACACTTTGTAACATTGCTGACCAAACATGTTGTGGCCATTTAAGATTCTCTGCGACTTTTTCAAATTGGGGAAAATATTTGTCTACAGATTTTTCTTGAAATTTTGGAACTAATCTGATATTTTTTGCTGCGTCAAATTCAGTTTTGACAACTGACGGTTCTGGTTGGTTTTGTAATTATAATTTCTCTAATTCAAAGTTCATTTCACGCTCTCTTTCTCGCTCTTCTCTTTCAAATTTTCGTTCACGCTCTCGTTCTTCTCTTTCTAATTTGTCTAATTCAAATTTTCGCTCACGCTCTCGTTCTTCTCTTTCTCTGTCTCTTTCTCGCTCTTCTCTTTCTAATTTTTCTCTTTCAAATCGCATTTTCTCTAACTCTACTTGATACTGAAATTCTGACATTTTATAAGAGCTTAACTCTGATTTAACTGTATAATCTGGAAGATCGTATTTTTCAAAGATGTTTTCTTCCACTAATTTGTTTGCAACCTTAATTCTAATGTCTTGCTTTCTCTGAGAGGGTTTAACATCTAACCCAAAATGCAAACCTAATGCAATCAAGTTATTCTTTTTTAACGTATCAAAAACCTGAACACTTGGCGAACTAAGAAAGTTTGTGACCGAAAATACCATTTTGATTTTTGCTGGCTTATATTCAAATTTAACAATTTAATTAACAAAATTCTGACAATGAACTGCAAAAGTGCAAGAAATTCTTGATCCCGGACGAGCCCCCAATTCTGTTATGGGTCAGAATAACCCTAAATGCCAGCAAAGATCAATCACACAGTTTAAACTTAACAATAATTTATTTACAGTAATACTATACAAATCATTAAGTCTAAACTTAGCAGAGATCTAAAAATACATACATCAGAGTGTCCGTTGCTGCACACAATGTCCCAGTGAAATTATATCCCAGTAATACCTTAATGATGCATATACGACAATGGTCTCTATGCATCGAATTGACAGGATATTTATACAGTAATATAAAACTAGAATATTCTAGAAGTTGTAAGTACATGGTATTTCTGGAAAGTTCTGGAAATGAATAAAGTTCAAGAATGTTCTAGAAAAAATGACTAAACATATTGACCACTCTGGAATGTTCAAGAAACTTAATGTTACTAATAATATACATAATGAAACAATACACACCTCACAACAAATAAAAAAATCAAAATACAGTACGAGTTCAAATTTTCATTTCCCTTGAATTTTGGTGTTACTGCCGAGAATAATAACTTATGATATTGGTAACAAAATATGAAAAGTATGTATACATATATCATTCTACATTTAGCTGATGATTGGCCACAGTGATATAATATTTTAAATCTAGATCTGGTATGAATGATTTCAGTAAAAATTGATCTATTCTGGATGTTACACTGAGTATCTATACACTTTGTTACACTGTGTATCTATACACTTTGTTACACTGAGTATCTATACACTTTGTTACACTGAGTATCTATATACTTTCTTACACTGAGTATCTATACACTTTGTTACACTGAGTATCTATACACTTTGTAACACTGAGTATCTATACACTTTGTTACACTGAGTATCTATACACTTTGTTACACTGAGTATCTATACACTTTGTTACACTGAGTATCTATACACTTTATTACACTGAGTATCTATACACTTTGTTACACTGAGTATCTATACACTTTATTACACTGAGTATCTATACACTTTGTTACACTGAGTATCTATACACTTTATTACACTGAGTATCTATACACTTTTACAAGTCCTTTATTGTATCCTACCCACAGTGTAGATGTGTATAGGGACAGTGAGTGTGGACGGTTCACTTCATTGTCTGTCAGTAAGAACTTCAGGAACTTCCCGTCAGGACTCAGTAGATGGATCTGTTTGTTAAATGGGTCAGTAACAAGGAAGTTACAGTAAGAGTCACACACTACATCAGTTGGATCAAAGTTCTTTGTCAGGTTCTGTCCACGATAGACAAACTTCATACGACCAGAGAAAGACAGAATCACTAGTTCACCTGTAGTGTTACTTCTAATGTTCACAACACAGATATCACTGTTACTGTTCTGTGTGACTCTGTGTGGCGCTGTAAACAGTCTGGTCCGACCGTCCTCCTTGTACTCATACTCATGGATGACGTCACCTGTCACTGTGATGTTTCTCACCAGACGTCTGCTGTGTGATTCCAAATTGTAATGACCTGATTCAGTGTCTCTCAAGGTGACCAGTAGTCCACCGTCCACTGATTGACAGATTCCCATTGGTAACAGTGGATTTGTTTTGATGACTGTAGAAACAGATCCTGATGGTGACAGGATGGTAATTAATTTGTTTTTATTATCAGTGAAATAAACATCACTGTTTCCAGTCATACACAGGTCATTAGGACAAATATTATATCTATGTTTTATTGCACCATTATTGTCAACTTTTTCTGTATAATTTGAGATAACGTTCTTTATGTAACATTGAAATTCACTGAAAGCCTTCAAAACAAATATTGATTCACCTCCATATTGGAATGAATTTGTCTGAGTCACAGTAATAGAATCTAAATGTAAAGTTTTTCCAACCAAAGATTCGACTAAGTCATCATTAATTTCACCTCTAGTGAACCTTGTTGAATGTTTGCAGTTTGTGGTATGAATATTTAATTCAGACAGCATTTTTGTCAGTTCTCTGTGATTGTCAATCAAGCTGTAATCTGACATGGTGCTGTTGTTCTCCTCCATGAATTTCACTATGTCAACAATTCCATTTTTCTTTTTCTCCAACTCAGATTTCACCTTGTGTAATTGATCATTCTTTTCAACTAAATTGTCACTTAATGTCTGCTCATGGCTTTTTTTTATTTCTATCAACCTGCCTATTATCTCATCAACATGCTTCTGAAGTTTTTTAATCTCAGCATCACACAGTTCTTTATTTTCTGTCACCTGTTGTGGAATCTTCTCTATTTTCTCATCAATCCCAGGCAGATCCTCTTCCTTGATCTTGTTCAGAAATGTAGGTAGACCTCTCCTCCTTTGGGTGGCTGCCGTGGTTATAGTGTTCCAGTCATGATCTCTATGATTTGTTTTGGCACACTTGGCACAAATGAATTCATCACAGTCCTCACATATCATATCAATAGGTAGTTCATGGGTTTCACACATTACTATGGGTGCTAGAGGAGAACCAAGGGAATGTTTTTCTGAGTTACTGTCAGCCATGTTTGTCGGGTGTAGCCTACCTGAATGACCTAGTTTCTAGTGTGCATATTAGATAACAGGTATATAAGTCGGGTTTAAAAGTTTTAATTTATTCATTGTGACACTTTGTTGTGCAATGAAATGTAAACGTAAAGGTGTCTTTTATTTGAAGTGAGAAAATCATTTGGATTAGAAAAAAAAATTATGAATGAAAAGTTGATTACATGTATAATTTATTTTTTCAGATACAAAAAAGTAATTATTTAATTAAGGTAGAATGCCACACCAATTTTTTATTTTATGGATTATGAGCCATCCTTTCTAAACGATGGTTTCAGCATTAGGCACTTCACGCTCTTAATTATTTTATATGAATTTTTTTGTATTTTTTCAAAGAAAATGAAAAACATTATTTACATCCAAATTAGATGCTTTCTTGTAAAAAAATTTATTGTAAATGAATGCATCACACGAATACCTAATAAAATATGAAAAGAAAGTGTGGTTAGACTTTTTGAATTTTTTTTATAAAAAATTATTTATGAAAATAAAATATAAAAATATTTGTACATATCTTTTAAACCTATGGTTAAAAACACCATAAAACTAGTCACAACTAAGGACAACATGTTTGTCAATCATATTTTTAAAATTTGCAATGAAATTTTAGAGAAATTAATTTTTTTAATATTTGGACATAACCAGATCAAAATTAAACTGATTAAACTGATCAAAAATAATACAAAATGAATAAAATGCTAATTTATTGCCTCTTCATGTATTTACAATGAGTAAATCTATTTTATTGTCAGGTTCTATAATGTTTTAACCCTTATAACACCTAATCAGACTAGTGTTCTTAGGAAAATGTTATTTATTTCCAATAATTGTAAATTATAGTCGGGATCAGTTTAATTTTGATCGGGATTGGCCAAAATTGAAAAAAATTAGTTTCTCTAAAATTTGGCTATTTCGTTTCAATTTCTTTTATAAATATGATTAATGAACATGTTCTACCTAGTTGTTGCTGGTTTTAAGAAGATTTTAACCACAAGTTTAAAAAATATTCACAAATTATATGTTTTATTTTCATAAATATTTTTTTATAAAAAAAAAATTAAAAAGTTCTATCAGACTTTCTTTACATATTTTATTAGGTATTCATGTGATGCATTCATTTTCAGCAAAAATTTTACACGGAACGCTTAATTTGGATGTAATTAATTTTTTTCGTTTTCTTTGAAAAATACAAAAAAATTCATATAAAATAATTAAGAGCTAACATTGTCCTTTTAATGCTGAAACCATTGTTTAAAAAGGTTGACTTAGAGATCTATAAAATAAAAAGTTGGTGTGGCATTCCTCCTTAAATGGGAAAAATTCTTTCAGTCTTAATATGGTACAATTTTATCATCAGGATGAAATTTGTGGAGTCATATTACACTTCACTTACCCTTAGCTTATAATTAAGTAAACTTAATTTTTGATTGTCTCACCTAAAACTTGGTTAAGCTGCAAAAGTTTCTAGAAATGATCAATTACAGGTATAACAATGCAATTGCAAGCAGTGGTACACTTGATTTGAACCTTTCACATTGAATTTTAGTCGATATTTTGTTCAGGTTTTTGAAAAGTTTTTTAATGAACAATGTAAAGTATTTTCACCTTAATTCCAGTATTTTTAAAACTCTTGTACAGTATTTGGGTCTAAACATTATCACATGTATGTATGATTAACTATTTAATCAACTTTTATTTGCAACAACATTTATTTATGATTCTTAAGTTTAAAATCAATTTGTTACTATTAATTTCTGCGAGTGAGTAAAACAGGTTACAAAATTCGTTTTTGATAGTTTTAGATATGTAAATATAAGTTGATTACCTTTAATATTTGTGTGTATAAGTAGTGTACATGTAGTACTAGCAGCAGATCTATAGCATTATGGTTTTATATATTTGTTACCAGAACGCTACAGATCCCGTAATGCAATAAAAAGTGCAAAATACGGCGCATTATTTTTGCGCGCTTTTGGGGAGAATTTCTCTACGTTCCACCATCGGTCAATTAACTTCTTTTAGTTACACTCTTTAATTCTTTGCACATTATTTGACTAATCTGTATATTTTATCCATCTCCCAACCTTATATAGTCCTCTCTACAAGTGATAAACTCGCTTGATTAAATTATTTGTTAGATTGCTGAAAATTAACTTCAAGCAAGTTTATTGCCTGTAGAGAGGACTATAAATGGTTGGGAGGACTGGATGAAATAAACATATTGGCTGCAGAATGTGTCTAGAGTTATGTAGTGAAAGGTAGTTGATTGACCAACGCTAGGGAAATTCTCCCCAGAAGTGCACAAGAAATATTGCGCCGTAAATTGCACCATTTTTGCATTGCGGGATCTGTAGCATTATGGTCAAAGACAAATATATTAAACCATACCGTTACAGATCTGCAGCTAATGTAGTATATAATGCTGTTTTAGTACATTTGACAAATTATCTCTCATCATTTCAGGAGTTAGAGGAATTCTGGGCCTATCAAGAACTGCTAGAAACCTTTGTCAAGCGCCTGGCTTATTGTGTGTCTGCAGAAATCCTACCGCTCATGGAAATACCAGGCGTCAAACTGGTACATCATTTAATATACAGTAAAACTTGTTTCATATTGATGTTGTATATTAAAATTTTTTAATTATGTCTATTATGATGTAGACAATGTTTACTGAAATTGTAATAATACAGATAAATAAATCTGAAAGAAAAAATGTCAATTAAATAGTTGGATTTGAAGTATTTCAAAATGAGATATTCTTTACAAAGTGGTTTTGACATTGTACAGGGTAGAGCTAAGCAGTTATACAATGCGGGATTCCAGTCTGTGGCGTTAGTGGCGGCTGCTGATCCCGAGATCCTTGTTAAATCCATACAGCAGATCCCTCGTAAAGTGGCCAAACAGATCGTTGCTTCCGCAAAAGTGAGATTACTTGTGTGCCTTAATTTTATGACTTTTAGATTTTGATACAGCTCTGCTGTCCTTTTAATTTATAGATATTTGATCTGTACAGATAAGTTTTTGTCTTTAAAAAGAAATTGAGTGATAAGCTTATATTCATGACTACTCTGTAGATGAAGAGAAATATGATTTATTAATTTGTTTACACCTTTTATGTCTCATAATCCACTTCTTATCCTTCCTATACCCCAGGTATTATACAGATTTTATTCACATTCTTTGGTTGATAGAAATTTAATTATAATTATGTTTGTGTTAAAGGAATAATTAAACAACCCATATTTATTTTTAGGTTTTGCTGAATGAAAAGGCAGAGGCCTTACTACAGGAAGTAGAGGAACTGGTGACGGTTCCGGTCGACCGATCAACCGTACAGAGTTCACAGGGTCAAACCTCTACCTGGGATGACATGGACTTGTTTTCTAGTCTTGATACACAGTCTTCTACCTCATGATTAAAAAATTGACATTTTTTTGTAGGACAAAAAATGTATTTAGATGAGGGAAAAAACTCTTAAACCCTAACCTGGGCCAATGATTTAATGTACATGTATCATAGCGCAGTTCTATGGATTTAAGCAAAGTGAATGTGACATAATATATCTTACAAAGACTGTTGTAGTGCTCAGGGTTTTCATTTAACTGCTGATTATATTGCTTCTTTTTTTTGACGTGAAAGATAATAACTTGTACATGATAAAACAAGTCCATGTACAGCATAAAATGTGAATATACAATATCTCATAATGAAAATCCCTGTAGTAATATTTTCAGACAAGTGTTTATAAAAATATAAACTTTTATAAAAATATAAAAAAGCTGACTTAGGTATTAAAACTACTTCCAAATGTGTGTTATTGTGCTTTAATTCTTGCAAGTCTAAAGACTGTGCTACATTGCTTTAAAGTACTAGTCTTTATTATTTCATGCGAATATGATTTTTTTTTATCATGCACACAGTTTTTGTGATATATTCATTTTTTGACTCCTCTGTCTGTGCGTCAATCTCCTTCCATTCGTGGTGTTGAAATATTTGTATAAAATAGTTGTTCTGGTGTTCTAATGGTACATGTATATGTCTCTAAACCGATATGTTATATTTGAATAATTCTTTTTGCCACCGTGCCATGTACATACTTAAAGAAACTTGATGGAAGAGAAAAACCCTGGTCCAGATAAAAGAAACTACATCTGTTAAATTTTTTCACTGAGACATATCTGAACATTACTGGGGTATTTTGTTTTATAATAAAAAAAAAAACAACTTGTGTTATCCATGATATATGATTTCAATGAAAAGTAAAACCAAAATTTGCAAATTTCTGGTTACAATAACTATGCAGTGTGGAATTTTTGTTTTCAAATTTCATTACCATTTTGAAAGTATGAGAGTTTTCCTGTAAAATAGTGGACAAGTTGTCTAGTTTGAAAAATAATCATCACTGCGTTCTGAAATTTTCACTACACTTTAGTACATATATTATGAATATACAGAGCAAATTTCAAATATATTTTTGCATAAATAAACAAATTGTGATATTTTATGTTATGTACTGTATCGCCCTACGGCGCACGGATGATAACTCATAGATCATAGTTAAATTGGAAACCCAATTGAATATGAATTGAATTAATTAATTTGATATATTTCTTATAAATATGTTCTAGTATTCCCTTTTTTCCCTTTATTTTTTGCCTTTTAAAATAAAAGTTTTAAATGGCTTGATTTCAGATGTGGACAATATTAACATATGCATAATTAATACCCCCCTCACACACACACACCTCCTCACAGGATGGAAATTAACTTAAGTTTCTTTCTGTGCTTGCACGTTAATTTTGTGTTTTATGAATTAAAGTGTGTACTGTGCGATCATAACATTTGTGATCATTTTACCATAAAATAATTCTTTGAGATTTTATTTGAGACTGGTATGTATCAATCTCAAGATTTTCTGAGAAATCTCAGATTTTTTTCCTCATCTGGGCCAGAAAAAATGTTGGTGGCACGCACCTTTGAGAAAAATCTCAGACTTGAGAAAAAACTCAAAAGGTAAGTCTGAGTTTGAGAAAATATATGTTTGGTGGCACAGTTTGGTGAGAAAAACTCAGATTTTCTGAGAAATCTCAGATTTGAGAAAATCTCAGGGTTGGTGGCCCCGAAGTCTGGTCTCTTATCCTGTCCACTATAGGCCTGCAGGTAGTGAGCTGTCTTATCAAAATAATGTCAGAAAAATGTCATAAAGTCAAGGCCTGGTAAAAATGTTATTTTTCTTTTTATCGGCTTGACCTATGGGTAGGATGTAAAATCTGGATTTAATTAAGATACATGTATTGTGGTTAAAATACATTTTAAAGAGTTTTTGAAACTTTAATTTCACATCTATGATATTTAAGATATGGATGTTTGTCTTGTTTGAGATACCATAGTTCAATTTATAATTTTATCTTGTTCTGGTACACTGAAATCTACATTGTTTTTCCAGGTCACCAAGACAACAAAGGAGGTTTTTGAAATGATGACTCACACGTTACTTTCCATCCAGGCTTCTCAGTTGTCATGTGACATTGTTGCCATGACAAAGGATGCTCTTCAGCAGTTGATTGACTTGGGATTAGTGAGACAAAAAAGAAGGCTGTCACAGGAAAAAGAGAATTCCCCAGTCTCCCACACCTTGGAGGTTACACCTCTGGGGCGGGCCACATTCAAAGGTAAAGTCAAACCTCATTATTTCATACTGAGTGGAGCTAAAAAAAAGCTCATTGACAGGCGTGGATCATCAGATCAAACTCAATGTTTTGCTCTCTTTTGTTCTGATGATCCACGCCTATCAACTCGACATAAAACAAACCTTCGGATCAAGTATTTACAGGATCAGTTGTACTAGACTTTTCTGTATTTTACAGGATTGGTTGATCTGGACTTTTGTATTTACAGGATCAGTTGATCTGGACTTTCCTATTTTACAGGATCAGTCTATTTGTACTATTATATATTTACAAGATCTGATGATCTGTACTTTTCTGTAATTACAGGATCTATTAATCTGGACTTTTCTGTATTTTACACGATCAGTTGATCTGGACTTTTCTGTAATTACAGGATCTGTTGATCTGGACTTTTCTCTATTTGATACAGGATCAGTTGATCTGAACTTTTCTGTATTTTACAGGATCAGTTGATCTGGACTTTCCTATAATTACAGGTTCTCTAGATCTGGACTTTTCTTTATTTACAGGATCAGTTGATCTGGTTTTTCTATATATATTTTTCTATTTCTATATTTATATATATTTTTTCCCATATTTCTATATGGTTGATCTGGACTTTTCTATTTCATAGGATCAGCTGATCTTGACTTTACTGTTTTTAAAGGATCAGTTGATCTAGACTTTTCTGTATTTCAGCCTGATCTGGACTTTTCTGTATTTACAGGTTCTGTTGATCTGGACTTTTCTGCTCAGTTATATAAAGATCTGAAGAAGGCTGAGGAGTCCCTGGTTCTGGCCAGCTATCTACACCTCCTGTTCCTTGTGACCCCTTATGACCTCGTCAAGGAAGTTCACCCACCATGGATGACCTACTTTAAACAGGTAAATGAAGAGGAAACTTGTACTGTAAAATCGTGTGTATTGTGTGCAAGGGGAGATAATAATGAATTTGTTAAAAATTAATGGCATTTTAAAAAAAATCTTCTCCAGAACCACTAGGCCAGGAAGAACTCAAATGGAATCATCCTCAGGTAGTGTAGATTCAAGTTTTTTCAAATCATGACCCCTGAGGGTAGGGTGGGGCCAAAATGGCCGACCCAAGTTTTACATAGTGATATAGGGAAACCTTTTTAATCTTCTTTTCAAGTACTTCAAAGCTATGATTAGTGAAATTTTATGGAATCATCCTCATGTTTGTAGATTCATTGTTAAAATGGATAAATCCCTGGATGTCTTGACTTTAATTACAAGCCTAGGTGCTCAATGTTTTTGTTTGCTAGTATATATGGTATCAATAAACAGTACCATTCCAAATGCCAAAAACCTCACTTTTACCAAATTTTGTGACAAAAAATTCCCAATTCAACACTACAACGACATTGTATTTCCTTATATAAGTTGAATAATTGTTTCATTTCCGCTTAAATTAAAAGTAGAGAAAGTCTTAAATTGGCAGGACCTGTGGTGTAAATAGCATAGTTTCATACATTTTGACAAATTTAAAGCATGAAAATGTGAAAGTATGGGACATTGATAAAAAATCAGTAAGTACTTCCTGGTTATTCTTTAAAACACATAGTTATGGGTAATAAAGTTGGAATAAGCGCAAAAATATTTCATTAAATGAGACAAAATTCTCATTGATCTTCTTCGATGTTATTTTTCCTAATTGTATCGGTACCTGAGACCCTTTCCCAATGGATGGAAAAACACCGCTGTAACTAAACGTATCCTGCATGTGTGTATAGTTTATCACAAAAATGAGTACCATGTTGGTGTCATCAGAGCAGACTAGACTACAGGGTGTCTTTTCTGTTTAAGTACACCATAGATTGAGCTTGTTTCTCTTTCCTTTTCTTTGAATCAAGTCAATCAAAGAAACTCATGAGAGACACACATGTTCATCACAAAAACAGTAGGTTACTCAAAATCATTACAACTTGGCGAAGAAAATTTTGATGCAGATGGAGTGTTCCTCAAGCTTACACAAGTGATGCACCATTTTCAGGAAGAGATCTGACATATTTTATGAATACAATGCCCTTCATGAAAAGAAGATGGGCGTATAAGGTGGGCAGAATGCCTATAGCGCGACACATAAGAAGTGAAAAAAATTAATCTCAATTATGTCCAAATTTTATGTCATATTTCATCTAATATTAAAGTATGCTTAATGTAAAATCTCTATAATGTATAAAAATCTCACAAAAACTGAAAATATTTGCCTATGAAAAAGCATACACAGATTTAAAAGAACAAAAACGACCATTTTTTCATGAGTGGGTCTTGGTGATAAAGTACATATTTTTTGGTTTACAAAAAAATGGAGAGAAGACCCACTATACCTTAAAAATACAATTTCATGACAAAACATTCGCATCTTTCCGAGAAATACTTCAAGTCCATTAAGTCAAGGGTGATATCGCAAACATGATTAAAATGCCACCACAACACATGAACCATGTAACATAATGGTTAGCGCGTTAGTCTCAAAGCAGGTTGATACTTAATCAGTCTTGATATCTGACACTATAGGCATTCTGCCCGCTTTATCCGCCCATTTTCTTTTATCATGTAAAACTGAAGGTATTGATTCCAACTTATGTTTGCTTCAAGAAGATTCATAAGTTTTTGGTTTACAAGTAGATGTTCATTGAAAAAATTTAATTTTTTAATAATGTAAAAATGGAATTGTTCTATGCATGGTACATGTATGCATATTGTATAACAAGAGATACTTCTTCAGAAAGAGTGATATTATATTGTTACACTGGAGAAGTTAGTCTTTTATACATTAGGTCTATTTGTAGATAAGTATGTTGACCCCTGTGGAACTGAAGGTTGCTGAGTTGATAGGTGTCCCTGAATCCTATGTAGCAAAGAAAGCCTCTGGAAAACACACCAGACAGGTATATACACTATACAGCTTCTATGTGTGAAATTCTCCACTCTTATATCAAATGTACATGTAAAGAGCTAGAGCCACTTTGAGCCGTATTTGGCCCTGAGAAATTCTGAAAAATCAAAACCGCTCCGTTTAGGTTGCAAATGCAGTATTTATCACTTGGGAATGTTGGTGACTATCTGTATATTGATTGTGACATAATTTCCCATCTAGTCAATGCATTATGATGTCATAAAATGCATTATTTTCCTCATATCCTGTAAATTTCTTTGTAAATGACCTAAAGTTAACACATTTTTCAATATTTTATATAGAGCACAACCTCTGGTCCAAAATATGCAAATACATAATGAAAGCTCTTTTTCTGACGAACAAAAAAACAAGTTTTATTTTTTGGATAGTGGGCTGTGCTCACATTTTAATTCTTTGCTGAAGGTACATGTAGTCAAATACGCATGTTTTCTGCAAATTTCAATAACATTGCAATTTCTCAAACCTGTTTTCCAATATCTGGATTCTCAAAATGAAATTTTATTATAGAAAATGAAAGCACCAAGTGTCTACTTTATTTTGCTATATGAAATGGGAAAGAGGGTGATATTTAATTAATTTTTATGAGTACAGGGTCATTTTATACATATGATGGCTCTTGCTTTTTACAGTAATTACCTTGGCTTAAAGTTTTGTTCCTTGTCATGTTTTTGGGTATAATAACTTTTTTACTGAAAAAAATACACTACATATACATGTACCTATATGATGTGTTTTGTCTCACATTTAAATTTTTGTAAGAAGTTTTTTTTTTCCCATGTAGATAACTTGTTAATTTTTTAGGCCATTGACGAGTTTGTTGTCAAGCGATTCTACCTGACCCTGATGCTTTATGATCTCTGGAAGCAGAAGACACTTTGGGTAGTGGCAGAGAAATTTGAATATCCTCGAGGGTTTGTCCAAAACCTCCTCTCAGGGGCGGCTAGTTTTGCGACCTGTGTCTATCACTTTTGTCAGGTACATGTATATTGCCACATTATATTTCTCTTAAATTCCAGTAATCATGTGCTTCTCAGAGCTCCAGATAATTTTTTACCCCAAAGTGTATTTACTCCTTGATTTTCAAATCAATGCAGATTTTGATTTTCAGCAAAACGATTGGCGAGTATTCTGTTGATATATGAATGTTTTGACTTTAATTTTGATTTTGAGCTTATAATGAGCTTATAATCGAAGTATGTCTTTTTGAAGAGGGAAAAAAAACTTCAAAGGTCAGTTCCAGCATTTATTTAAATAATTTTTGCTGATACCAACAAGACATTTTGCTAAGACTGGGAAGCATTCTTTTTTGACAAGGATGATTATACAGTAGGTCATGGTACCATAGAGTCAAAGACACAGAAAACTTTTCCTTCTTTTAAGATATCCTATCAAGAGTTAACTGAGAGAAAAGAATCTTCGTTAATATGGCAAGTTGAGAGAGATGAAAAATTGGCTATGAACCCGTAATAAAAAAGGATATGCAAAGTGTATAGTCTTTCTACAAAGAAATTGATTTTAATCTGAATCTCTTCTTCCTCCCGAAATAGGGATAGTCGTCGTCATTACTAGAATATTCCTGGTGTAATAGAAGTAATGTCTCAGAATACCATTGTCATTAGTGGTTCTAGAATATTTTCAACACTCTCCTAATTTCATATATATATATAATTTCCCAGGTTCTTATTTTGATTTGAGATTCTGCTTGGTCTTATTTCCGAGCCTGTTTGTACCTTATTTCAACGGTCACCATTTCAACACCTCTTGTCAATTGCAATGAAAACACCAGTTTCAATAAACAACAAAATTTATTTAACCTTTGTATAGACAAACAAAAAAATGGTATAAAAAAATCTGCCTTGTAAAAATAATCCCAATTTTGAAAACCCAGCAAAAATCACCCCCCAACCTAGCGAACAAAAACGCTAGCCCAACCTAGCTAGGGGAAAAGGCCTAGGGAAATTAAAACCTCTTATTTACATTTATTTATTGAGAACCTAACTCCTAACTTTTAGTTTTATGGCCTAATAAATTTAATAGGAGCAATAGACGACAATTTTTGTACAAATACCTAATAATATCTTAACATAATTTCTAAGGGTGCAACCTGTTAAATACCTTATAAACCTCTATAAAAAGTGAGAGAACTTACAGCAAATCAATGCTTTTCAAGATTCCCCACTAAACTAGCAGTTACATGGGTTTTTATACTTTTTGAAAACAATAGAAAATTCAACTTTGAATCTTAGTGGATGCACCCGAAGGGTATGAACTTTGACTGATATTAGTGATACCCAAAAGGTTAACTTCCATATTGATAGCCAATCAAAATTTAGATAAACATTAATCCAAAAGATTTGATGGAAGCAACACGTGCTTTTCCCTGAGAAGGTTTGTAAACATGGTAAATATAAACAAATAAATTGGGTATATTGCAATATACACATATATCTATGAAAGCATTGATAATAACATATTATTACTCAAATACAAGGCATAAAGGCATATATCAAAATCCATTCGTGCTACAATCAAAACATCATTATGTAACAGGAAAGGAGAAAATGTATGGCTGGACCGGGAGTCGAACCCGGGACCCGTGTATCTCTAGTCAGGTGCTCTACCAACTGAGCTATCCAGGCCGGTATCCACGGCCCTATTTATTACATTGGTCACTAAAAGGCTTTTAAATCTGTACTTCATTTTGAGAAAAATCAAACACCCAGTTAACCTCAATTAGTATCTTTAAGTTAGTCGTACATGTATTCAACTTGTTGTACCCAGTACTTTCATGATGTAATGCATATTTATGATTGCTAATGTATAATTGTATGCGTTTTTAGCTCACCTCAACGAAGTTGGGGGGAGCTTATGTGATACCTTCGGCGTCGGCGTCCCGGGTTAATTAAGGTTAAGTTTTTTGGAGCAGTTTTCTTTTTAAGTACTTCTATGTCCTATATTGATTAGACATGCATGGAAGATGTTGCTAGTGTGTTTCATTGTACCAGTCAAAGTTTCAGATGCTGCAATTTCAGCAAAGGAATGACCAGTTTAATGTTTTTGGTGCAAGTTAACATTTTTGGTGCAGTTTTTGGTGTAGGTCTCATTTCCGAGTAACTATAAGCCCTATGTTGACCAAACTTACATGGATGATACATCTGAGGATGCATCCTACCAGCCTTGCTTCGGATGCTGAATCTGACCTACATTTTCCTGTTGAGTGAACAGGTTAAAGTTTTTGGTGATGGTTTCATTTTGAAGATACTTTGAGCCCTATAATGACCAAACTTGCATGGATGGTACATCTTATGATGTTATCTACTAGACTTGCTTCGGATGCTGAATCTGACCTACATTTTCCGGTTGAGTGAACAGGTTAAAGTTTTTGGTGCAGGTTTCATTTCCAAGTTACGATGAGACATATAATGACCAAACTTACATGGATGATACATCTTAGGAGGCATACTACCAGCCTTGCTTCGGATGCTGAATCTGACCTACATTTTCCGGTTGAGTGAACAGGTTAAAGTTTTTGGTGATGGTTTCATTTCAGTTTCAATGACCAAACTTGCATGGATGGTACATCTTAGGATGTTATCTACTAAACTTGCTTCGGATGCTGAATCTGACCTACATTTTCCGGTTGAGTGAACAGGTTAAAGTTTTTGGTGCAGGTTTCATTTCCAAGTTATGATGAGACATATAATGACCAAACTTACATGGATGATACATCTTAGGAGGCATACTACCAGCCTTGCTTCGGATGCTGAATCTGACCTACATTTTCCGGTTGAGTGAACAGGTTAAAGTTTTTGGTGATGGTTTCATTTCAGTTTCAATGACCAAACTTGCATGGATGGTACATCTTAGGATGTTATCTACTAAACTTGCTTCGGATGCTGAAGCTGACCTACATTTTCCGGTTGAGTGAACAGGTTTAAGTTTTTGGTGATGGTTTCATTTCGAAGATACTTTGAGCCCTATAATGACCAAACTTGCATGGATGGTACATCTTAGGATGCATATCTACTAGACTTGCCTTGGATGCTGAATCTGACCTACATTTTCCGGTTGAGTGAAGAGGTGAAAGTTTTTGGTGCAGGTTTCATTTCCAAGTAACTATGAGACATATAATGACCAAACTTGCATGGATGGTACATCTTAGGATGCATACTACCAGCCTTGCTTGGATGCTGAATCTGACCTACATTTTCCGGTTGAGTAAACAGGTTAAAGTTTTTGGTGATGGTTTCATTTCAATTCCAATGACCAAACTTGCATGGAAGATACATCTAAGGATGTTATCTACTAAACTTGCTTCGGATGCTGAATCTGACCTACATTTTCCGGTTGAGTGAACAGGTAAAAATTTTTGGTTCAAGTCTCATTTCCAAGTTACAATGAGACATATAATGACCAAACTTACATGGATGATACATCTTAGGATGCATACTACCAGCCTTGCTTTGGATGCTGAATCTGACCTACATTTTCCGGTTGAGTGAACAGGTTTAAGTTTTTGGTGATGGTTTCATTTCGAAGATACTTTGAGCCCTATAATGACCAAACTTGCATGGATGGTACATCTTATGATGTTATCTACTAGACTTGCCTTGGATGCTGAATCTGACCTACATTTTCCGGTTGAGTGAAGAGGTGAAAGTTTTTGGTGCAGGTTTCATTTCCAAGTAACTATGAGACATATAATGACCAAACTTGCATGGATGGTACATCTTAGGATGCATACTACCAGCCTTGCTTGGATGCTGAATCTGACCTACATTTTCCGGTTGAGTAAACAGGTTAAAGTTTTTGGTGATGGTTTCATTTCAATTCCAATGACCAAACTTGCATGGAAGATACATCTAAGGATGTTATCTACTAAACTTGCTTCGGATGCTGAATCTGACCTACATTTTCCGGTTGAGTGAACAGGTAAAAATTTTTGGTTCAAGTCTCATTTCCAAGTTACAATGAGACATATAATGACCAAACTTACATGGATGATACATCTTAGGATGCATACTACCAGCCTTGCTTTGGATGCTGAATCTGACCTACATTTTCCGGTTGAGTGAACAGGTTAAAGTTTTTGGTGATGGTTTCATTTCGAAGATACGTTGAGCCCTATAATGACCAAACTTGCATGGATGGTACATCTTATGATGTTATCTACTAGACTTGCTTCGGATGCTGAATCTGACCTACATTTTCTGGTTGAGTGAACAGGTGAAAGTTTTTGGTGCAGGTTTCATTTCCAAGTAACTATGAGACATATAATGACCAAACTTGCATGGATGGTACATCTTAGGATGCATATTACAAGACTTGCTTCAGATGCTGAATCTGACCTACATTTTCCGGTTGAGTGAACAGGTTAAAATTTTGGGTGCAGGTTTCATTTCCAAGGTACAGTACTATGAACCCTATTAGACTTAATTGCATGGATGGTACATCTTAGGATGCATACTACCAGACTTGCTTCGGATGCTGAATCTGACCTACATTTTCTGGACGAGTAAACAGGTTAAAGTTTATGGTGCAGGATTCATTTCCAAGTTACTTTGAGCCCTATAACGACTAAATTGCATGGATGGTACATCTAAGGGTGCATTCTACTAGGCTGGCTTCGGATGCTGAATCTGACTTACATTTTCTGGATTAGTGGAAAGGTTAATTTTTTTATACAGGTTTCATTTGCAAGTAACTTTAAGCCCTATGTTGACCAAACTTGCATGGATGATACATCTTAGGATGCACACTAATGGACTTGCTTCAGATGCTGAATTCGACATATATTTTCCAGATAATAGACCTCGTAAAAGTTATGGGTGCAAGTCAATCACCAAGAAACTATAAGGCTTATATAAACCAGTTGCACAAATGATGCATCAAGGGATGAAAACTCTCAATCTTGCTTCAGATGCTGGATTTTAATTACATTTTCATGATGAAGAACTAGTTTTTAGTTTTTATAT